AACGCTCAGCGACGAAAAGAGAATCATGATTTTTTTTTAAACCGTTATGTCTGGATAAAAGTCTAAACATTCTATCTAATAACAAGATATTCTAGAACGAGTTACCTAATAGGTAGTAGGTAGGTCCTACTGGATACCTTGGCACAATATTACAAATTATTTGTTGAAAAATAATAACAGTTGTAAATCACACAAGTTGTCAAAAAAAAAACCAAAACCCGAAAAAAGGCAAGTTTTTATTGTTTAAGCCCAGCTAATGGTTGGTGTTCGCTTAATAATTTAGGTTTTTTTCGATTTAGGCATACCTACTAGTCATTTTTTTAAATTTAGGTCCTAATACTTTTTTTGAACCCACGCCCGACTAGATAAGTGTTTTGGAAGTTTTTATATTTATTTACATTTAATTTTTTCAATAGAATTATAAAGAATATTAGTATTAATAAATAATATAATTAAATTTACATTGCAAAATTTAGAAAAATATAATTACCTGTTCATTACGATAATCTATATTGATGGGCCTTTTAAAAATTAATCCGAAATAGAATAGAAGTCAAAAACTAAAACAACATATTACAACTAAGTAATTAATTTTAAGCTCCGATATTTTGACCAAGAAATAAGAATAGTTAGTTTTCCATACTGGGATTCAAAAAATAAATTTTTTTTTACTAATAATCTATCAAGACTAATGAACCAAGTATACTTGTAATTGTGTTATACGTAGAACACAAACACGATAAAAATACAATTGATTGTAGTACATGTATCTAAAACTGACGGAATGTTTCCAGTGCCATAAAGTCAGGGGCTGAATAAAAACCATGACCTATACCAAACAATTCTATCTGCCTACTTACTCTTAATCTCGTTCCCATGGCACAAATTCATTAGTGTCAATGCAATTTAACACGCCCTAATTTCAATTATGGTAAACGATAGTTTTTTTTTTTAACTACAAAATTAACAAACATGAGAAACAATTTTAAATTACAAGAGCATCAGCAATATAACATATTGTAAACCAAATTTGTTTTATTGCTTCAGTTTATATCATTCACGTATAAACATTTATTCATGTGTATTTTGTAAACTATTCCAATTTACACAGCATGGGTTGTCCTAATATACATCAGCTGAGCTCAAAACAATACTGTCGAAATATCTGAAAGCCTTTCATCGGTGAAAGGTGTGATCTATTGATTTATGTTTAAACTGCGCATGCAAAACAACTATAAAGTATATAATTTATTTTTAGGACGCAGTATTTGTGTAGTGTTGCTTAGATGTTGAATAAAACAAAGTAAAGATAATCGTTTATACTATAAAATAATATCGAATATCTTCATATAATACCTACTTATCGACGCTTCTTACGAAAAACTTAAATGTTTTAGATACTAAAGAAATTCAACCTTTATTTTCGGAACTGAAGTGTTGTTTATTGTTAACAACAAAAAAACGTATTAGTAGATTTCGTAGGGTGTCATCATATCTTATCAATAATAGTTACATATTATACCGGGTGATTGGTTAACTATTGGTTAACAATTTAATAACTTGGAATATACTAAACTTTTTTAATCATTTTAGCTTCGATGCTGAGCTGAGAAGGTATTGTATTTATAATACCTTATTTGATGTGTTTTTAATTTTTTTTGTGTCCGTACCCACAATATCTTTAAGCCGCTGAACCAATTTATTCGTGTAACAACTGTAGATCAAAAATCGTACCTTTAGGGTTCTTTATTGGCCCAAAAATTTAAAAAAATCACCCCTTTCCCTTCAAAATCGAGAAAACCCGCCAAAAAGTTTACATATTTTTCAACTTATTAGACCAAAGATTCGCATGGAAGGGTTAATTTAAAAATGATTTAATTACTTTCAGTTATAATAATTCCTGTAGACCTGTAATCTCTCCATTCCCGCTATGCCCCACTGTAATAGCTTTTTTTTATACTTTTATAATTATTAGTTGGGACAAAATTAACATATTTTTAAAAAATATAGCCCCATCCTTTATTTTTTAAAACCGTATAAACTTATGTTTTTCAAATGGTAAGAAGGTATTCTATCAACTTTTTAAATTAAGAATATTTTGCTGAACTTTTTAACTGATCGACAACTAGTTTTGGATAATTAGTTACAAAGTTCTTTAAGTTTAAAAGTTAGGACTGCAGGGGAAGTGCTGTTAAGTATTGCGCACAGATAAAAATATCTCCTCTCCACCCTTCCTCCTGTCATAAATTTTAAACTTTTTTAACTTCAAAAATAATTATCCAAAACTAGTTATTGACCAATCAAAATGTTCAGCAAACTGTTCTTAATTTAAAAAACTAAGTCATACAATTTTAACATACAAGGGATGGGTTTATATTTTTAAAAATATATTAAATTTGTCCCAACTAATAACTAAAAAAAGTCTAATATCTCCTAAGTTATTGACTGGGTCATAGTTAACCAATTACCCGGTTAGGTATAGAGTATGGATAAAATATTTTATACATATTATTATTACCTTATTTAATACCATACAACTTAATCAATCTAACAGAATTTAAAATGTTTTAAAAAAAAAAACTATATTTCAAGTATTATATAAATATTTTAACAATAAAAATTCCAATCATAGGTACTCCGAACTTATCTCTACTACATTTGAATAATTAGCACTAACTAAAATGTGTATGGAAAACACAAAATACAGAGTGAGAACCCAAAATGTAACATCAGGAACTTATACAATGGAAACCGGCTTGGAGCAGGGCGACGCCCTGTCCCCAGTACTTTTCAATCGTGTTCAAGGTAGTAAGAATACTACAGGACAATGAAGGTGGTTTAATAATTAATCAAAATAAGATACAACTCCTCGGTTTCGCTGAAGATTTAGACATAATAGGCGATTCGCTTGCAGACACAGCTAACGCGGCCTGAGTGTTAGAAGAAGCAGCAAAGAAAATAGGTCTTGAAATAAGTACTGAGAAAACAAAGATGATGGAACTCATTGAAAATGGGAAGTACGCCAATGAGATGAAGGACTTACACTATGAAAAAGTTAGCGATTTTAAATATTTGGGAGCAACGTTAAGCACAAATAATGATTGGTAATGGCGGCAAAAACTCTTAGAGAGTAGACATGTCAGAAGAAGAAGAAGATACTTCCAGAATTGCAACAAGTTTCGACTAAAATTATTCTACATTGATAACATAGGCAAAAAAAAATTGAGTAAAGGTAAAGGGATAAAACTTAATAGGTGATAGTATAATTATGTTTGTGATTGTGGCAAGTTAATGTCACTTAATATTGTAATACAAGACTTTTAAAAGAAGATTTAAAATTTTTTTTACTGTACAATAGCTTCATTTACCTAATTAAAAAGTAGCAAATCTCGAGTTGTTATAACTTAGGTTACGTTAGGTTAATAAACAATGATTACAGTTTTTTCTTACCTAATCCGCTGCAATTTAAGCACTCGCACAATATTCCCATCTCATAATATAAATTTATTTATTTTTTCTTATTGTAACCCTGTAACTTATTATGTACAATAATTTAAATAAATAATTAACTCACCGTACGACATTTTGATGAAGTGTTTGGTTTTTGGCTCATTATTTTAATTGTTTGTGATCACTTCAAACAAAAATGTCCATCTTTTAATAATCCAGCAACACAGAATAACTTATAACTGAAAATGCTGCTACAATTTCTAACCATATTCAATATTTTCTAATTTCTATGGACTATAGCTATCCGCTATTGCCAATATTATTAATTATTGTAAAAATTATTATCAAAATATTTCAGCTTTCGCAAATAAAACTCTAAAACTGATAAGGTCAGCTGCTGTCCATGCATAAGCACAATATTTGTAAAACTAATTTGTTCGTTACAATTCTCATTATTTATATTATTTAAAATTTAATAACAGCATTATAATAAAATATTTGCCTTAAATGAAAAGGTTATAGGTACACACTTTCCCATTTTTTTAAGATTTTTGGAGGTAGAGTTTATCTTATCAGTTATTACCTTAAATATGATTGAAACACGGAATAAAACATAATAGTTATTCTGTGATAGAAACGTCATGTTTTTTATCATAGTTGATTAAACGATTTTATATTATTTATTTAAATTTGAAGGTTTTTAATTTGTATGATCTATATTCTATACCCCAGGCTCGATGTAGAGGTATTCTAATAAGATAGGTATGCTCTACAATGTTATCTATGTTTATCATAAGTCCCCGACCTCTCCGTCTATAATAAAAATATTAGCAATACTCGGTTTAATATTATATTATTATTTGTAATATAATAAAAATAGTTTGTTTTTGAAAACTAGATAAAAGTGAACCCAATTCTTATTTAAAGAAAGTACATTACCTTAAGAATAAAAATTAAGAAAACAGTCCAGTTTTGCTATCTTGTAATTTATTTTCATATTGTTAATGAGATGTGGGAAATGGTACGTTTCGACTAAAAGTATTGGTTGTGATTACCTATTCTATTTACAATAAAATACAATAAAATTCAACTAATTTTTTTAATTATAAAAAGTGCCTTTTGCACTGTTAATGATTTTACTCAATAAAATAGATAACATATAAAAACTATTATGTCATACCTACTTATTGTTATAAGTAAGTAGCAAGGGTAGAGTAAACACTTGTAATTTTTATAACAGCACCCATCTCAATTTCTTCAAAATTACATACAAAAATTGTTTAATAAATATATTAGTATAATTAAATAGTAAATACATTTTAAATATAATAAATGGTAAAAATCATATAAGTATTAAAATTATTATTTATATAAATACTAATAAGTCCCAAATAAATTTAACAGAAAAAATAATAGGTTCACATAGTTTGAATGTAAGAAGTTATCAAACATGTGTATCATAATAAACATTTATTATATAGTAAGACACAAATTATTCTTAAGTTTAAACTAAGTATTAGTTTAAATATGTTTAATGTTTGCACATCTAAGCAATATTAAAAATCGAAGTAGATATATATCCTTTTGTGAAACATTTATTACAATTACATTACTGAAAACTGTAAATAATTCTAAAGTACTTATTAACAAGCAATATCAATTTAAATAAAATAGGAACAAATTGTTAAAATGGGATTAGAGTCCATTAGTAAACTTAATATAAACAAAATGCGTTACATTAATTATTTACACGTTGAGGTATTATATTTGTTTTATTAGTCTTAGTTACAATAAATAAATATTAGGTTACAATGGTATTAACGTACAATATAAAAGAAACAGACAGTAATTAGAAATTTAACTATTGGATAAGTAAAGTGTGCTGGGTGAAATACCATCAGGTAAAAACTAAAAAGGAGCCACAATTTCCCTTTCTGGACTGCCGAACAACCCAGATAGCGATTTCAGAAAACACCTCATGATGGCAGGGTTGGACCTTCAAAGCCCATTAAGCTACATCATGATGACGGATAGGTTGGTATTCTTCTTCTTTATCTTTGCTTTACACTACCAACTGCTTGGGGTCGGCAACCTTAGTCCTACGCCTCCATAGAGCTTCTACATCTCATTCACTCACCCCAGCTATCCTCATATCACTCTCTATTCCGTCTATCCATGATGATGGATAGGTAAAGTGTAATATAATCATGCAATGTTATAACATAAATAATAGTAAAGTTAAAAATTATTTCTGTAATAATAAATTGTACTTGACAACTTGTTCCTTAGCTACCATAGGAATGTCAACAGCTAAACCCTTGTTTAAATGGACTTTATGATAAACGTCGGTTTGAACATTCATATTACCTTTAAAATACAAACGTAGGCGAACAACAAATTCTCCCCATCCGTGTCTAGTTAATGAAAACGGTTTTTCCAGAACATCGATAATATGATTTGGTTCGTAAGATTCATGTAAGAAATACCTGACTTTATCAATATATATTAAATTGTCGATGCCTTCTTCCAAATTGCGGACGTATACTGTCCATTTGTACTTCATTTCATTCTCAGAACCGCTTACTTTAACAGTATTGCCGATAACGTAGGCTAAATGAATGCGTCCAATCGGCGGAGTAAAAGTAACTGATGGTGAAGGATTAGAAGAACTGGGCTTACTCAACAACTCTACCTTGATAGTTGGCTCATTTATAGTTTCTGAAGTTGATGACATATTGTCAAGACTTTTTAAAAAGACACTCAAGTCTTTTGCTTCGTCCTCATCTTCTAGCTGTTTAAGAATAGCATCTTTTACACGATTCTTTTGTCCATTTTCATTGTTTTTCATGTTTGCAAAGTGTGAAGTCACAACGTTTCTTCGAAGTTTTTTCAGCAGACCAACACTTTCTTCGATAGCTTGATCAACTTCTTCACGCGCTCTATTATACGAGATGAGTTCTTCCTTTAATATTTTTAATATTCCAGCTTTTATCTGTGTCATTTGTTCGGGGCTCATCAATTCGTTTGTGTCATCCAATGACGCCATTATTCCGAATTATGTTTAAATATTTCCCCTGAAAAAAAAAATACAAACAATATTATAATCTTTTGTACTTATTTTCCATATTTCCTAACTGAAAATGTGATGCATCCAAATTAGGATAGCCAAAATCGGATGTATATTGTCATTTGGTCTTTCTACGTATGTGTTTAATCTATGATGATAATTCAGTTTGCCGCTAATCAACTACTTCTACAATTGAATGTTTGTTTTTAAAAATTTGTAATGTTAATAATGTATTCAGTAAAAGTAAGCTTACTTATTAAATTATTCACAAAAATGTATTGATGAACTCAGTTTTCATCACAAATCTACTCTGAATTTTCTTCAATCATTTATGCAACGTTGATCTGGTAAGACACAGTATCTAAACAGTTAAATACTAGTACACAATGTAACATTTAATTATTATAAAACTGTAATTATGATAAATTTGGTAAAGCGTTCAACTGACAACTCTGTTAACCAAACAATTCCAACTTCTACTAGTCGACAATGCCAGATAATCGGTGGTGTAAATTGATTAACAAGCATTCGTTTGGATTCTACCTCCAAAATATCAGTGTTACCCGTATAGTATTACTTTTTATATGAATGAATGTTTTATTATGGCATGTGGCTATATTGGTCAATACAAGTTGGATGAGTCTGCAGCTTGCAAGACTCAAGTCGATATAAAAGTTTAAACACTTATTGATAGATTAAAATATGCTTAACGTCAAAAAATCTTTTCGCACGAAATATATTTCAGAAGTGGACAAACATAATAGCTTTGTAAGCAACTAAGTACCTATAAATTTATTAATTAATTAACCTATTAATAATTAATTATTGGATAGTAATAATTGTCTACTTATTTGATAACCGTACGAAAAATAAATTACTTATTACCGTCTGATCATTGGCGCTACTAGGTAAGAAGCTACAACTGATAAGTGATAAGCAATAGCTGGAAAGTGTTCTGGGTTTCCAATTTGTCATAATTTCAAACGCTTATTAGTATTATTTAAAAATTACGTTTTAAACCCAAGTGTTAAAATAACTGTAGGTACTGTGTACACACGACTTATTCGTATTTTTTATAGGAGACTTTCACATTATATTACAGGCTTCATTGTGTAATTTTTAAAATACACAATCAATAATTTAAGAAAAAATGTTAGTGATACATTCATTATATTGACTTCATAACAGAATCTAACAAAAACTACAAATTCGTCGTTATCAGTGTATTTTATTCTTATGCGCTATAAAATAATTTTAACCTAAAACCAATTAAGATACATAATAAGAAAAATAATTTAAGAAATTTCATAGCATTTGCCATTTTATTTAAAAATCAAAATAAGACTCAGTACAATGAACTATTTTTGCAATTAAAAATTTTAAATGTTACACAGTTGGGCAAGTTAACGTACCTTGATTACAGGTATATTTGGGCGAGTGGTAACAAGATGCTAATGTACTTGTTATAAATTATTACTATTATAATTTATTGAGTATTTTAATAGTTAATAACATTTAAATATTATTTAACACTTGTAAAATGATACATTTGTAATTATAATGCTGGGTTGCATAAAGAATTAATAAATTTAATAGACCAATCACGGGCCACTAAATTATGTTTAAGGAACCACTAAACATCTATGGGTTCATAAAACATTTAGTGAACGTTTATGCAACCCGGCATAAGTGTATTAACAGTTATAAAAACCAAAAATTAGGTTCTATGTAAGTAAAAAAATAAAAATATTTATACAGCTGTTAAATAACAGTGCAATTAATTTGAATTACGACTTACGAGTTTTGACGACTAGTAATAGTCAATAAACTTTAGTAACTTCAAAAATAGTTATCCGAAACTGGTTATCGACCAGTCAACATTTTTAGTACATTATTCTCAATTTAAAAAAAATAATAAAATATATACGTTACCTATTAAGATTCAAAAGTTGCTATGAAAAAAACTAAGTTGGAAGGGGGTAAAAACAAAAAAAATGAGACAAAAAACCCTATGAGATATTGAGTGGTTCACGGCAAGTGGATCACCCTGTATATACATATATATATATATACATTATTAAACAGCCTCTCCCGTTAACGCAAGCTGGATCCGCGCCTGGCTTACAGCGTGTTTTGCGTGGCGTACAATTAATGTAGTATAATGTTATAGTGTATCAAAGATTGGTCGGTGTATATATATATATTGTTAGTTGTCAAAAATATAGTAGAAATAGAGAAAAAAATGTCGATGCTAATTTGATAATTATTATTATTGTAATTGACCGTGTAAAATTTGTAAACGTTCGTCAATTACTTGTAGACGACGCTATTGATAGTAAAACGCCTAAAATCGAACAACTTAAACAGCTACACTAAGATCATTACGTCGTTTGTACTTGGTAAAGGGTAATTGGTGGAAATTCGTTGAAAACTCAGGGAAACGAGGGAAAGAGTTCTATAAAATACAATCTACCACCTACCAGTTACTATAATTAAAACAAGAAAATAACTCTATGAATATAATTTTACAAAATTTACAAGTAAAATGAATTTCCGTTAGTCGATAAATTATAACAATTTATTGCCCTTGAAACCCAAAAGTAATATTATATTATAGTCTGCATTTAACAGTTCTGCAGCAAATATAAATTATTTTAAGAAGTTCGGGTAATATCCTATTATACAGTTGTTTGTAGATCTCTTGATTGCGCTGTGTAGCGAGCACTACAGAAAATAATAATCTATTAGTACGTTTATGTGATAGCGTTAAACCGTTTTTAATTTGTATGGAATATTATTAAGAACGAGTATAAATTAAAATCAATATATATACCAAATACAGGCCAAACAGTGCCTGATGGGTGTTAACTTTTTTTAATAATAAATTAAATAATTCTTTAATCTGTAAGTGTACAGCCACTTCTTTTTCTATATTACCAAAAATATTACATCGTGTGCAGTGTTTAACATTTTTATATAAACATATTTTAATTATCTACACACAACTCTGCAAAATACGATTATCGTGTAATATGACGAACCGTTGACATTCTTTTTACAAACCAATTTATAACAAATATAAATTAACAATCTCCGACTAGATTATTGTACATAATCGAGACTGTAAAAAATAAATAGTAATTAATTATAATGTATTGACTATGGTTATTATTGTTTTTCATTATACCTTAATTCGCGCATTTTTTGGATACTTCGTTTTGTTTTTCGTTTTTTCATCAGTTCGTTCTTCATTCGACTTGTCCAGCATGTGATTGTCTTTGTCTTCTTTTTTGCTGGACTTGTCATTTACATTTTTATTTTGATCTTCAACTATCATAAAAATTAATTACAATATGCTCTATATATTATATTGTAATATATTCAATGACCCTTTCATAAATAAAATATCTAAAAGGAAATAATTAATTTGAAGTGTATATTGAACCAATAGAATCAAAACTAGCAAGTTGTATAAAAACTTTATATTCTCCACTTAATACTGATTTTTTTCTTTTTTAAATAACTGATAATTCTGAATAAAACATTTGTATACAATACTCAAATACATATGCAATTCAATTATTTTGTAATAATGCATAATTAAATGCATTTCAGGTAATTAACCTAAAAATATTCAAACGTAAGAATCGTAAATTTTTTTTTGAAGTGCTCTTTTATAACTATCATTTACCTACCAATCATAATCATAAATGAGTATTATTCGTTTAAGTTAACGATACATAGGTACAATATGATATAACATATAAATAAAATAGATATGCGTGACAATAACAATTTAACGTTAATAACAATTAGTAATAATATAATACATTTTAGATCTGTTAATGAAATGTAAGTAACTTATTTGTTAAAATATTATAATATTATGATGTATTAACAATTAAGTATTAGAAATTAGAATATATTTACAATGCGAAAAGCAGTACTTACTCGCTGTAATAATAATGACGCCAGTGCGAGTTTGTTGATCTGGCGAAGGTATTCTAATATTACCCTGTAATTTATGAATGGGAAACAAAATAATCAACTATTAATATATACACTGTATAAAAAAAAAGTTTTGCTAATTTAGTCCCAAATTTTTTTTCACGTATATCTACCATTTTCTTTACTGAATTCAGACATTCAGTCTATCAAAATTAATATAGAATAAGTTAAAAAAAAAAAAAATTCTGATATTTATTTCGTAAGTTGCTTACAACATTGAAGGCGATTTTAAAACAATTTTAACAAATACAGAGGGCAGATTTGGATTCAGTAAAATGTTAACTTATATCATGACTGTATTATGATTTATGATGTATAATTTTCGATTTTTGTTTCAAATAAAAGGCAAAATATTGTTGCTAATTTGTTTTGAATAATTTATGTACTTGAATAAATAGACTATAGTTAACAATCTATTTATTCAGTTGTACAACAAAATGTCTGTGTTTCTTACAATTTTGAAAGCGATTAAAAACATACATAATAGTGCTAAAGAAATTCCTAAGTCAGCTTCAGTGAAATTCTAATAAAATAGATGTACCTTGTTCTTGTTCAAGTAGCAAGTGTATTTTTTTTTTATAGTAAATGGTACTTAGTTTAATTTTTTTTTTTACCTTTATACTTTCGTTTACAATGTATTTGACTTCGTCGCCGTTGCCGTTCGTTAAAGTTTTTGGTACTGTGTGCTCTTTGCGCTCTTCGACCGCTTTTTTTGGTACTTTCAGAGGAGGTAACGTTTCGTGATTAGTTGGTTTCACCTGTTGAGCGGTGTTGCTTTCGATATGCCGTTCGCCATCGGTCGGCTCGGCATATACCAACGTATGATTAGCCCCACAACTTACCTAAACACATTTATATATATATATATATATACATGTATCATATAATACTTATATAACGTCTCGACAAAATCGAAATAAACCTAGTTTACAAAAAAAAAAAAAAATGAGAGTTGAAAGTGATCAAATGTTTACGATTTTTTCTTTTAGTATTTTGCTTTAAAACAATATTTTTTTAACAAAATTTATAACTAGACATCGTTCAATATGAAATATGAATATAGCATAAATTACTGGCAAAGCCTCGATTAGGCTTTAGACTCAATAACTTGTTAACCATGTATAGGATTAACCAACCGTCCCGGTGTATAAATGGTTAAGAATCTTCCCCTTTCGGAGGAGGCGCGGTTGGGACTTAAGGTCCGTTAACTTAAAAAAAATTGCATAGAATAAAACAGAATAGATACTGACCATTTGTACGTTCAATTGTCTGTCGACGAAATCCGTGACCAGCACAGGAATGGTTACTTGGCCTATGTCAACGCACAGTTTACCGTACTTGCCATCTCCGCACGTGAACAACTTGCCGCCGGCTACAATGAAAATCATATGGGTTTTTGTTAAACAAATTATTACTAAAGCTACTACTAAAAATTAATCAGCATATAATACACCAGACACATAGAGCCGAGGAATAGAAATATTATTATACAGTTTTCCTATGCCTTTAACCAATTTTTCTACAGTATAACCATGTGTTAAACCCTTATGAACTTAAGCTTTTTAATTGGAAACGTATGTATTTAATTAACCTTTTAAATCAATAATATTTTACTGAATATTTCGACTGGTCGATAACTAGTTTTGAATAATATTACCTATAAAATCATTAAGCTTTAAAATTTAAAACGGGAGGAAGGGTGGAGTGTAGTATTATTTTTATCTGTGTATGTTCCTCAACCCCACTCAACCTCCTGTCATAAATTTTAAACTTTAAAATTGACCAGCCAAAATGTTCAGCAAATTATTCACTATTTAAAAAGTTTAGGTAATATATACTTTAACATTTAAAATTCTTAAGTTCATCTGTTCCTAGGGTTTTAACAAATAAGGGATGTAGTTATATTGTTGAAAAATATATCAAATTTAGGCTAACTAATAACTATAAATATATGAAAAAGAATAAATTAAAAAAAGCCATAGTTAACCAAGCACCCTGTACAGCGCCCAGAACCCAGACTCGGATTAAAATTAAAAATATAAAAATGCGTTTATTATCCAACCCTTAATTATTTATACTAGCCTGTTATGAGTGCCGTGTGGTTTTCTCCGCATTTGACACTGACGATCCGTTCGTTGGTGACTGTGCAAGGGTAAAGATGCCCTTGAGACGTGACTCCTTTTAGACCGATCTGACCGTAGTCGTTGTTGCCACAAACAAACACTTTACCGGAGTCTGTATAAGGTAAAAAAAACATATTACGAAATCAGTTCTTGCCCATGCCGTTGTCGACCAATAGAAGTAGTAAAAAATATAATATTTTTAACCGTTTAACGCAATCGTATGGTTTGCACCGCAAGCCACTTGAATAATCTTTTCGGTCGTGTCCACCCGGTGGAGCGACAAATAATCATGCCCGAGTTTACCGTGTTCCCGGTTACCGCTTGTGAACATCTCTCCAGTCTCTAAAACAATTAAATTCCCAGGTAATATTACAGAGATTTGTTTGTGTTAAATACGTAATCGTATCCCGTGACATCTAGTAAAACTTGCGTTCGACGTACAAAACATAAACTCATAAATACCAATATTTTGTGGCTCAAATCTGATGAGATAAATTTGTCGAAAATTAATTCATATTAGCTAAATTTTTTTTTTTTTTTTTAACACCATGACATGTGGTCGATTACTTTTTCAAGTTATACACAAATCTTGAACAGGACTAGAAAAAAAGGATACATTTCTATAACATTGGTTTCTACAAATGTGTCAAAGAATACCATCTAAATCCAAACATATTGTTTATATATTATCGTGGGATTCGAACTCTTGTTAATTATAATTACGAATAATTAATGTACAGTTGACGAATCGGGGCTCAATGAATAATGTCATAACAACTAGATTAATATTTTCCAGCTAATTATTGTAGTTTATGACATTGAAAAGTTCAGTTAGGGGTGGATGGAATCGATAATGTTAGTACACAGCTGCGAACAATAAAGTTTAACTGTCAATCAAATCAACCTGTTATTATGTGCTGTTTACACAATACAAAAAACACGTTTTCTTTTTGTGATTTCGCATGACCCAAAGGGATGACCTCAAAATATTGCAGCAGAATTTCAACATGTCTTATACGTTTTTAAAAATACGCATAATACTATGTTTTCAAAACAAAAACTGTCGAGCGATTATTTTTATTTGAGGACGTGATAGTAATAATAATAAATAATTTGACACATTAGTATTTGGTTGATGATGATAATATTATTATGATGGTTAACACGACTAGATTTTACCGATTTTGTTTTGACGGTAAAAATCTAAAAGAGATTTCTTTTTCTTTACCCAGTACCCAGTGATACGGTTGTTTGTAATAATTATTACACTATTAAATTATGTATGTACTTGTGACAAACGCCGAGTGGTTGGCCCCACAGGCTATGTAAACGACTGGCTGGAAAATGGAAACTATAGTCGGTGACCTCACACTATACGATTCGTTTGAAGGTTCGATGCCCAATTGTTTATCGCCGTTGGACCCCCAAACGTACACGTCTCCGTTTTCTGTTAAAACAGAAATGAAAATAATTATGATATTCTTCTTTGATATAACAAAATATAATAATAATAACAATTTTAATAATAAAAATATAATAATGTTTGTTAACAGACCGACGAGGACAGCCGTGTGATGTGATCCGGCGGCAATCTGAATGATTTTATCGTCGAACTTTGTAATCCGAATGGGAAAACTGCTGCCTTCGGTGGTCGTCGGTTGTCCGAGCTGTCCGTTGCTGTTATCGCCAAATCCATAGACGACGTCGCTGTCTATGCAATCAAAATACAAAAACCCGTGGCTTAATTAAAAAATGTGTACCAACAAGTATATTTTTGCCCCCACTGATACATCCGATGTAGAACAAGAAGGCTTTTTCAAAATAGTCCATGCTCTAAACCGGTAGAAAGTGGAAAACATATCTCAAGTACTGTAAGAAAATGTGATGACGAAAAAGTTTAAAACGCTCTCCTTTAAAATTGTAATTTTTTTACCATATCATCATTATGTTGTGTACAATAAATCTGATTTTGGACCAAAACACGTCGCTAATCGAACCCTAATGGCTAATTCGTACGCAGTTTCACTGGTTACGTTACTATTTTGTTATTCGGTAGATTTCAAATAATATTATTTGAATAAGTCACAAATTGAATTAGTCGATTAAACTATAGTTATTCAAAAAGTGACCGTAATCGGTAATTTATTCTTTATTTTCATGAAATTTTGTCCTTTCCCTCCCCAATTTTTTAAAGTATAAATATTTTGTCATTTGAAAGTGTTGAATACAATGCCTACAGGAAATTGTATTGCACATTATAGAAATTACATAATTACTGTTTTGCGCGCTATGTCATACCTGTTGATACGATAGTGTGCGACCGACCACACGCTATGTGTAATATTTTTTCTGGCTTCAAACCTGAAATTACGGTTTTTTATTTATTCCATTAGTATGATTAGTGTTTCTTTTTTATTCATTTTTTTTTACTTTTCACGCAGTTGGGTTTGTAGACGTTTTCTTTGTGACCTAGTCCCAATTGTCCAAATAAGTTTTTGCCAAAACAAAATACTCGACCGTTCTCTAAAACAATTTAATACAAAAAAACGTTATTGATAAAATATATGTACATATTTATATTATAATTTTTTTTGTTCCATATACACCAACGACACGTAAAGTAAACATTTAAGCACAATATATGCATATACCTTTATCAATAAGTTACTTTTTCAAATAAATTATACCTCTGCGTTTCTCATTAATCGCTATAAATAATAACTCGCACGACTTAAATACATATCACGCGATTTTTCGTTCTAACTGTCTCTTTCACACACACAGACTTTATTGGGCAAATAAAAAATTATAGAATTCATCGGTCATAAACCCTTTTACACATTTATTGACTTTATTATGTACAGCATTTATTGGTGTAGTATATTTACAACAAATAATTGTATAATCATATTTGTATTATTCTGAAAAGATATTCGCTGCATTTGTTAAGACACAGACACATCAACTCGAAGTAGCAAGTAAGAGTAAACAAAAATATTAAATATATGAAGGGCACAGGGTATAGCAAAAACAAAGTTCGTGAATTCCTCTACCTCTTACATAAGAACAAAAAAAATCACATTAAACACTACTCTAATAATAAATATATTTATTTAAACAATCTATTGACCAAAATAAAAACAAATTTTGGCATAAATTGAAAAAAACTATTTGAAAAAAAAATATATCATAATGTGACTACTACCGTTTTTCCCCTGTTCCCTTCATATACAAACGTCCAATAAGTGTACAAAATGTAATTTAGTAAGTTTACACTTAAGACACAGTGAATTGAAAACGCTTAATAAGTGTAATATAGTCCCATGAATCTTATTTTTTCCACACAAGAATCAAACACGAGTCCCAGAAGTGGCTGGACTGTATTTCTTTTGATGGTTAAGTTAGGTTAGGTTGAATGAGTGTTAGTAAAGAAAATATTAAATAAACAAAAGTCAAGCAAATACATTCCCTTAAATAAAAAACGTCATCAAACGTTGATTGATAATTATTTTTTTATAAACACTCGAGCCTTGGTATTTATTTTTAAAAAAAATGTTGAGATTTTGAGCCCCAGCTAGAAATTTAGAAGATTGATATCTAATGTTTTTAGGCTTTGTTAAATAAATCGAAAAATTTGAGTAAATTGAGTTAATAAGTCAAACAAGTTACAAGAGTAAATAAATACAATAAATGGGTAAATAAATATAGCGTGCCGCAAGAAGTCTTACGAATTTTCTTGGTTGACCCTCGGCTTAAAAACTATATCGTATAAAAAAAAAATTAAGAAACTTTCAGATAAAGTAAAATGCATTAACTGTTAACTATTTAATGCCACGTAATCACAAAAACCTTTAATATGATAATAATGTCATTGGCGTATGTTTATTGTTGAATTTAGTAAACAACTGTAAAATTAAGACATACGGCAAACGATTCCCGAGTGTCCATCGCCACAACTGATCTCGACCACGGGATCGTTCCTGATGAAGAAGTGACTTGGAATGTTGTCGGCGAAATCACTCTTTCCATAAGTAAATACGGCACCGGTATCTGAGAAAGAAAACAAATTAATTAAGCAAGATTGTCTTTAAAGTGTAATAATTTAGTAATTAACAATAATTATAATCTCGGACTCGTGATTGGCGAGTTAATCTCACAAGGTATACCTAATAATTAATAGATAAGGGCTTTCCAAGATTTAATTTGATCGAATTGTAAGATTAAAAAAGAGGAGAGAAATAAATTAAGTTAATTTCCTAATTTCATTAATCTATGCGAAATATCTCAATTCTCAAATCACCTACAGATTTTGACTATTTTATGATTTGTTTTTTTTTTATTAAAGGACGAATGTTATCTATTACATCTGTTTATTATTTCTCAAATTAGTTTAGCTTTTTATTTAAAACTTTTTGTGTCCAGAAAAACATCATATATACTTAGGCCTAGCCCATTTATACTCGAGTATAATAAAATTCAGAAAAAAAAATATATAAATTTGTTTTGCCTGTTTTTTTTTTTGGTCTCTCTCTCCATAATATAAAAAAAAAACTAAAATGTACGTATTAAATATTCACATCGGACACAAGACCCGCGCTTTATTATTTATATTCGACCATCACAGGCAGCGCATTTCTACCTAAGTACGGTTGGTGCTAGTAATACCTGGTATCAAATCTTCTTCGGTCATGTCGTCGGTGTGATGGATTCTAATTATGGTGGCAACGGGGTCGGACCAATTCACATTCGACACGGTCGTAGAGCTGCTGATAAATCCATGTATGAATACGGACTTGGCTGCGGTCAACCAACTGGCGAGAAACGGCGGCCAATTTCAGACAGTACCGCACACTGTGTTTACGGTGGTTACACGTGGTTGCCAGGCGAATACCAAACAATTATTACAATATTCACCCCTCGGTCGGCAACAGTTATGTTTATGATTGCACACAAATCGGGGGGGGGGCGGAGAGGTGTAGTGGAAGGGGTGTAAATATGACGTACTGCCGTTCGTCAAAGACTCGCCACTTACATGGTAAACCCACGTCATACCATGACGGCTTGTCATTTGATCGAAAACGCTCTAAAACGGTTGAGTATTATTTCACTAAACCCCAAAGCAGAAGGTCGACCCCCTTCCCCTTCGGTAATCAGTGTACACATTTTTTTCAATCCCTGGTAATCTTTTGTAATTCTCAGCAATTAGATTCCAACATAGATCCCTCCAGGGCTCTACCCCATAGTATACCGCAACTCATACCAGTGTAGGTACGCACAGTCAAGGTAATTATAGCCAATCACAGTCTTGGTTAACAACCTTATGTATCTATGGTTTTTAATTCGTCTAGTGATATCGTGTTACGTTTCCAAGCTAGGATTTAAAATGTTTTGTAATAGGTAAAAAACGTAATTAATGGGAGAGGGGGGGTTGCATAGCACAACCGAGGCGCCCTTAAATTACGTCTATCGCCAACGCAACCCGAGTACATATGTTTAGAATTTATTGGTAGGCACAACAGTTTATTAACTTGGGGACGCCTCCCTCCCTAAGTTCGAGCCTAAACGTTTCTGAGACAGTACCGACCACCAAAAGACCTAATTAGGCTTTCAAAAACAAGGCAAAATATTATTTTAAGACTTACAAGCTGTAAGCGAATCTCATTCCACGCCGCTTTATTCAAACATAGCGATTGAGATCGGCTCAACCTAAATATACATCAACGCTCGGTCATTCCGAAATTTGTTGAACGACTTTGGCTCAACGCCCACCACCGCAAGCACATTTTCACCAAGATATATCATTCGGTTGACCGTGTTGTCAACACAACATTAGTCAGCACACATTTATATTGATGCCAGCGAACGAGGAAAATGGTAGATGTTTTTCGAATAAAATAAAATACATTTTGAGTTAAAAAATATATTTTTAAATAATGAACTGCTTTTTAAGATTATAACATTTATTGAAGCTATGCTTCTTTTTTTATTATTAACAAAGAATATAGATTCAATTATTCTTTGAAAAAATAAATAATCAAATAATGAATAAACTCTTACTCACTTCCATACTTAAATATAATTCTATTTGAATGATGTCAAACTCTGTTTACACCCCTGCTAGCTGCCACCAAAGTCAACACTCAACATATTAAGTTGTTGTAGGTTATTGTACGTGTTTTAAAATTTAACTATATTTTGGGATCCGTTCTAATAAAAATACCATAGTTTTATTTAACTGGTCATTATATCCTTGAATGCAAACAAATATATCGTTTTACATAAATATAATTTATGACTAGAGTCTAGAGGTCAGTTCACAATTTTCATGACACTTTCAAGTAAGATAAAAATCGGTCCAAATGTTAACTTATAAATAACAATGCGTGTCCACTATAAACTATAAGGTTTATAATTAATATATTATTATTATTAATTATAATAATTAATTATTTAAGACTAGGAGTGTATGTCATAAAAGTCAAATCGAGAAGACTATACATATTAATCAGATATTAAATATAAAAAAAAAAGCTCAACTGATTCTTTAAATGTATTGGAATAAAAAGTAACAATTAATTGAAAAAATTATTTTAATTAGGTATACATTACTACTTTTAATAAAATGTAATTAAATTACCGACAAATTACTTAAAAAGTAATTTCGTTACAGTAACTTGTAACTTGAGGTTCTCTTTAACAACGATGGTCATACGTTTAAATAAATGATAAATTGGATTAGGATCTTTTTTTTTTTGTTTTGGTTGAACATTTTAAAGTTCCAAGTCTCCAAGTTCATATATTATGTGCGAACACATAAATTTAACAGCCAGCCATCGAATGCAATATTGTGTTGTTTACTCAACAGACATTTGAGTACAATAATAAACGACATGACTCATCTCATAAGTTCGTCTGACCCGAGTGTATTTTTAGGACGAAAACATTCAAGGCATGACGAAAAAATAACGCGTGAAAATAATTACACCAAGCGATTATGATTTCTTTATGCCAATAGAATAATATAATGTGTAAAGGCTTTGAAGATAGAAATGTGTTTATCAAGCAATCCTGTGTGAATACAGCAAACGATATTTTGTTATAGATATAACTACAATATACATTATAGATATATAGTAGGAACACGGTGGATATTTTGTAATTAATTTTATCGACAGATTAAAAACCCTCAAAAAATACGTTTTTCTCTCTTACAACAAAACCTTACCGCAAAAAAAATACCGACGCGGTTTGAAATAAATAAATATAACGGTACTTTATTCAATTATAAATAAGAAAACGATAACATAATAATTAACATATTATGGGTAATAAAATTAAAATAACATTTTGTATATAACATGTTTATATAATCGGATTTGTTAGTCCTAAATTTATTATTTTTTTTTTACACATATGTGTGACTAGATAGTACACTCAACAATTTTTCGCATAAAAGTCTGTTATATTAGACACAGTAATGATAATAATAATAATAATAATAGTAATCATTAATTAATGCCGGCGACAAATATCATTTTTTTGCTTATGTACAGAAGGTATATAAAAAACAAATCGTTGAATAGGTATGTAAATGATGAACAATCGAGGACAACCCATTTCCAGGTTTCCTTTATTTGATATTTTTCCTTAGGCGTATGAACAAATTATTATAATAATTGAAAATCTCATATTCGGCATTCGTTTCGGTTCAGCGTTTAGTTTTCGGTCATGACCATGTTCATCAAACGTTTGAAGCTTCCGCTTTGATGGATTTCGTCAGTGGAAACATAGTCGTGCTGTAATGAAAAAAATGTAAATATTTTAAATGAATTTTTAAATAAATCTAACGATTTTTTGCTCAACAACGAGAACTTACGTTCGGGTGTGGTGCGGTCGGATGTGGTTGTGGTGAAGTGCGCTAAAAACATAAAAAATTGTTTTTTTTTAAAAACTATAATACACCATCAAGTGTTACCCTACAAAGAATATTTATTTTCAGGAATGGCCAAGTTCTAAGTAGGTATAACCTACCTAGCAAATGAGGAAAACTATGTAACCCATTGGCCGGGAGGAGGGAAAAGAGAAACATCCCATAATTAATGTGTTTTAACCCTTTAAAATATTTCATTTGCCCCCGTAATAGGTAACTGTAGTTTTATTAAAAAAGAAATACTTATTTAAATTTTAGGAATGTAAATGCAGACTGATTTAGAACGAACTTCCTATACCTCACCCTCAACCTCAGGTTACTTCACACTTGTTTACTTGAATAATTTGTTAATCATTTTTGTTTCGGTGAGCATTGTTAAACGTTAAACCGGCTAATAATTTCCGTTGATTCGCATATGAATGTCAAGGTTCAACAATATTTTCTACGATGCAATTTAAAATTTTTTGTGTTATTATTATTTGATTTTCTTACAAACATGATTTAAAAAAAAAAATGTCGACAGTTATTATAAAATATAAGATTCAATTAAATTCGATTAAAACACATTGCATAGGATTGACTAGAGTAATACCCGTTTTCGACGATTATAAAACAAAATTGAGTTGATTATTATTTGAGAAATTGGTTAGGATTTGATTGGCCTATCGGCTATCCTATTTATGTTAGGATAATGTAGGGAAGAAGAATTTAATTTAATTTTGATTTTAAAGGGCATGAATACAGCTATTTATTAAGGGAAAAATATAGGCTATATTTGAAAAATATATTACCTATGCTAATTTTATGTCAATAAAATTGGCATAAACAAAATAACAGAAGGAAATTCATATGAATATTTGTATTTAAGTTGTGATTTATATTCTATTTTCTACGAGGTTTTTATATAAAAAAAGACCTTCGCGGGAAAAACGAACGGTATTAATACAATTTTTAAAATTCTGTTTTTTTTAAATAAGACAAGTGTTTGTAGATCCCAATGTTCTGGGATTTCAGTTTTAATTCATAAAACTCAATAAATATAAAAATAAATCGCTAAAATGTCTTATTTTAGTCGAACTTGACAAACAGTCAACAGACTGGCGAGAAAATACAAATATAGGGACTTAGGGCCCTATAGAACTACATTATATTTGTTATAAAAAATAGGTTTAATACACTTTTGGTATTAACCATTGAGGGCTTTACCTCCCAATTTACTTTTTCGGTATAATTTTACGGTGTACTCATGCCCTTTAATAATAATTTAGAATTGTTTTTAATGCATCTACTTACTCCTGTAGTCGGATGGTGCGGTGCAGACAGCCTCTAAAATATAAAACACAAATATATATATTTATATATTGATGAGGAAACTGTATTTTCTAATTCCTCGGGCGGGGATGATTGCTAACAGACGTTTTGGTTACAACGTTTAAGCGCGGTTTTGAGTACTCACGTTATGGTTGTAGTTGCCGTTGACCGTGACTTTCTAGAAACGGATAAAAAATTTAAAAATATTACTTCGTTTCTGTTTTTTTTATATTCTTTATTAATATTATTATTTTACTGGGATATGTGATCGCACGGGCGTACCTTAACTGATCCCTGCACAGGCGAGTACGCTTTCTGTATGGGAATAATGACTTCGCGCGAGTTGTGATTGCCGTGTTCGCTTTCTTGGATGGCTTTGTAAGTCTCGGACTTGGCCGGATCGTACTGCACCGTCTTCTTGTACCTAGTTGTGTTCGGATCAGAAAAAAAGGGGGGAAAGTTCAGAGGGGGAAGGTGTTAGTAAAGAGACGTGTGATGAAGAATACAGTATTTATATAGTAAAAGTTAAGATAGATAGAAAGAAAAAAAGAAAAGAAAAACAGAAGAAATGTTAGAGTTTGCGGTTTAAATAAATAGTGTAATAAAATTAATGCAATTTGGTTAGTCAGTGTTTGTACAGAGAATGGGTAAAGGGACGGTGCAGGATCAATAACGGTATTTACTGGAATGGATTGGGATGTTTCAGTTTGGTTTTGTGTTCCAGGAAGGAAAGGTCAATGAAAATACTAAGATTAGATATGCAGTACGAGTTCTATAGTCATAAAATAAGCAAGAATAAAAATAATATATTATTATTATTAGCAAGAAATGTGTGATTGTTGGATAGACAAGCTTTGTCCCTGTTTTACTTATTGTATATATTTATATCGGTCGACGGTACACAGGATAATATTATTATCATTCTGTTCGTGCCAAAAAAACCCTACGTGCTATTGGTTCGGGGTTTTTTAATTTGTTGTTGTTGCGTTGAAAATATTCGCGAGTGCGGTTTTTTATTTATAATTAAATTTGTTTCTCGGGTGACTGTATAAAGCGATTCATGCCGCCAACACATTCTCGCTTATAAAAATGAATAATATTATCTTAAGACCCAAGTACAATGAATAGTTATTATTGCAACGCTTCGGCATGCCGCATGCTCATGCGTAACTTTGATTTACCTAAAACGACCGTATTTGTCTTCTTCCACTTCCCTAAACACACCATCGGTGTATTATTATCGATAGTATCAAAATATTTTGTCTGGTGTGTGTGTGTGTCAATGTGTCAATTTTAATGACATTTAAAGGTGGGCGAATCGGTGTCAGAGCACAGCCAGGGTTTGTTGAAAATGTTAAATTTTTAACAATAATTACGCATTATTTTGAATCAAACAACCTGGACTCGGAAACAGTACTACGATGGGCAGAGTGGTCACGTCTAACATATCATAATTTTATAACGACTAAAGTTCTACCTGAAAATGGAATGGTTTCTTGGCGTACCTTTTTCCTATAATATGAAAGTCTATTGAAAAAGCATATTAATCAAAAATCTGGGCGCTATGTTAATACCACTCCACCTTTTTATTTGCCTGTTAAATATGTCTCGGAAGGTGTTTTTATGAAGAATTAAACAGTCAAATTTGACCTAGATTCTAACACGGGCAATTATAGCTTAAATTATATATTTCGTAAATTTCCAAAAATCATTGTCCTATAACTCGGTCTTCAATAACTTTTGCCCATGTCAAAATTACTAGATTTTCTAACTAGATTTTCTAGTCGCAATCTATAATTTTTTTGAACTTGAAAAATGAGAATCCCCGATTAAGGTCGAAATTTTAAAATATCGATATGGATTTATTTTTGCTATGTGAATACTTAATATAGTTTTAGCCTAATAGTAAGTTCTTGACAGTCCTTATAGAAGTAACTTGGCCGATCCTGAGTATAATATTATTATTTAGATTTCGAAATGCATATATGAAATAAACAAATTCGTAAATTCGTTGTATATAATATTTTTTTATGTATCTAAATGAAAATTTTAGGAGGCGGGGGAGGGGGATTTGCACTACTAGGGCGGTTAAATGACTGTTTGTAGGCGTCCATTTAGGTCAGACGGTACAGAAATAGAAAATTGAAAAAGGCGAAATGCAATGGGCCAGTTCTGTCTATAAAGCGGACGGCTTATTTATAGACAAGCAAGACCGTCGTCGTAACGCGTAAACATAACCCTTCAGATTTATTTTTTATTTTCAAAGTTAGTCACACTAGATTCAAGGTCAAAGAAGAAACTTAAAAGACTAGGTCGTAGCCTACAACACACTATAGTTTTTATATAATTTTTATAAAAACGTCGGCCCATTACGTTAATATGAAACGGGCACTGACGTCTGACTGTGTACGGTGGTAATAATATTACTATGAACTGTGTATACAATTATTACTGTGAACTCTCGTATTATAGTGACTAAATAAATGAATACTAATAGTATATCGATTAGACGACTTACGGAGTGTATCCGGTTTGCGCTTTGATCGAGTTGGCGATGTTATCCTCAGAGTATAAACCGACCGGTGTGTTAAACTGTTTGTGCACCACCTGTAAGTTAACAAAGCCAATTACCATTTTTTCTTAAATTATATATATGATGAAGCTAAAATAACAATAACAATAACGAAACAAACAGTGCGGACCAACACAGTATAAGCATAAAAATGTATCAGTAAAATCAAAGGCTAAAACAATATAACAAAAATAAAGTTTTATAGTTAAAAAAAAAAAAATCTTTAACTATTACACTTGTTAAGGTGAACTTGTATTATTATAATACTTTGATGAAAATGTATAAAATATCGTACATCAATAATTTATTCATACGTTTAAAATTATCAAGTATGTATAATTTAAATAAGTTGATTTGTTTAAAACAGTATTTAATTAATGATTAGTAAATACTGGCGTGTGTACTAGTATTATATTATTACTATTTATAAAGTTCATCAATGTCAGGATAAAACATATTACTTTGATAAAATGTGTATTTAAGAATTCTTTAAATCACGTTGGGTTCTATCACTGAATAGCCTCCCTCCTCATACAAAATCATCATTTTTATTTGTTTATTTTTTTTTTCTCTCTATATATTATAACAATGTAACTATTTGCTTATTATGCCTTGCCGCATAGATTGTAAATATTCTTTAATAAAAAAAAAGAATTCTTTAGTAATGTATCAACGAATATTATTAACAATTTAAAACGTGTATCGATTAAATTGTATCTGGTTCAAAAAAAGTATCAACACCCATCTTTGGTTATACCTAATATAATACTCAGCGATTTAAAAAAACAATATTTTGTTGAAAACGCAGTTGCTTACGGGGTATTTTATTTAATGGAAATAAAATAAGCTAATAGTTATAAAATCAACAAGAATTATTTAAATTATATTTCAATTACTCTAACAATCGACTGCCTATCTTCGAAAAACTCCTATAATCCTATTTAAAAAGTACCAGATAAATATGATTTACTAGCTAATTTTTGGACTTTGTTCTTAAACCATATGAACGCGTAAGTTTGCGTACAATCTAATTCTAAGTAGTAGCCTGTAGCAAAAGCGGGACGACACAATACAATTTTTTTTTGAACAAATTTATCCCTAACCTGTCTACCAGGTCTTGACTTTGCCTCCTCGTTACTTATCCGTTGCAACACGTGGTCCATGGCCTAACAAAGAAAAATGATTCTTGTAGAATAAATGTCAAGAGACCAGTTGAAAAGTAGATAGTGTCTACAACAACACTATGCGACAAATCAGTGACGTGGTGAACATCATTTTCTTAGTAGTGCAATACAATTTGAGATGCTTAGCCCTCAAGAATCAAAACCTCGGTTGGTAAATTGGACCACTAACCAAAATATAGCTAAGAGCTCAACGGCCTCATATAAATCCATTCGCCACGCCACTGACACGAATAGGTGTGAATATTTGTTTTTAATTTTTATTATATTTGCTTACCCTTTGTTTCATCAACGTGTCCATTGGCTGATCGTGTAGCGACGGATGTGCTCGCATCATTGGGTTCGGATGATGGCGCAGATACGACTCGGCCTTTGGCTGATCCCTCTTGGCCTTTGCTCCCGGCAACACCAACGGATTGGTCCTGTACGGCTGCGGGACGACATTACCATTAATATAAAAACAAATAATGATAATAAAGACAATAATTATAACATTAGCTGCCAGCGGTCCGGTTCGATTATTTGGAAATCACTTGAACTAAGACTGTCAGTACTAACCGCAGAAGCTAACTTGTTAAAATATAACTGATATTACATAATATAGTAAGAGCAAAAAAATAGTGTGTACAGACCGGAGCGACCGGTCTGAAAATGAGAGTTTTCCAGCCGATGGTCCGCTGTCCTAGAACGCTATTACTACAACAGTTCTTCTTGGATAAGTCAATACATCATCAGAAAAATCGTTTGACTTATATTAATTGATAATTCTCATTTCGCCCATAATAATTTATCATATCATTGGCCGACTGGAGACGACAATATCGACGTTATAGACAGAGACGGCGCTATGGCTAGGCAACCGCTTAACAAAAATAAAGTGATTTACTTTTATTTAAGTTGGCTTTTTTGAATAATATGTACTATATGCACTACCGCTATTATTATACCACTGCCTAGCGCAGAAGTCAAACGAATCTTTTCCAACCTGATAGAAATAAATACCTATTTTAGGAAAAAAAAAAGACAAGAAATCGGCTACCGGTAATCGCAGTACTTTCAAATGAAATTTGTTTTCCAAAAATTTGGAAATGGAAGACACTTTCCAAGTGAATTTGCTGCAGTACATAAAAACAGAAAATGTCTATTACATTATATACTACTCTTATTATACAAGCCCTCGAAATTAAAATTTATATTTTTATATGTTATATATTTTTTTTATTACAGCAACGCGCTGAGCCTTCAAGACATGTTAAGCTTCATAATGATGATGACGATAGAGATACAAATGTATTGTCTTTAGTCTTAACTTGCTTGATAGAGGTAAATGTTAGGGTGAGTGCCCAAGGAGAATGTAAGTTTACCTACCCCAAGCTCCTGACCACTTGTATTAAGTAGTCGCGTCGTGCTTGTTATAGGGCTGTATTAGCAAGTGTAGAACAATGCGGGGATGGGGGTTTTGGGGTTTCCACTAATCAAGTCTTACCCATAGTAAGGCGTTTTCGGGCTCGTACACGTTGGGTTCCGGTTCTGTGTGTGAGAGCATCATCTTGACAAGAGTTTTGCGTGGAGGAAAATGTGCGCACGGCCAACAACAACAACAGCAACGCTCTCGAGGAGACTACTTGCCGGCAGACGACTTACGGTGGCTTTCGGTTACTACGGTTGTCCTTTGACTGAGAGCTTTTACTCGGTCGGCGCGCGCTGTTAAGGCAGACCGGGGGCAGGGATTCGCCCACGCCGCTTGGCAGACTCCGGCGTACTTGGGCGAGGGTCTTCTAAATTTAACATAACCAAACGGTTTCCCATAGGCCAGCATGTGCGAAACGGTTTTAATTTGATACGGCCCGCGTTTTCGCGACATTCCTTGAAAGTTGTCTATAAGTGTGTGTGTGTTTTTTAAATTTAATATCATCGTCAACACAACGCAGGTTGGCGGTGGGCGTTTACGAAAGTATAATAATATAATATATTTATATCTATTATGTTAGTACATCATCATAATAACCGAAAAACAAGAAAAATCGTTTTATTTTTAACGAACCGATATCAAATCCTTGACACGTATTTTCACGGTTAACAATATACGAATAAATGTAAAAAAAATGTAATCGACTGAAAATCCTTAAATGTATAACAGATGTCTCATCATATAGATATGTCCTCCCAAGTATTTCGGTGGCCTCATATTTTTTCGTGTTTATATGTATGTAACTTATTGCGTATTTCAATTTGAACTTTCAACATATTTTATTTAAGCCGTCAAACCATTATGCAAGAAAAAAAGGTTTATATTAAATTAATGTTTATGAGATAAGTCCAATATATCATCACATGTAGATAGCGACTAATGAACAGAGACTACAATGTCTTCACTTGATTTGCTAGCCAAAAAAAACAAGGAAAGGAAGAAGGTCATAGTTAATTAAAACCTTTATACATTGTCGAAGTCGAAAATCCTAAGCAAATAGTCAAGAACCAGGAGGTTTCATGTGTATTAGTGATTAGCCTTAATTTACATTGAAAACTGAAGAAGAAAAAAATCTTTGTAACCGAGAAAGACTAATGCAGCGTTATATCTCTAATGAACAAGTTCGGTAAATTTGGGAATATTCTATGAAATATAATTTTGATCCTATAATTCTATGGTTCATATTCATAGAATCCTGAATTTATTCAGGTATAAATTATTAAAAATGGCAAAGATAGCATGAGATTTGTCAGTTTGTACAATTGACACAAGGTGCACTTGACATGTAAGCCGCATAATTCAAAAATATCATCCGCTAATTTAATAGTATTATTAAAATGCTTAACCCGACCGAAAATTATTAGTCAGAGCTTCGACTTCCATCACGACAGTGATTTAAAAATAACACACAAGTATGTACTTTTGGTTTGGGTCCAATATTGCAAAACAAAATAAATTTCGTCACGATTTTTCGTGTTACAACAAGTTCTTCCGCGCCTAAAATAATAACATAGTATTATTATTATTATTATTATTATTAAGATGTTGCATTGAGCTATTTAGCCCAAGGATCATCAATGGCTAGATATATCTAATAGCGCGTGACCAGTCGCCAATTCCTTCTCGACTAAAAAGTAATTGGTTATGGAACTTTAGCCTCGAGTATAGTGACCACATCAGTGTTGAGACAACCGACGACACGTGAGACTTAGAAATCATTCAACTAACTCCAATACAATTAGGAACTCAAGCACAACACAGGACTTGCATATAATGCAATAGTACAGTATGCACATAGGTATGTTAGCTAGTCTAACAGCTGTAAGAAACGTCTTCGGTTTAACAAGGTACTTTTATCGCAAATAAATAAGCTAACGTAATATTATATTAAAGTTTTCGCCAGTTGTAAAAAAAAACTCAAACCGATGGTGTTTTGACTCAGCCAAATACTTGGTATTCACCAACAAATATAGGTGTTATTGGACTTAAAAAAAAAATTAATTTGGTCGAGATTTTTTTTTTTTAAATCAGGTCATTGCCAACGAGGGTTTTCGCTGTACTCAGCTGACGACAGTAACTCTGTTAATTAAGCAAATTGAAATTAAATCAACTCCCTACAACTACAATCAACGGGACAATGTCGATTTGGCTTCATATAACGATGTTAAAATCTCGTTAAATTTTCATTTATTTCGTACGTATAGTCCAGTTACCCGTTATACATTATTATCTAAAAACGCTCTTTGTTTTTATTAAAAAAAAAAAAAAAAGATTAAATGTAATTATTGCAAAATGCGAGGTCACGTCATATGATTTTTATTGATGGGCATTTAATAGAAACGAAGGCGCGCACATATTGATCACAGAACTCGGTCGCTGCCAACTTATATTTTTAAAATGAATATCAGTCCTTTCACATGTTGAGCCAACTTCGATAGTGGGTCACCGGCTTGATAACTTATTTGATGCAACGCAAAATTATTCAAATGTAACCATAGAGAAAAAAAATGATTATACTTTATTCAGTACCTAATGCTTTTTCATTTCACTTTACAGAATATCCTAAAAGTCTCATAGCATTTAAAATATTTTCAAACTTCGCATTAGTGTTTATTGAAAATATATTGGCTGAATAGTATTCTGGCTAAATTAGTATCAGTTGAGTTTAATAAATAACCCATAGGAAAAAATGTTAATAAATAAAATAAAACTATTTATGACCTTTTTTTCGTGTATTATTCTAAATATATTATTTGATAGAATTCTGAGGTAAAACTGTTTGAATATTGCTTTTGTTGTATACCTACACTAACCTACACTTGGTTACCTACATAACAAAATTAATTGAATTCAAAATAAAACCTAAAATGAATTTATTTATTTAAATATATATAGATAGTAAAATTAAGGTTTTTAGTGAATTTCAAAAGATAAATTTTTGTAACTAAATAATTTTTGCCATTTTTTACTGCACATAAAAATAATATAAAATATGGAATAACGGCTAAAAATATATTATATATAATAAATTGGCCAAAAATGAATGACAAAACAAAATATCAAAATACGTTTTCAAGATTAATCACATTGAAATTGAATTACATTTGTATAATTGAATCAATACTTTTTAATTTTTATATTTACAACAACTAAAAGGCATAAACGAAATATTAGATGGTTTTTTTTAACGTTTTTTTTATTTTTGCAGAGCAAATGGCACCTGTTGACTTGGTAAACAAACAAGTGTATGTATTCAGCTGTTTTGTTTTTAGCGGCAGTATTGTTATTGCGAACTTTCTAGAATATTCTTTAAAAAATGTAAGTTTATTTTTGAATCGTTTTACCTCCAGCAGAGATGGCTAAACGCATAATTTGGCTAAGGTTTTGTTTTCGTTAAAAATAATTACCATATTTTTCCCACCGTTCATTTTCCTGCTCTAAGACAGTAAAAACTATTCGAGTAATTCTTTATGTGGTTTTATTATTAATTTAATAAAATTTCAAGAAATGTAGAAGCCAAACTATTAAACATAATACAATTATTGTTGCACTTTGTAATGTATATTTCACACTAAGGCAAGAATTACTCTAAAATTAAAAATTGTTATTATTATTGACGAATTAAATTAAAAAAAAAAGTTGATGTTTTATTCATTAGGTATATGTATACCATTAATTTCGTAAGAAAATTGTATTTATAAATTAATATAATTAACGGACCTTCGGAAGAGTCATACAAAACAATTACGGCCCCCTGCACGTCCTACCGATTTAAAATCTTAACGCCTACTAAAAAGTAGCTTACAAAATGCGCTTAATTTTCTTTTCAAAAATAAAAATACCAACTTAAATCATATCGCTTTATGCTTTTAGCGTATAACGTGGCAGCATAGGTCATTTTCACACAACATACACGATTTGCTAAAATCACGGTGAATTTTTTTGTTGTTTTTCGTCTACCTTGGACGTTGTTTTTTGTCGTCCCTAGAAATAGCTCGTGGTGGCGTTCAAACGTCAACGCCGAGTTCACGTTTTAATAACAATCATAATAGCGACGAATTGTCGTCTTACACTTTTCTTTCTTTCTTTTTTTTTATATATATATTAACGAGGGACACTGCGATTGATGCCAACAAAGTACAGAGTGTTGCCCACATAATATTAAAGTCAGCCAGGTGGTCTGATAGGTGTTGTGCACATTCCGCACTTACTTGTTGATCAATTGTCGGATCGTGGGCTTCGTCGTCGGTAGTGCCGCTATAGTCGACCAAAACCGGCGGGAAACGACAAAAATTGTTCACCGGAGACTGAGCAGCCCGTTCGTAACCGTAAATCCCGTTAACGGGCGAACAAGCCGGCGATGGGGTCAACCGCTTGCCGACGCCGTGTTGCAGAAACGGTTGGTTGTCCGGCATCAAAGGATTGGGACTGGGCGCAAAATTAGGAGCATCTCTGAAAAAAAAACAACACACAGGTCACACAAAATCACCCTTACGATTATAATAACAATGTTCGTCTATTTCATAGGTAAGGCACAAATGCACAAAAAAAAATACAATGTAAAAATACGTTTCTTTCTCTTGCATTTCTGGTATCGTCAATTTTTCAGCGACCGAAAAAAGCCTACCCGACGTCAACCTTAGATCCTCCCAGTTAACTATGTTCAGAAGGATGGCTATTGCAGTACATTACTTGTGTACTGGGGCGATGAAATTGCCATATTCCCTACCCCACACCATAATAAACTGAACGAACTAATTAAAGTCAGTTCAGCTCAAAGCTCTATGCCCGGGTTTGCCATACCCGTCACACTAGTTTGTTAATGCTCATAAAAAAAAGATATGGTAAGAATTCTTTCGTGGAGAACATATTTCAATTTTTGAATTTGTTAAGACATATTTTTGTATACACTATATACTAGATAAAGAAATCGATAAAAATAGTTAATTAGGATTCACGGTTTTTTTTTATTAAAACTTAAAATAAAATTATTTTTCTTTGGACACCAAAAAATTATTTTGACTAGTTTGAGTTACTAGCTGGTTTAGCACGGCAGTATAATACATATGTCACAAAACAAATTGGCATATGCAAAATAAAACCATAAACTATTTTAAAAAGTATTAACTGGCAATAAAATACAATATAAAAATGTTGGATTATTGATCTACATGGTTGAAAGCGTATTATTGGCATGTTGAGCATCTTTTTAAAGCGGACATCTTGTCATCCATCTTCAGAATATAAAAAGCCGTTCAGAATGCTAAAATTTCAATACCAACTTACTCGCTTATTTATGGAGAAATGTAAAGGTATCGTCACTTAAGGTTAAAATTACATCGTATATTAGTATAGTATTGACTATTGAGGGTTCTTCATATTTATAATATAGAAGAGATAATTTCATACATTTACAATTAAAAAAACATTTTCAGAATGTTCTAAATAAATAGAAAGTATTTGTGTACGAATAATATGTATTAACCTACTTTTAGTACTCATTCACAAACTAAATAAATAACGTATTTTGAATTTGTTATTGTTGTTTCTTTAACCAAAGATTCGGCCTTATATTATTTTTAAAATTTTTACATGATACATAAAGATGTTAATGAATTAAATTATTGAAAATACTGCACTATGGACCTGATCCAATCCTGTTAGAAAAATGTGCCACGTACTGAAATGCATTTTGTAACTTTTCAAGGATAATAACATGTACCTAATTTAGTAATTAGTACCAACAACAGACGAACAATACATAGAACTCTAAGAGGTTTAAACTTACTAAGACTCTTTTAAGTTCCCAAATTTGTCAACAACATACCGTAGTCCCTAGTTTATTGGTTAACATTAAAGGAATTAAAAAACTATACTACCTAGGACATTAAGCTATTTTGGTTTTATACAAACACTGTATAATATACTTAGACGTATAAAATAAAAACATTATTGAAGATTGAAGTTGGACTATAAGTTGTATCATAATTCCTAGAAAATATCTGCAGTTTTTAGGTAAGTGGCATATTTTCTGGCTAGATTGGACGAGTTCCATGATGTATTTTCATTTTCAAGGTTATTTTTAATAAGCTAAGAAGACGCCACACCGTCTATCTATTAAGGAGTAAAATATAGGCAATTTTTTGATGCGTCTTGATATGATGTTAAAATGTAAATAATCATTTGTTGACTTAACAAAAATTAATCTATTCTGCTAATTATTGTTTCCAACTCTTATAAATAAGCTACTTAGTTATTATTTTACATAACATGTCGCAGGAAATACACTTTCTGGCCAACGAATAATTTTAGTAGTTTTTATATCTATAAAAAAAATGAAGATCAATACTTAACCTAAATTTTAATCTAGACGATTTTTGATAAGATTATTTCTTATTACTTATTAGTAACCGAGTTGTAGGATACTGATTTTTTTAATTTTTAAAGGATTATAAATTTTCCCTCTAATTGTTAGTCTAAAATAACAAAATTTAAAATAATAATTATTATTATTTTTGTAAATTTAATAGTGATGGGAAACCGAGAATCGGGATTTATAAAATGTTCCTATAATGTTAACACTATATAAGCCACTTAAAAATCTTAGAAGTATTAAATATTATTACAATAAAATGCTGTGTACTTAAGTGAAATGTTTTGATGAAAATTTTAAAATTTAGGACAGAAGGAAGGGTGGAGAGTAAAGTTATTTTTATCTGCACGCATTTTTCTACTGCACTCCACCTGCCGTCCTAAATTTTAAATTTAAATTACTATACAAATAATTATTGAAAACTGGTTATCGTCCAGACAAATTTTCAGTAAATTATTCTAAATTTTAGAAGCTAATTAAATATATACGTTGCCGTTGTACGTTTTATAAGATATTAGAGCTCTAGCAAATACTAAAAAAGATAAATAAACTGAATATTGTTTGATATTGTACTATAATATAAATGAAAATGTTTTCAAAAAGAAACGCTACAAAATTGCAATTAATTTAAGAGTAAACTAGTGTAGGGCGTTAAAAGTTTCACCCAGTATACGAGACAATCAATTAATTTATCAGAGTATAAATAAGTTTGCAACTTTACCTCTGGATAACAAGTGTAATTTTTTCGGCATCGCTAAACAAATTTTGAGCATCCAAATGCCTCAAGTCTCTGGCATCGTAGTCTTCAATTTTCTTTATTATGTCACCGACTCGGAGGTTTTGGTTGCATGGCGTTCCAGCGTATACCTGAAAATGGAAGCACAAAAATAAGTTTTTGTTCTTTTTTTTAATTTAAGTTAGGTATATTTTCGTTCTTTTTAAACGAAATAATAAATAGAGCTATGTTCAGAGTAGTACAAACGTGTACCATATCAATATTGAATAGAATTTATAGACTATGTTGAATTGGAAGATTGAAGGTAGAATTTGAAGATGTGGTGAGTACAGTGAAGTGAAGAGTGGCAATGGGGTGTTGTGTGACAGAAATATTTCATTTAGATTTAAAAAGAAAATGTAAGTTGCTGAAATGAGAATGTGAGAATAAGGAATGAGTTAAAGCAGCGGTTCCCAAACTTTTTTGGTTCACGTATCCCTAAAAATAAAACAAATAATCGCGCCTCCCATGAATAAATGAATTACAAATACTCGTACTAGTACGTTGCTTTTTAAAATTATCGTTGATCTAGAAATATCAGTATTTAGTATTTACATGTACGCTGCACGGCGCAAAATCGAAATACCAAATTCAAGCAGCTTTAACGCCGCCATTTTTAATTTTTTCAATATGAAATTTTGTTATAAAATACTTTGATGATACTTTGATCATGAATAATTTCATGATGTAATTTATTTAATTTTAAGAAATCTTATAATTTAAAAAAAAAAAAAATCCTGGAAAAAAACGGCTTTTTACATGACCCTCTCCCCTTTAATGCTTGCGCCTCCCAAGGGAGGCGCGCCTCACAGTTGTATAGTTTAACTGTTAAAATATACAAGGGAAGTTCAGGAGTGCGTCAATAGAAGGACACGTGAAATAAAACCGATTGCGATGATTCGGGCGTGTTCAAAAAGGGAGTAAAGTGACATGGTAAAACAAGTCAGAGAGATCACTACAGAGGGATTTAGAGGCGAGATAGACCAAAGAAAAAGTGGGTGGACGAAGAATTGGAGATGGATACAGGATAAATTTGTGGCGAGAGCGGATTTGGCTGGCCGACTACTTGTATAAAATAAGGTTCAGAAGAAGAATCAGTTTAACCATTAAATTACCAAATTAAAATTTCTTTACCTACTAACCTCTAAATAAATTAGCGAAAATTAATTAATGAAAATAAGTGTTAATTATAACACTTATTATAAATTAACACACTTTCATTTATTAGGTAAACCAAACAAGAAAGAAAATTAAAAAATAACTCATTTAAATGTATAATTTATTAATTTTTCTACATTACAATAATTTACATTATTGTATCAGCATGAAAAAACTTGTCTTCGAAATGGAGTGGTAAATAGTACTATAAGTATTAAAATATAAAACTGAATAACTAAATACGTGAAATACACTGAAATGACTAATTCTTTCAAGTAATTCCGCCTTCATATCATAAATCATATAAGCCTGTTTACTAATAGTTTAATATAGACTATGTTATAGTCAACGGTCATTACGGTTCAATGATATTTTTAAGTGGTTGGATTTTGGCAGCAGTTAAATTTTATGAGTAACTATCTACATCCTCTCCTAAACATAAGTTTTGGCGTTAAGAATATTGAACGCATGACAATATACATATAGTCAGTATTGGAAATTGATGTGACAAGATGTTGAATATCTAACGAAATCGCGTAAACATCACTAAAATTGTCCGATAGGCTTAAATAGATGAACTTGTCAACGTGCCCAAGGTAAAATAACATCAGGATGTTATATAAAAAAAATTAATCCAATTTTAAATTACTGCTTACCTAATAAATCAAACCACCTACCTTCCTACACGCAAACGTTTCTAAGCACTTCAAAAAGGTCAACATTATTGATATCGTAACATAATTATTGTTTTTGTTTATAGCTAGACTGGGTCCTGCTCCTACGTGGCATCAGCCATCGACTTACACAACTCATAACGAATGTTTAATTTAATTTGCAGTTTAACTTTAAACAGGACAGTTTCTAGGATTAAAATTATAGGCTATTTGCAAAAAAATCAAATTTTGTCCAAAAAGGAAAAAAATATAGACAAGTAGGAACGAATTGCCATTTTTTAATTATAAGATCCTAAATAACATTAATATTTTAAACGGTCCTACAGCCCCGGGTTGGTCGTCATATTAGAAAAATGGCGGCTACAATCGGGTGTTTACATTACATTGATAACGAGCATTTTGGAACCAATTTACTTATAATAACAATTTTTAGACATTAAATTTCCCATAAAATACAATTAGCAATTATTTTCTTACGACTAATAGTTTCAGAGATATAATTAAATAGCAAGTTTCCTGTATTACATTGGCCATAGAAATTTCTTCATTATTGACATGTTCGATTAGGTAGTATTTCTATACACAAAACAATACCAATGTAAATTATTATTAATTAATATTTACTTTATTATCAATTTTAAATTGTCTATTTATTGCTGACGTGTGGCTAAAATAAATTAGTCACAATAGTCACTCAATCGGTAAAAAAAAATGTAAATTATACATATCGGTGGGTCAGTCAAAGCCCATAGCAATATGAAACTTTGCCGCTTCGGAATTTTAAAGATACGCCACTCTATAGAAACTTAGTGACAGATTACATTTGATGGTATGATTTGAGATATAACTTGGATTTTTAGGAAGTGACTACAATGAGTGGTTTCTTCCTTCAAAATTGTTTTCTTGTACTTATTCATACACTTATCACATATGTTTATTGTGCTTATTTGTACAGTTTGTAAATTTTTTATTAAAATATTTAAAAAAACTTCGACTTTAATGATATTTATTAAGTCGATTTTAGTAGGTGACAAACACATAACGATGAATCAATCCATTGATTCAATTTCTATTGGCTAGGTGTCATATATGGAAGCCCATGACCTCCTACAGGATCCTGGACCATATTTTTTTGTTATTATACTATATTAAAATGATTATCTCGTACTCACCTTTGTAATAACAAGCGGAGTGTTAAGATCCGCTCCACCCGCCAGACGTATTCCCCACGGCTGAGACGTGCTATTCCTGGTCAACGACACGGTCCACGTGCTCGGTTTTTGGGAACTCATAACGCGCCCTGTATGCACTTGTTGAGGAAGTTAAAACTTTCTTATAACGTTCAAAAGTATATAGTCAAGACTTGCCGAGTGAGACAATTGCAACGTACCGGACTTATGTGCTCTAACGGCAAAAACAAAGAAGTAACGAATATCGGAAAATCTACGTGGAATAAATTACTATTATTTAAAAAATTAAAAACAACGGTATGATAATATAACGGGAAGAGTGCGCGTGGGCGAGAGAGATAGACGACGATAGCTGTTGTGCAGCGGTTTATAATATATTATATTATACACACAAACTCGACGCGGGCAGATACTTTCCGGGGGGGACACCTGTCGAACGATAAAACAGTATTGCTATGGTTAATAGCTGCGTACACACACACACACCTCTAAAGTATACACTGCGTGTGTGTAGGAGAGGTGGAGGAAGTATGTGTAAAAAAGCTTGGTAGAACAAAACAAATTGAAAAAATGTTCACAATAAAAAAAAATGTATTTACACCGTCGGTAACCCGCACTGTACAATTCACTGTAATCGACAGCGTACGGCCGACGATGAGTGCTTGCAAACTATTAGGTCGGTCTACATATGGACGGGATCAGAGCCAAAATCTGCGCACATCTCTGGTGTAATGTGTGTAATATGTGCATAATAAAAAAATAAAAATAAATTAATCCCCATTAAAAACCAAATCGAAATAATTAAACATTAAAAAATGATATCAATTAATGTGCCATAACGAACGCGGCTCGCGTTTTTTCTATTTTCATTTTGAAAGCGTAACGCAAATCATTTTCGTTAAAACATCATTCTCGGAGAGGGTGGAATATTTTAATCTAACGATAAAACTGAAAATTAGAATAAAGGTAGGACTTGTACAAATTAATTGTTCTTATACATACATTTTATTTATATATATATATATATATAATGTAAAAATATTAAAAAAGTGACTTTTATCAAGGAAATATTAGTGATTTTACTGCAGCTCATTTACATATAGTTAATAATATACATGGCACGGTTATTCTACTTCTTCCCGGGTTTTTGGCCGTTTACACACAATTAATTAATTTTGCCGTGTTCTTTTGGATTAAAGCCATTTCCTATCCATGTAATTTGTTGTTTGTCCTGTCAGACATACGACCTGATGTCGGCTAAAACACGGACTATTAATTATTATTACTTAAAGTTAAAACGAAGGAAAACCCCCATTTTCACACAACGATACTTGTATGTATACAAATTGAAATTTTTCTTATACGTAGTTTTATATTGTACTTGGTCGAGTAGAGCGAACCGGTAACAGTTCCGGATTGACGTTTAAAACATATACGGATTTACTTATAGACGCAAAAGCCACATGATACCAGATATCAGAATAGTATTGATGCGATAAATACTTGTTAATTAGTTATTAACAAATTAAATTGTTTGTTTTTTTTTTTTGTTGAAAATATTCAATATTTGTTATAAATTCAAAACGATTAACGCAACACTAATTTTGTATTGCGAAATCAGTATGAAAGTATCTACGTCATATTGTTATAAACAAGCATGCAGAGATGAGCAAAACATAATATCAAAGAATAAAGTCTGTGAATAAGTCTCGATTATATTTAGTTATTTATTATTCAAATTATTAATAGATAATGTAATAGTAACACCTATTAAAAGCCCGGGCTTGAAACACTCAAACAATTTTATTTAATTAACTATAGTAAGCGGGCTTACTTATTTAAGGTTGCCTTTCGACATGGCATACTAGTCACTATAAAATAGTACATGCTACGTATTATAATAGTTAGACAAATAAAATTGACTTATTACAATATAAAAGAAACGCATACACACAATATATTATTTAGGAGTGGGCCGATACTAGAACCGATACTCGATATCCAGCCGATATTAGTGGTGTCGGTTTTATCAGTGTCGATTTTTTTAAAAACCGATATTTGGACCGATACCAAAAAAATAATAATCTAATGGTAGCCGTAAGTTGGAATATCGGTTTTATTGGGTATCGGTTTGTTATATCGGTTTTGTTTTAATATCGGATATCGGCATCATATATGGGAATATCGGGTATAGGCCCATCCCTAATATTATTATACATCATAGGCGTGGGCATAGGTAGCATGTGCACATAATAATAATTTTTTCTATGGAAACCTGGTTTACAAAGTTAGAAAAAAATCAACTTATAAGAATTTTTGAGTTCAATAGAAATACTTTAAAATTTAATACAATATGTATATATTATAATTATAATATTATAATATTACAATATTATAATTATACACTCATTTTAGAAAAAAAAAAAATCTAAATTATATTCAATTTTTTTGCAGTGATACTAATGAATAGGTATATATTATTTTTAATTCCATAAGATTTAAAAAATAAAATAGATTTTTCTGGTCAAAAATTAAACCTAAAACTTAAACGAAAATCTATAAATTTATTCAACAAAAATATTTCCAAATCTGCGGGTATACTTAAAATTTAAATTAAATTTAAAAAAATATTTTGATTATGAATAAAACACTCAAGGTTTGCTAATTTTTAGCATTGTTAACTAGGTTTCACCCTGAATGGTTATTGTAATTATTTTTTAATTTAATATTTTGATTAAAAATCTTTAGAGAATTATTTTTTATTTAGCTTTTATAGTTCGACCAATTTGTTTTTTATGTTAAATTATGTAATAATTCACTTTTTTTTTTGTAGTTAGTATAGGTAATTTGTAGTTCTGTTTAAGAGTTTCTTGTTTTTTTTTTTTTTATAGATGAATAATGTGAGTTTTGGAAAATAATATGGTCATTGGTCTCGATTGAAGATGGGAAGGGGAAGTTAACTTTCAAATTCGGGCTTTTTAAATGGAACTATTGGAATTTTTTGTTATAATTGCACTGCATGCCCAAAGAGTCTACCTACGCCTATGTTACACACACAAAGTAGTTTAAATAACACAGAGTGATTAATTAAACGCAATTTTCTCTTAAAATTATTTAATTTTTGTAGTTTTACTTTTTGGAAACCCAATATTTTTTATTTTTTTTCGTCAACTCCTTAAACTTAAACGGTTACGTATATATTTAATTAACTTTTTAAATATGATTTATTTGCTAAAAATGTTGCTATACAATATATATTAACGAAAGTTTTGTATAATTTCTTTTATAGTTACCAATGTTTTTTAATTTAAAGCGTAAGGGGGAGTGCGGTAGAGTATTTCGGGCAGATAAAAATAATACTCTACTCCACTCTTACTACCGTCCTTGATTTTAAACGTTACCATTTAAGTTTCAATAGTTGATAGAGCTTCAGAAAATACTGCAAATGGTTAATATTTAGTTATTTTGTAATATTATTTAAAAATAATATAAATACAAATGTTTTAAAAAGAAAAAACTACAAAATTGCAATTTTTTACTACCGGTATAGATATTTATCAAAAACATTAATTTCAAAACTTATTTAATAAGTTGCTTAAACAACTTCTTATAATAAACGTTTTATATCGATGCAGGCATCAATTGACTTATGTAAAATAAACATAGATAATTAAAAAAAAAAAATTTTTTAATAGTAGTTGTACTTTTTTAGACTTATTAATCAAATAAAATGAACACTTATTTCAATAATTGTAATAATACATAAATTAATTAATTAACCAATTAATACATAAAACAAAAAAAATTAAAATTAACAATTGAGTCAAAAGAATAGAACTTAACTTAACCTCAAGGAAGATGACAATGTTTATTTTTTAAATAAAATATAATATACCTAATATAAAATTTGAATTTAAAATTAAAATATTTAATTTTAAATGAGGTGTTGAATTTACAGTTATATGTTTTTTTTAAGTAAAATGACTATTCATAACATAGTCAATAGTTGTTGTACTAAAAAAACCTCATAATTATAAAATCAATACCTTATCTATATTGTATCGAGACTAAAGTCATTTGGTACTTTGTTAATATTGCGAAGGCAACAAATCATTTGATATTAATCAATCACAATTTTTTGTTTAAAGTATTATTGAAATGTGTAGACAGTTTTTAACATAGTTAATATTTTTAGAATTATTACCTTGTTACTAAATTATTTCGCATAAATTATAAGTACAAATAATAATGGGTATGCAGTATGCTGACTAGCGACAACAGGAACTATTGTATTAATGGGATTGAAAGCGGTCTGGTTTTATACGTTCTAGACCAATAAGCCTGACAACATTTCTACATAACCTAGTAAAATAGTTATAAGAACTCGGATCTCTTTACAGAACTGATATCGGATCATCAAGTAGGCGTAATTTTGTCAGACTTTTGGGTCTAAAAGACCACTAATATCGCGTTGACTCATTGAAAACATTTCAGAAGTTAATAATAATACTAAAAAGCTTATACAAATAATCTGTAAATAAAAAGGCATGGTCGAAATTTATTAAAAAAAAACCCTTTTTTCTTAAATACTGCCTACATAAAAATCCTTAAGACCCACCCGCTTTCAATCCCCTTAATTATTACTTATTAGTATCTTACATATGTACTTACAACTATAATTTATTATACATTTGATTTTGTGCTAAAAACTTGTACAACTCTAATTTTGGGTAAATAACTAGATTTAATAAATGTATCAACAAAATATAACTAAATTATACTAGTAGGTACTATTATTATTAGTCTTTTAAACTATTTCTGAGAAACTACTAACTTTAATACTGTCATAATTTCCAAAAAAGAAAAAATTATTGAATAAAAGATTTACAAAAATGTTTGACTCGTAAATAGAATAACAAATTAAATACTTACAACTCTTAACTTGACAAATATTAACACCGCATAATACTCATATTATTTCAAGTCAATATTGGCGAACCTTAAAAACATTTTACTGAATGGTACGACATCTGGCTCATTTCTGTGGTCATCTAACATGTTTCTGGGAGCTGTTATCAAGTCCCATTTATTTAAAACTGGATCATAGGTTTCAGCTGTATACGTAGTAGCGTTATCGTAGTCTCCGCCGATTACGTACAGTTTATTTTTAATGACAATGGCATCTAATTAATATAAAACAACGGTTAGGTTAGGTAAAGTTCATTTAAACTCATTACTAACTTGCAAGCGCCCGTGGCTTGTTCATCTGTGCCACTGAACACCAATCTTCAGTTTCTAAACTACAACATTCTACCGTATTACACAATGCCATAGAATTATTTACATCAGAACCACCGATAATGTACAGTTTTGAGTTCATTATTATAACAGAAGTGTGACTTCTTTGCAACGTCATTCTATTAAATTCCATCCAAGTATCATTGGCGACATCGTAACGTTCAATGATGTCAGAATCATCACTAGAGCCACCCACCTTAAGAAAAATAAACAAAACCGTTATTTTAAATACATCAAATACAAATTGAATGCTTAAAGTAAACAGTCTTTGTATAAGTATATTTTGAATTTTATTTAAATACGGTGTAATAATTATTTGATTAGTAGCGGTTAGTAAAAACATGCGCCAATATTTTTCTCTCCATATTTACTGACACATTGAAGATCTAAACCAGTGATTGTCGGAAAGAATACAACTCAATACTCACAACATACACAAATCCGTTATTGTACACCGCACTGCAATTTTTCCGAGGTACTCTCATTGATGTGGTAACCTTCCACGTGTCTGTGGCAATATCGTAGACTTCACACATGTTTGTAGTAGCACCAATTAAACCTCCCGTTGTGTACTGAGCAAAACCACCCACCTAAAAAAAGAATTACAATAGTAAGCTATTACGATTTGTTTTGATACAATACAATGTATACTTACAACAAATATCTTATCTTCGCTCATACACACTGCAAAGAACAATCGAGCCAAACCCAAGGGCGATTTAGGTATCCATTTACGATTTACTTTAGTAAGATCTAATGCGTCCACATTATTAAGAATTGCCCTTGTCTTACTGTACCCGCCGATTTCAAACATCACCCCACGTGGTGACACCACCAATTTGGACGATCGACGATTAAAACTAAAAAACATTGGCATTTTTTTCCATTCCATGCCCGCTGTGTCAGTGTCACTTGAGATATCGAGATACTCGAGTAATTTATTACCGATTTTTCCTAGTCCTCTGGGTATTACAAATATCACCTAAATATTAATCGTAGTAAACATTATTAATTGTAGCGTAATTAGCATTATTCAAACAAAGCGTACGTACATTAGGTACACCCAAATCATGAGGAAACCTTCTTGTTTCACTTGACGACATTACCAATGGATTTTTAGTTTCTTTAGGAAGACTCTTATTCTTTTTGAAAATATTTTTTAATAATGCGTTTAGATCTAGAAAAAAAAATGTATTGTTTGTTAAGAATGCAGCAAAAATAAAGCCAACACAGTGAGGTCAACAAATGTTGGGGACGAGGAAGGCACAGGTCTCCGAGAATTATTATAACTGACGTAATAAAATTACTTTAAAATAAACGCTTTGATGCAGAACTGTAGACAGTAAAAACTATTAAGTATGAATATAGACATTTTTAAAAAATAAATATTTAATTTAATAGTAACTGTAATATTACAAATCTTGAGTTTTTCTGGATAAAAAATTTGCCACCACTTTTTTTTATATTAATAAAAATAGAACGAAATTAACTATAGTTTCTTAAAAATAAAGTGTCTTATATCAATGTTATCACTCTGAATACATGTTTAATATATTATTATAAGTAACAATATTAAAATAAATATATATATATATATTTTTACAAATGTTTTAGCTTGAGTGCAAAGCTGAAGAGGTGTTGTTTTTGCTATGATATTTTTCTTCTATTTTTGTATGGACCTTAAATTATTGGACACTAGTAAATAGTAAATTTACTTACTGATGTGGGATATTATTTAGATATACAACAATTATTAACAATAGCATTACCGATAAGAGAAAACCCAAAATAATACTCATTAACCCTCCTGATTATAAACAAACATTTTTTCTTTGTTTTCCTCTTTTTAGTTGTAGTTTTAAAAATTTAGGTCTGATAACTAGACTGGAGGTAAATGTATTATAGTTCTTTTACGTATAAATATTTTTCAAAAATCTGTATATATATATATAAATATAAGCAAAATATTTTTATATAAAAATGTTAAGTAAAGTAAAAAAAAATGTTAAGAATTTATAAAACATAGTTTGAAACATTTTTCTTATTGTAGGAATATATTTACAAACATTATGAATAAAATATTTAAACGCTACTTAAATATTTTATTTGCAACACATTTACAAATGTAACATTGAAATGTTTTTGCAAATATTTAAAAAAAACATTTCTTTAATAATTATGTGGTAGTCTAATTTTAATTTAACATTGATTTTATAATTATTACAGAGATTAACTCAACTCCTACTTAAGGCTATAGCCCCCTACAATCACTCAATTTGCGCAACTACTGTGTTGTGCAAACAATTTGATGGTGTATGGTACGGATTGAGTTGCACAACAGTTTTTTCAATCGGTTAAGACCGAAATATGTTGTGCAAAAACTAGAGCTTGACAAGCGGTTTTTGATAGTCTATGGCCATGTTTGACAAACATCACCAGTGAAAAGACTACAGATAACAATTTAAAACATAATATAAATTGATGAGAGTGTAATTATTTTATAAGTATTAATTTATTAAGCGTACTCTAGGTTTTTAATAATAATGGTAATTACTAATGATGACAAAAAAGAATTTTGGGGTGTATTTTGCAGTTTATCGTGAATTTTCCAAAAACGAAGGATGTGGCATAAAAGAAACTAGTGGAAAAAATGAAGGAAATTGACCCCAAGCGAATATGGATCTGATGCATTGCAAAATTAATACTCTTTGTACTTTGTACCGTCGAGAACTGAAAAAAGTAAAGGACATCATGTGATATTCTTGTACAGAGTAAAAACATGAACTGAAGTTTGCACAAATCGATGGCACGTATATACAGTTTGCGCAGATATGATGTTGCACCAACATAGTAGTTACACAAATGTCTTGATTGTGTAAGGGAGGCTAAATATGAATGTATGTCTCCTTACAGTTCTTCAGATTAAATGCACACTTGTCAATGCCATTTTCAACAATATGATTAACTTTTATCTACTAAAATATATTATCTTCAAGAAATCATCTATAGAAAAAAAAATAATAGTATACTAAAATATAAGTAGTATTACTATCTCATAAAATATACTAAAATAAAATAGGTATTATAAGATCTGAAACAACTAAAAAATTAAAACAAAGAACAATCAAATACAAATATGTACCCTCTATACTCTAAGCTTAAATTAAAATGTTTAAATAATACTTATATTATTTAAGTTGCTTATTTATAGATATACACATACAATTATTTTAAACTATATACATACAGTCTCTATGATTTGTAAGTAATGGTTCCTCGCACACCACATCGAAATCTTCTTGAGACATTACTAGCCATCGCACGTGTTCTAAAAGACTAGGCAAAAATATTTTTCTGTTTTCTTTATCATGTTTCACCCAGTCCATGACAAATTTAAAAACCTTATTAAACAAAATTTACATTTTTATCTGTTAAGACTGGAAAACAAAGGTTTAATTGTTTAAAACTGTGTAAAAAATTAAACTATGGCCATTTGCATAAAATTTAAGTTTCTACTTTTAATTTAAAAGTAGAAATTTCTCTGTTAAACTATGCTTAAATTTTGAGTTTGGTCAGTAAATAAATCAGTCATAAATTAATTTGACAAAGTTTTCACCTGTTAAATAATTTTTTAATAACAATTTTACTAACCTGTATTTCTTCTGGAATACCTAAATATTCACTAGAAATTAACCTGGTCAAATCATCGTGCCCCAAATCATATAAATTGTCAACTGTCAATTCCAATAAATCGCTGTAAAAAAAAAAAAAATGTATAATGTTTGATTGGTTGTAATAGTTATGACAAAAAAATTGTACAATGCTAAATGGCTTATATAATGTCATTTACAAACCTGAAATGTTGTTCTAAATATAAATAACATAACTGTGTTATATTTGTTTGAAAAATAGCTTTTGCGCCTAACATAAATGGTACGCAATTTTTGGCATCTATATTTTGCTCAATAAATGTACAACATAATTTAATAATTGAATCCATATCCAAATAATCAGCAGCAGTTAAAATACTCTAAAACAAAAAAAAATGTATCCAATAGGGTGGCACAAAGAAAAACAAGTTTTTTCATAACAGGTGTCATTTTTTATATCTTTTTTATTATTTTTTTATTTTGTTTTAAGAAAACCTTGGGTGTTCCATGTCATACTTTTTTACGTTGTGCAATAATTGTTTCCCATAGTCTATTTAAAGAAAAAAGTTTAACAATTTTATGTGAACTTTGCTTTGATTCCCTTGAAAAACGGAAAATCAGTTGGTTCAGTTCGAAAAATATTAATAATATAATACTCAATTAAAAATGATTAATTATTTATAATAATAAATTATTCATACATTATAAAGCTTTTTTTAGATTATATCCTAAACTTGTAATTTAAAAAAAAAAAAATTTAATCTTTTTTTGAGTTAGACTTTGGAAATAATAAAAAAACATATATTTAATAATTAAAAATACTATGAAACCATGATAAACGAGCTTAGATTTTATAGATTATTATATCAAACGATAAAGTAACTTCTTAGGATTCGAACAAAATACACAGATTCAGAGAATATTGAATAGATTTAGTTTTAGACAACAAATTGTGCAAATTGCCTAAAATTTATATTAAATTGCGTTGAGCAACCTGTTAAACATTACCGAATGAGCCCAAATTTTGATAAACTTATTTATTTACTATAAATATTAAGTTTTAGTGGTGGGCGAAAAAAAAACTTTTTTTTTTGCGCCACCCTAGTAACCAAGTATAAATTGTATAATGTTAAGCAGGTAAGGCAGCAAATTTGCCATTTCCATTTTTGACTCCTTGTCCAATAGGCTAAGAAACCTCTTCTGCAAGCTGAATAATGTTTATATAGGTTAGATAAATAATGTAATGCAACAATGATAATTACCATAACATTTTTTTGGTCCAATTTCAATTCCTTATTATATATAAAATGGATAATATAGGATAATGTTGTACTATCCACATTTTTAAGAACAGCAACATTTTCTGTACCCTCTCTAAATATATTCTCTTTAAACATAGATAGAAAAAAAGGACTGGCTTCGGCCAAGACTGCCTTATGTGTGTAAAATGGTATATTATCATTTGCATATAAAGTAATGTCAGAAGTGGCAGACCTACAATCATAGTATAAAATAATGTTAGGTAATCAAGATATACCAATATACCTTGCTTCTTGGTATATTTTAAATTAACTACTAATAAAACTATAAAACACTACTTACTGATGAAATACATACATTGTACCAAAAAAATGTTCAAATGAGTTAAAGAATAAAGTTTTATCTCCGAGTTGCTTTCAAAAGTCAATTTATTGTCTGTTGTATTTAATTCTAAAAAAAAAGTAATGATATTAATTAAATTTTATACATATTTATATTTAAATTAAACATTTATATAATTGATATACAATATATTTTTCCTGACTTAATGTACTAAAACAACCAACAAAACAAATTTACTTTACGGGACAACCTCTTATTTTATTGCAACAATATTGTGTTTTTTACACTAATTACAAATCTATAAGTCAGAAATCCATAGACTTTTCTAAATCAAAGTTATAACTTTGAAAGTTATCGTTGCACAAGTATACTGTGCGTGAGAGAGCCATGATGTCTTGCGTAACAAATATTCTCAAAGTTCATGTAGCTATAATTTTTTGGATTCCGATTTCAGTTTTGTAATCTTTAATCAGTGTAAGAAACACTATAATTTGAAAACAAAAAAAGGTTGTCCCGTAAACTAAATTTATACCAAAACAAGTAAAGCTATAATATTCAAATAAAAAATGTATATACATAAAAAAAAGATTTATTGCTTTTCTAAAATGTTTGTGCACACAAAACTTGTTAAGTTAGAATAAAAATTAATAAATACAATTAATATGGTTAGAAATGGTATTAACCCTACAAATACACTACATAAAAATATACACTAATCGACACCAAAACAAATTATTTTATATTAAAATATTTGCTTCTATTATTTTATTTATAAAAAATAATAATATTAGTCCACACAATTGTTTAAAAAATTTACAAAATGCATGAATGCACTAGTATCCAGTGTAGGGTTAATTATTATTTAGACAAATTATTACCAAATAATATTACTAAACATTTATAACAGTGTTTATTGTAGTTCGTATACATATATAAGTAATGGGTAATTAAATATATTACCTTACTCGAAAACGTCGTAGTCACGTTACAAGTTGTTTTGTTAGTTTACTGGATAATCGTGTTAACTCCTTATGGAAATAATAAAAACACCAAATGTAACTTCGTACTTGAATAATAGCAGCAAACGCTAAACAAGTAATCAACAAAATGTCCGACGCTTAAAGGCCCTTTTGAAGAAACGATGATTAATTCAAGAGCTGCTATTGATTTATTACCCGCCCGTCTTACGAGCGCCGCCGAACGGCCGTCGGCCTTCTGGCCGCCTCAGTACAGGGTAGCCAACCGTCCTGCATTTGTTCTAAGAACGCAGATTAAACATAGATACTAATATTATAATAATAAGTGCATCATGATCATGAATTAAATATAATACACATGTATACTATATATTTATATTTAATCTATGGCGCAGGATCGAGTTGTAAGGTATGTGCACCAAGGAAATCGATGGGTAAGCTTAAAACAGTGTATCATGAAAACGTACAATGAACGGGCTTTTGAGGAGGGTGAGGACACAATCGAAAACCAGTCATGATATAAATCAATAATCAGTAATCTTTAATTGGGAACTTTCCAAATAGCCTAGTTCATATCCCACTCAGCCAATAAAACTTTCCAATAACAACTTGAAAACTTGGGTATTAATTTCCTGCCGACCGAGATCTCAAGACCGAACTCCTAGTCCACTTTCGCCTGAGACATTTTATAAGTATACAATCGTACACGACAAAAAAATGTTCAATTAAAATTAGGATTTTACTATTTTCTTCGACATTTGGGAACCAATGCACATTACCAAGCAACCTTTTTTTTTTTGCGGTATAATGTTTTCTATCTGGTCGTGTTTTTCACGATGATTACGAATCTGAAGTCAGAAACTTCTAGTTCAAAAGTTATAGCTACTTTAATTATCGTTTGCGCAAATCGCCCGTTCATCCAGTCAATCCAATCATGGCGATTGGCTTTGGCGAGCTGCGGCGGCAACAGTCAGCACTCGGCGATACGATAAGGGCATGCGCGCGCCACTACAGTATGGCCACTATTATGAGGGATTCCCTATGCGCGAATGACGGCTCCACTCACTCCAGCAGCCAAAAGGGTGTTTCCTTATGATTGGGGCTTACGCCCCAAGACCCCCAGAAAACAACATTATCTATGTACCTAAAGGGAATAAAAAAACCTAACCTGATACAGCTCTGCGGGCGGTCACAAACATAACGATAGTGCGAACCTTATCTTCCGAGTTCCGGTCTATCCTTTAAAATACCAAAAAACAAGAAAGTAGATAAAAATTAGACACAGACACTAAGAATAATGTATTGTGATAAAGTAATTAAATACAATATACATCAATCAAACAAACTGCTGTATAGTGTGTTGACACAAGCGGCGCAGGCGCATCGGATGTTGTGTGCAACAATAATTCCAAAAAATATTTGTTCAATGTACAAATTTTATCATCTATTTATCAAATATAGATAGGTATATTAAACAATTGAAAATAACTATAACCCGCGATTAGGCGGTTCTTGTGGTAATTTACATTAAATAATTTTACCCATATTGTTTGAATTTATTATTGTTATTATTTATTGAACGCTCATTTATCTAAAATAGTAATTTTTTTACAATGTTAGATATCAGAAAGTCTTAATATTTTAAAAATATGTAAAAATCACTTTTTGGCTAGAAATTCTTAAATTTTAGCTAGATAGTAATGGTTATTATCTATAAAATATGTTTTAAATGTTTGATCATATTATTAAATTGTATTGTAATTTTTTATCTAACTTTCACCAACTTTGAGCAAAGGCGCACATAAGATGCAAGAGGGCTCAGTAATAATTCCCCTCCCCCCAGAACAAGACAAACATTTGGTGTATTTGGCTTTTTTTTAAAAAGTTACCTATTATTTATTATAGAATTTAAATAACAAGTTATATTAATTATTACTTGCCTTTATTTTAATAAGTTCTATTAAATGTATGGATTTCAAATTTCATTTAGTAATATAAATAGCATTGGCGAAACTAGGGAAGCTCAAATCATTCATTTGAATTTTTTTCAGTAGAAAAATTGCATTTACATTAACCCCCATTTGTGTGAGAAACGCCTTTTGACCAAACCAGGAAATATGCAATTTAGGACATATGATATGGGCTTGTTTATTACTACTGCTGGTGATATCAAATCTTTTACAGCCGAAAACCAATTAGGTATGCTACCACAAAAAAGTGATGATATAATTATAAAATGATTATACATGCAATGAATAGATTTTAGATTTTAAACACAATTTTTACTGGTCATTAGATAAAAAAAAAAATTGTGGTTACAGATGCTTACAATACGATACGCTTCATCATTTGTCAATTTCTAGTTTTTCGGTCCTAAAATGAAGCCTATGAAATAAAAATACAATTTTTGATTGATAAGAAGCTACTTGAGTAAATTGACCCAGCAGTTCCAAAGTTTTATCGATTTCTTCCTAAGTTCGCTTTTAAAATACTATATTTAGGTACAAACTTAAATTTATAAATGTCATAATAAATGACAGAATCGTCTAGCAATTTTACAAATATTGTTTATACAAGCCATTTATTAAATTTGTATTTTATTTTTAAGACCGTTGTGAGAGGTATTCAAATAAATAATGGCTGCAATCAATATGAATAATAAATAGAGAAATAAAATGATTTCTTTGCTGATTTTATATTATTTACTCTGTTACATAAAAAATATTGAATTTTAACTACAAAAATGTTTGGCTGGCCGATGATACATTTTTTTTTTTCAAACTAATTAAATATTTAATTAGGATATTATTTAACATAAATATGTTTTTTTCTTAATCGACACAAATTTTTTTAAATATAAAACTAAATGTAAAATCCCATCATTTTCAAATTTAAAAACATAATTGTTTATTTTTAAATACACACAAAATATAATAATAATTAACGATAACAATTTTTTTTTGTACACTAAAGCGTGGCAACATAAGAAAATTTATAATATCCATTTGAATCGGTTGTATAACATTGCGACAAATGTATTTCTGTCAGATGTACTGTGCCAAAATTGAAGTCGTTATACAACTGAAATCAATAATTCTTACCATTATTTATATACATTATGTATAATAATTAAATTTGAAATGAAACTTACTTCAAAAATTTTTTTGGCGTCGAATGTATCCCTCCCATTTTGATGAATATTAATATTTGAAGCATTCTCCATGTAAGATGTATTCATTAAGGTAACGTGCAATTTCACATGATCACTTCTCGGTGGTTTTGCCAAATCTAATTTAAATTCGTTAAAACCAGCACTTAAATACAGATATTATATATATATATATATATATATATATATATATATATATAATAAAGCCAGCACAGAGATGTGAATGCATATTAGAATCGAGAGGTCATAAGTCTTTATGAGTTATTATAAGCTGATAGTGATATTGCATCACTTTCGAATAAAGACTTAATTTAAAACTGTGGATAGTAAGAACTATTCAATATAAATAATAGACCACAAATAAATCCTATACATATGTGTGTTGATTGCATTTTTTAATGTTATCCTAGTCAAAAGTGTCATTACAAATTAAAACTTTTTGTTTTATCGATTGGGAAGTTTATTAATTACGCATAATTTACTCACCGCAATTTTGAAAAAATATTTGTATTTTATCTACCAAAAACTGTAATTCAGGATTGTTAACTTTAGCGTACAAAACGTTTACCTCGGAAGGATCATCATTCATATAATCGAGTCCACGAACATAAATGTCTAACGATTTCAAATTCATTGGTCTAAAAATTTTTTTAAAAAATAAGGAACAAATTTTCATCATAAACAATAATAATTATATTACTAATATAATTAAACATAGTAACAATAATCATACATTTCATCTATTTTCAAATAAAAATATACTTTCAATACGTACAGATTTTTAATTTATATAAAATAGTATACTCTACAACGACTCTTACTTTATTATGGTTTCTTCACATTCTTTCATTAGGTTCGTAGCTCTTTTGATTTCAGATTGGATACATAGGACGAAACAGGTAATTGTCAGATGAAGTCTCAGTTTATCTTGGAATAATAATTCAGAAATGCCACGAGATTCTCCACAATTTTCAAGAACTTGTTCCTGAATTTTTTTTACAGATTTAAAGTTTTCACTTAATACTTATGGAAATGTATTTTCAGGGCCGGTGCTAAGAAATATGAAAGGGGGGTGTCAAAATGAAGATGCCGACTAAAATATTTGAGTACTTTCGTAAATATTTTATAACATTTTACAACACAAGTCACAATTTTTTGCTAAAATTAATGGGAATTAATAATTGTTGAAAATTATTTTTTTTTTAACTTTGAATTATTATTTTTTTAAGTATAAATAATACAAACAAATTTAGATAATAAAAAAACCATCAAAAGTTTAACTTTAATATGCCGTTTTTTTTAATGCGGGCTATTTCCTCTTTATTTCTTCCAAATCAATTATATCGAGAATATCTCTGGTGGAGTTTAAAATCGCGGGAGTCATTTTTTATTATTTTTTAAAGGATAAGAAGAAGAAAAATGATAATAATGTGATATTGTGACTTGATTTTTTAGATTTTTAAAATGTTTTTGGAGCATAGAAATATTTTAGGCAGCTAACAAATGTATTTATTACTACATTTTCAGTTCTCAGTCACCAATACTAAAACAATTTGAGCCCTACTTTAAAAGCATTATTTTAAAAATGTTTGAATTTATTTAACATAATTATAACGTATTGCAGTTGAAACTGCAATTTAACCGAGATATAATCCAAATAGCCTTATTTTAAATAATTTTATAAAAAAATAATGAAATTGTATTCAAAATTATTATTAAAACCGTTGAAATAAAAACAAAAGTGTATTTTTTTATAAATTATTATCTAAAAACAATTTTATTTTTATATTAGTTAGGTACACTATTTAAAAATAATGGTCATGTCGGCTCCCTGCTCGCTATATACATAGTATAGTAGGATATTATAGTAGGTAATATCCCACCGCAACGATAGTAATAAAGAAGAAACAAGACATAGTGAAGTAGTACCAAGGAACTCTCATAGGCCTTAAAAATCTGGCTTAATGATTTATTCTAAATACGTATCCATCTCATACCTTTTGTTCAAAATTTACTCGGGCAGGCTCAAAAGGATTGTTAGCAGCTCCTTGGTGTTTCATATTCATTCTCTAACCATATATATATATATTAGATTGCACACATTAATAATCAATACTTATTATTTTACACGCGCACACAGGACAAGCAAAAATAAACCCGCTAACTCTTTGCCTGCAGACTTAATACTATGGGTTATTTGATATGTCTAAAACAGAAGAGCAGGTTTTTTTTTTTTATAGTAGGGAATCTTTTGGAATTTTAAAACTAAAATAAAAATATATACTTATAGAGGGATAGAATGTTTGTTTACAATAGACCAATAGGTCCCATGACCGAACATCGTTTGATAGAACAATATACACCACAGTTATTATAAACAAATAATAATACTTCTGCTAAAATCGGGAATAACCGAAAATGCATTGTTTTTTGTTTACTAAAAACTAAAATTATATTTTTGTATGGTCGTCCGTATGCCGACTATTCACTATTCGTCGCTAGATTCCAATAAAAATTATGTACCTACCTACTTTTATAAAATAAAAATAATAAATATGTTATTTGTATAATTTTACGGGGGTTATAATATTTACCGACTTTTTGTTCCGAATGTGCCGACCAGGTATACTTGAGTTTTCCGAGTGGGGGGGGTGTCAAACCCCCCCACACCCCCCTTTAAGACCGGCCCTGTGTATTTTTAATAAAATGTGGGTTACTCACTTTAAACGTTAAAAAGTTTTCAACGACTGTCGGGTTAACCATTGGTAATGAAATAAAATGAGTTATACTTTGTTTGAACCGGCCTCTTTTTATAATAGACTCAATTTTGTACTTGGCAGCGACGACTTGAGATCTTTGTTCTCCTTTAATAGCTAAAATTTATTTTCAATTAAAATATTTAAAAATAAATATTACACTGAATCTAATTGTATAAACACATTTAAGCGTGCAATTTATTTTAATTGTCAACACCTTTTGTGCCAACCTATAGTTTAAGTTTTTAATTTTTGTTATCTTCATAATCGAGTACACTTACTAATTAAATAGTTGTCTTTTGGTCCAGGAATTTTAACTCTCGCTCTAGTTTGGTATTCAATACTTTTCAGCGTTTCCCTATTTCTGCCAATAATTAAACCATAGAATACACTGAAACCAATAATACCGAAACATATTACTAACTAAAGTTAACAAAATATATTATTCATTAGTTGGTGATTGTAATAAAATCCGTACAAAAAATATGTGATTAAAAGTGAATTTCGATATAGATGAATTGTGACTATGAGTTGATGACTATTAGTTCACACTAATAGTCATCTTATCGTAATGGTTTTTTAGTTTCAATGTCAGTTGCGTTTCATTTTCTTACAAGAATTTAGGAATTTTTTTGTTGTCTTGGAGTCACTTGGTCAGAAAAAAACAACTGTGGGCTAATCATAAAGTAGTCAACAAGTTATTTATTCTAGAAAAAACGAGCAACTTATGGTTATATATAATAAAATAATATTTAAAACACCTTTAAGTTATTTATTCTCTGACCGAATTCGAATATTCAAGAGACATTTTGTCGTGGCCTAAAGAATATTATTTTTTTACTAAATCAAAAAATAAGGAACAAGTCAACTTTACCACCCCACGCCTGAATTTCCGCCTTTCAATGTTGAAAACGATAGTAAAAAAAAAAATGCGGAAACGCTTAGTTTTGAAGTTACAGACGTTTAAAGATCGCCGATATCGACATACACGCACGCCCAGCGCCGCACGTCTACCCGCGGTCGCCGGGTACATCAGTTTTAATTAAAAAAACTCATAATTAAATAAAGCAACTCCCTACGGCTGCCGGCTCCAGGAGCCAACTCGAAAGCCAAAATAATATTTACTCTGGAACTTCTAGTTTCAGTGAAAATTGACCTCCGTCCATACATATATCTAGATCATCGTTATCTTCTTCAAAATCTAAAAAAAAATAAAGGTTTCTGCTTTTTCATACTAGGTATACGGCACTTGTTGGTTCTTATAGTTCTCACCATTGTTTTCAATATAAGGAGAGAGATTCTGTTGATTTTGAGATTCAATCAAATCGGATGATACATCGCCAATGTTTAACCGATATTGGCGACCGTCAATGGTCAAAATGCTTGGACGTAATACATCCATTATTATATGAAAAGATCATACAACGTAATAAAAATTGTAAAAAAAATTCCTTAATATAATCTTCCTATTGACTAAATAGAAAATTACGACTTACTGCTTTTGAAGTAATTCGGTTATTAATTATTATTTGTTATGAATTTAATTTCTTTTTTAAACTGATAAGTGATAAGTTAACGGTTAGGTTTATAGCACGATGTAGAGAAGATATCTTCTCTACATTGTGGTTTATAGTAACGGTTTATCTATAACCGTGGTGATAACTGAGGTCTGATAAGAATGTTGATAGCATGATCTTAGAACCAAGACCGGACCCGGTCAGGTAACTCCGTATGCGATAAACGCGAAGTAGTTTTTTTTTCCATACAGCGGCCACCGGCGCACAGATATATATATAAACTAGATTGCTAACTACCGATAAGAATTGAAGCCGACGGTCCGCCATTCTGGTGGGATTTATGTGTGTTAACAATGCATATAATATGTATCTGAATATATTGTTATATCAATATTAAATATATATATATGTGATTGTTATAAACATATATTATTCTCGCGTGATAAAGTTCTAATTCCCACCAAGATGGCGGAAAGTGGCTGCTTCAATCTTCTCTATTGGTGGCATGTACAGTTAGCAATCTAGTTTATTGTATATATCTATGCCATAGATATATATTACTAGATAGCGTTTATTTATCAAATTTCGTACGCTAACAACAATGTCGTCGTTGACATTTTCCGCGTTTGTCGAGTGAACAGTTCAGCCAGAATGAACGAAAAATGAGAATTTCCCTACACCTAACAGCCTGCCCATTTCTCGATCATATTCAAGCATAGATATATATTAGATATATATATATATATATATAAACTAGATTGCCAACAGTACATGCTACCAATAGAGACGATTGAAGCAGCCACTTTATATATATATATATATATGTGTATTCAAGATGTCAGACATGATTTTATCTCTTCCCATGTAAAAATTGGATAGTTTCTTTTCTGTTTATTCTGTGCTTAGTGCTTATACCTACTACTAGTAACTAGACGGAGCATCCAGGTGGTATGCGGGGGGTGGTGCAGACGCTACTACTATCGTGTATACATTTTTTTAAATTTTTATTATTTTTTTTTAGGGCTTAATCCAGACCATTTAGGCCCATTGCCGCTTCCGCTATCTCCTTCCATGCTTCTCTGTTTGCTGCCAGTTCTTCTCCGTTTCGTATTCCTAGCATTCTTAGGTCTTCCTTGACTCGGTCCTCCCATCGTTGTCTAGGCCTTCCTCTCAGCCGACTTTTGTTTGGTTTCCATTCCGTGATGATCGATATAAGTTGGCCCTCTGCTCTCCAGACGTGACCGGCCCACCTTATTCTCTGGCTCTTGAGCGTAGCAACTATATTGGGCTCGTTAAATAGAGCATTGAGTTCTCTGTTTGACCTTATCTCATAGCCACCTTCGTCGTTTCTTTACGGCCCAAATATTCTTCGCATGACTTCCCTTTCGAAAATCATTAATTTGTTTTCGTCAGATTGTGTATACATACACATAATATACGTATATAATACCCAACTAGGAACTCAAATGCGTAGTCACGACGGTTCGCTAGAACTACATCCATGCTCCGTCTATAATAGTAGTATAAGGTCTTTGAGTTTATTAATTTATATCTGAACACAAATGTTAGTGTCGGCTAATCAATGCACGCCCGTGGCCGCCATCTTAGAAAAAACGGCTACGCTTTTCCGTGTAGGGAGTTACCAGACCTGATTATAAGATGGTGGTTGGTAGCAACGTTAAATTATTGGACATTATTTTTAGACCTTTCAGTCCGACGACCGTTAACAACACAAATAGGGAAAATAAAGAAAAAGTTTTCACCACATTTTACGACTTACATCAGTATTCAATAACAAATTAATGTTTATTTAATATTAATGTTAACCTTCAACTAACTGGTTTAAATTGATATTTGCCATTGTACACTTGCTCGCTCATTTCTCTGAATTTTAAAGGGTGTTGTATTTTAAAATTAAAAAATATTTAAGAGATTTTTTTAATTTTGAGAGGGAAACTTAAAAGGGCTGGACTTTTTCAGCTTTTGGCTCTCTAAAGTACTTAATATGGTGAAAAATATATAATTTAAAGGCTGATTAAATAAACAAAATCGGACGTGGTGTAAACGGTATTGTAACAATAAATTTATTGGTTAGTTTTCATTAATAATGAATTTATACAAAAAACTGTCTCTCACTTTTCCAAAAATTTGGATCAAAATATGCCTTTTTTAAAAGGCTCCCCCTGAAGAGTTTTTTAAATAAATTTTTAATTTGTTATTTTTTAATTTTCAAAAAACAATTTTTTAACTTACATTTAGTATACTTAAACCCAAAAATAATTGTACACATATTGAACTCTTCAAGAGAAAATAGTTTAAGTCTCGGTCTTTTCTTTAATATCGAAATCATGTAAATATATGATAAATATGTTCAGAGATGGTTACATAACGCTAACTATTTTTTACACGAAAAATACAGCATATGTTTATTTATGCCTATTTCATTAAAAATGTTAATAGATACTTGGTATTGATGCGGAATCGATGTATTCCGCATAGTATTATTTATTTGATTCTAGGTCACCATGATATTTAACATTGAGTATGAATATGTGGCTTATACTGCAACTTACAAGAATCTTAGCTAAAATAGCTCCAGGTATCTTTATAATATACTTCCCAAAATATTTTCATTGTTCTCCAAAATTTTCGTTATGAACAAAACTAAAAAAAAATACGATTTATTTATCTTACATGGTTTATACAACCACGAAAGACAGTATTCGATACAATGTAATATAATAATTTATCATTTATGCCTATATAAGTATTGCGTATATAAAAACGTCTAAGTACCAAGCATCGGCATAAATTACAAAAAATTAAAATGTGTAACATAAATATGTTTTAAAATAACAGTCGGTGGAAAACAGGTGCACCACAGCTCAAAAAACATAGTTTTGAGGAATTTTAATTTTAAGATTGAAACTGCTCCCGAATTAGTTTTAAAGCTTTAATTTTCATACTTTGCAATTATTTATGTTACACAATGCTTGTTATTTTAATATTAAGCTACTTAGTTAAATTTCAACCAGACACTAGAAATTGAGGTTATGTTATTTAGCAAAAAATATTTCAAAAATGTAAACTACCACATTTGGTTTTTGTGGCAGTTTACCATTTCAAACCACATATTTTAAACGCTATAATGAGAAATATGACAGTTTTGTTTTTCTTGTTAAACTAATTTAATGCTACAATATATAAAATGAAGCAGTTCATTATTTTTTTACGGGTGTCATCTGGTTAAGAATTATTACGTTTAACTCCTAAAAACGAAATGAGGCAGTCTTTATTTTTAACGTTTAACTATAAAAACATTCAACAATGCAATATATAAAAATGTGGCAGTATTATTATTTATTTTTTATTTTTTTCAAATTCAAAAATGAAAAAAATTCAACGCTGATGTATTATAGAAGCGTTGATTGAGTTACGACTTGTGGCGAGAGACTAAAAAAAAATGTTGAGTTGTGGCAGTTATGGGCTATGTGCCGTGTTAAATAAATAATTAAATAGGTTTAAGTAAAAATAAGAAAATTAATAATTTATTAAAACATGACACGGATTAAATGATTACAAAAAATAATAATACAAAAATGTGCGCACGAAGACAAGTAATAAAATATAACAACGGGCAATTTAATACCAGACTGGCGTTATCGCAGCCGGCTTACAATAATACAATTTACAAACTGATAATGGTACCGCAGTGTGTCAGCCACAGCAGTCTTACGAATAAATACCACGTATGTTTTAAAAAGTCAATATATGAGATTTACATAAGACAACAGTATTTTTTTTTTTCATTTCATCAAGTGATAGACTAGATTATAATAATATGATGTTCCAACTGTTTTTATATTAGAAAAATTGTTAGGGTATAGTATCTAGTTGAATAATTTCACAGTAATACAGCTTTTAAATACTTTCAATTTAAGTTTTAACACATTATTTTCGGCTATAGTTCTCACACAAATGTAACTGATACTTACTCTAGCACAAATTTTTTTTATTTTTCAACAATAATTTATTTGTTGCTAATCATGTTTTTACGAAAAATTGTGTTTTTTCTTATTGCAAAGTTAGTCTTTGTTCAAGCAACATATTCAGGTATTATATGTATCTATTTTTATTGTGTATACTGTATAGGTTGTAATTGTGTGCTATCTTAATCAGGGTACCGGAGCAATGATTGTTCCGGAATATAATGTCCAAATACCTTGCTTGGAGTAATCATAGAACAATCATTACTCTGAATGTATTATCAAACAATTTACATAACTCTTCGATGAATCTTATAACAGCTTACAGTATGATTCAATGTATTTTGTTGTTGAGTTGTGTCAAGGATTTGTAAGAGGTTAAGAAAAGTCAATCGTGTTATGTGATAGATTTACCTAATACAAATTCGATGAACATAGAAATAAAAAATACCTTTTTTCTGAAACATGTACGGAAGATACTGTGTGAACATGATCTTCAGTTGGTGTGTGATTTAGGGCCAATACATATTCTGTATTTTTAGATGCATTAAGCGATGTTTTATTAAATTGCTTTGAAGGATTTTGTAGTATTGTAAGAAAATTAAAAATCATTAACAAAAAAAAAATTTAAAGGGAGCCTTAGTGTCAAAACATTAATTAAACCCCAAAAGAACTTTTAACTTTGTATCAAGTAGATGTAGAACAAAGAAATAATATTGTGGGACGCGACGGGTACAAGTAGTCTCTTAGTTAGTCGTTTTATTTTATGTATAGCCAAAGAAGTACTAAAATCAGAAATCTAATTGTGTTATTCACCGATATATTAATATACAAGATAGAAAATGATACGATTTCTTCATATCCAAATTTATCAATATTGAAAAAAAAAATAAACTATATTCTCCCAAGTAGGTAGTATAGTTAAAAAAAAATCTTTTAGCCATCTGAAACTTAATAAAACATAACTCCATTTAAAAATTGCTGAAAAAGGTTGTCAAGCTTGGTAATACTGAACATATTTAGAAATATAAATAACAGAAATAGTAATTTATAACAATGTAATTGAAACATATTATAAACTTAAGGAGGCGTCTAGGAGTTGCATCAACTAACTGTGGGGAATTGAGAGAGAATAGGTTGAAATGGTTCGGTCATGTTATGACTTATGAGATAGGATGAGGCAGGGAGAGTTATTATGAAGATTAATGTAGAGGGAAAGAAGGGAAGAGGAAGACCGAAGAAAAGATGGATAGACGAAATATCTAGGGATATGAGGGTAGCGAGTTGTAGAAGATCGAGCTCTAAGGAAGAGTAGGACTAGGGTGGTCGACCCCATGTAGTTGGCAGTGTAAGACGAAGATAAAGAAGATAAAGATAATATAGGATAAGATAATATAAAGATAATATAAGATATATTTTAAAAGTGAAAATTACAATATCAAAAATTATAAATTGTTATACAAAATTATTTATTATTACAACTAATACGATCGTATTATATCTTTATTTTAGTATTGTTTAAAGAATTGAAAAGTTAATTTGTAAAAAAAAATATGACTGTATTGTCCAGTATTCATTTAATTTTTATTAAATATATTTAGGAATGCTCCGGAATGATTTCTCTGATACCTTGAACAATGAATTTAATACATTTTTTTCATTACAGACGGCCAAGGAGATCATCAAGATTTGGATTTGAAGTTCGAACCTAATATGACGAGTGAAGATTTGTTGAATTATTGTTATAGTCACAGCACATTTTGTAAAATAAAACATATCTTAAGGCAGACTTTACGATACAATTATTCCCAAAATTCGGAAGATACGGTAAGGGTGTTACAATGGAACATTTTGTCGCAAGTTTTAGGTCTAAGAGAATTTGGTAATGCTAGTAGTTGTCCTACTGAAGCATTGCTATGGGTGAACCGACGATGTCAAATACTCTATGAGATCCTGGCATTTAAATCCGATGTTATGTGCTTTCAAGAAGTTGATCATTTTGATTTCCTTAGTAGAGCCTTAGCCACTCAGTCATATAGTGGTGTATTTGTACCCACGACATGTTCACCTTGTGTTAAACGAGATGGAAATAATGGACCAGATGGGTGTGCAATACTTTACAGCAATCATAAGTATGAGCTCTTAGGAAAACATGAGTTGGTCTATATTCATTCGGCAAAAGATTCGATTAGTCGACAGGTGGCATTGCTAGTTGTACTAAGAAATAAAAGTTCGTTGAACAAGTTATGTGTGGCCACCACTCATCTCAAACCCCTGAGAGGTGAATATAATGAATTTTTAAGAAACCAACAAGGCGAAGAGCTTTTGAAATTTGTAACCGAACATGCCAGTGACTGTCCGACTGTTATAAGCGGTGATTTCAATGCTGAACCTACTGAACCCGTTTATAGAACTATGATCAGTGACCCACAGTTAAACTTAAACAGCGCATACAATGCATCCAATAAAGAAGCAAAATTTACAGTATGGAAAGTTAAAAAAGGACGCCAAGTAAAAAGAACTCTTGATTACATATTTTACACTACAAAATACCTAACTGTTAGTAGCATAGTTAACATGCCACGTGAAAAATCAATTAGCAAAAATGGGATTCCCTCGTTTATCTATCCTTCCGATCACTTCTCTTTGATTACTGATTTCTTCTTTAACAAAACATAAGGATTTCCTTATACTTTGTTAAAGAAAAAATTAAATAATAATAATATATATAATATATATATTTTCTTAAGTATAAAAATTAATTATAAATACTGTTTGTTTTATTGTATTTGGTTTTGAAACTTCGTAATACCCAAACGAATATGCTCCTTATATTCTCCGAGCATATTCTCCTTCGAATATGCTCGATCCCCTCTATACCTTGACTTTGTTTCACCTTTTAGCCGTTTTAAAATAAAAATTATGTTAATGGATTTCAATAAATTACGAGTTATCATAATAATAATTAATTAATAAAAACTCAACATTTTGGGACGAATTGTAAGTCGTATTAGAAAAATTCCGTTCCGTTATAAAACTGACGAATACGATTTTTTATTTAGTCAATTAAAAGACCACGTTTTAGCGCTTCGGTCTCCAACTCTAAAATTTGGCGTCCGTATACGGACATCATTTGCTCTTTTATGGCCTTTTGTTTTTTAAGCGCCTTCAGCCGTTCCAACAGCTTAAGTTTATCTTCCAGTTGTTCGTTGACGTCGGACGCTGCGCAACACTTTCTGTAAACGGCCGTCAACGACTCGTCGGACACCTCACCTACGTTTTCGAGATTGTCCGTTTTCAGTTCTTCGTTCTCCTTTCTCGTGGTGATGCCTTGTTCGTCTCCGGTGGGTGTCCCGGCGGAACGTTCACATTCTTTTGAGCCACTGACGTCGGCGGCCAGTTCCTCCGACGCTCGTCCACACGCGTTTGTACCATCCACATCCGGTAAACTCTCGCATATTTTTTCATGAATTTCGTCTGTCGACTGCAAGTCGTCCGAACATAACTGCAACTCGTTCACCGACAGTAGTAACGGCTCGCTTATCGACTCCAGAGAACATTGGATTTCTGGAATATCCCGTACACGATCCAAAGGCTGTTCCACCACACCGACCGCAACCGCATCCGTTGACTCGAGCCATTGGTTCAACGCCGAAACGAGATGTTCTAGGTACGATCGGTGTGGCGGTTGGTCCAAAACTGTCTCGGCGGTGGACAATAGTTGTCGGACGCGGTCCACGTCGGCCAAATACGGCAGCACTTTGTCTAAGGCGTGCAGGCCCTCGGCGGCCTTTTGCAGTTGGCCGTAAGTGCACTCTAGACAATCGTTCACCGATTTCGCTATCGCTCCATCGGCTTGCACGTACGCCCGGGACGGTTTCCGAACGGGTTCCGCCGGGACGAACGCCACGAGTTTCGATAAGCGCGATGCCAGATCGCGACGGAAACCGGCGAGTTCGTCTTCGAGACGGCCGTCGTACGATTCCAGCGCGTCAGGACGCTCAACGACGGCGCCCGCGTCCCGCAACCAACTTACGACGTCCCGGGCCTCGGCCAACGTCCGGCTCAGCGCCGACGCCCCCCTTTGCAAATCGTCCAACGACTTTTGGCGTTTGCTCAACAACACGCGGTCCGACATTCGACGGATCGACGATTTTTGTTGCTTCGGCCCGTCCGCGTACATTTTACACACTTAATGTTGCTAAAAAAATACACAATAATTGTTTATATTTTTTAAACGATATAAACGGCAATGTGGCCGTTTCGATTGAAGTAAATTCATTATACATAGTATAATAATTGTTATTGATGTACGCCCGTTATCGTGGCAACTACATCGACCTTATGATTTTACCAAAGTTTTTACATATTTTCCCCTGTCAGAATAAAATATCTATAAATTGATGTCACAACGTGGCGTTGCATGTAATAACAAGTAAATTTGGTGTAGGTTTGTAATATTCTGAAAGCGGTGTGATGTTTAGGTTGTCCAACCTAAACATGTTAAATGAACATAATTCGTTCAGCAGCTGTTACTTAGGCTATATACAAAAGAAACAGTTCTATTTTAAACGGACGGGAATATCGGTTTTAGCAGTATTTTTCAAAGCGGGTCTAGTATCCAGGTTTTTCGAGTTTTTCCGGTTTTGAGTGTGAAAGAGTTGACTTCTTAAACTTTTGACCAATCAAAGTACCAATCGTATACGAATCGACAGAGATGCCACTCGAGTAAATCGGTCCACAAAAAAAAAAATACTCTCAGAAATACAAAAGAAAATAACATCTTTATAAAACAAATACCTTCTCAGCTGAAGCAGAAAAATGTTTTAAAAATTATTCAAAACGGCGTTTTTTGTCAACTATATATTGTACGGCTAAAAACGATTTGGGAGAGGGGGTAAACATTTCATAGGGCGCTCCGTAAGTATAAGCCTCTTCCCCAGCTATTGAAAAAAATTGAGCACGACACTGATTCTAAGTAAATTTTAGAACACTATTTAAACGTACAAAACTTGCTAAAATACTAAAAAAGACCGGTTATGTTTTTATTTTCGAGCCAATTTAAAAAAATAACGAGAAAATCTCAGACCCGGTTCGGATTGAAACGAAAAAGTGATTCAATAAAGTAAGATGTAGGTATTTCGGTTTGAAAATCGAGTTATTTTTTATTCGTACCTCGTGTGCTTCTGGTATCGAACGGATAAGTCAATTCTTTAATTTTTCCCATTTTGAGAACCACTAAAATATTTTTGTTTCAACAGCGATGCTATCAGTTATATTTTCTGACGCCGCCACAACATTATTGACGGTGTAGAAATTAGTACTGATAAGGAGAACACTCCCAATTTCCAAATCAAATTACTCGTAGGAAATAACAATTATTGCTATTGCCTTTTACTAGTTGTCTATTGTTACCATTTTGTGTTTTTTCTTTTAATTCATTATTTTGCACACTCGATGTTTACATACTTTAATAAATTTTATTACCTATAACGTTGTAGATTGTTTTTTTAAATTTTTTTTTTAAGGCTCGTCGATTGTGTTTAATAATGGACAGCACCAACGAACAGGTACGTTTTTGTAAGAATAATATATTTTATTGGTTATTTTTGGGGCAAAATCAAAATAATAAAAATCAACTGCTGCCGGTTACAAACATACATGTGTCTTAAAATTAGCCATTTATTTTTTAAAACAGGCGGACAAGCTGATAAATCATGTTCATATTGTCATTACGGAAGCTGAGAAACGCATGAATTCGACATTGAGCCTGAAAGAATATTACACGGTTTATATCATCGAAACCAAGTATGTAATTGAGTCGACTGCTCTTCTAATGATTTTGCTATATTACCTATTTTATAACATGATCAATTTCTACGAATCGTCAATATGACGTAAAAAAGAAACTATAAAGAATGATGATTGGGGTCGGCCATTATTTGAATCATTTTTTATTTAGACAGAGCAATATCCAACAAATATTTCTTTTTTCATTTTAACCATTAAATCTTGCCTATCTCCTGTAGGGTCGACAATCAAGAATGGGCAAAACCTAAAGAACTGCAAAAATTGTCATTGGCAACTAGAAGGTACACAGATTTTATCACGCTGCACAATCACTTGGAGCAAAAGTATCCTTGGGTAGTGGTGCCGCCGCTGCCAGAAAAGAAACAGTCGTTTATGTGGAAACGTGACGCCGTATCGGATAATATGGACCCAGATTTTGTTGACCGCAGAAGAGCTGGCCTGGAGAGTTTCCTGAGAAGGCTAGCCGGTCACGCTGAACTTGGTTTCGATGAATCCTTCATTCAGTTTTTAGGAGAGAAAGAAAATTGGACAGACACCGCCAGACCTTTAAATGGTAGCGGCCGAATTAAATTTAATAATTTTTGTTTTATTGTATAGCCAATAATATTTGTTTTTAGGTATTTTGAAGGACACCGAACACACTATCAAAAACATGAACGTTTCGATACGTAACAGGACGTCCGATGACCGTTTCGAAGCTATCAAATCGTACAGCAATAAATTACAGGTGGGTCGAGACACTTTTAATAACATTTATTTGTGTAACTCAAAACCTATTAAAATTTTAGAATTCTGTGAACAAAGTATTATCGTGTCGAGCTAAACGTGCGGAGCGGCTGTACAATGTTGATATGTTACACGCGCATTATGGACGAATTTTCAGCGAACTCAGTGCTGTAGACAACGACATCGGTGACGCCGTCCAGGTAAAATGGACATTTGTTTTACTAATGGACATAAAATAATTAATTTAGCACTTTTATAAAAATTTTGCCTATTGACAAAACATAGAGAACTGGTCATTATATGGATTCAATCGCATCGGCTATTAGTCCGGCATTAGAAGACGAAGAGATTATCATGGACCAACTTAAAGAGTAAATACACACTTATTATGATTTTGACGTAAATTATCAATTAATAATAAATTTATCGTTTAGATATTTGGCTTTCACAAATTCCTTACAAACGTTTACAAAAAATCATGATTCGATGCATTACAACTTGGATCAGTTGAACAACTTATCGAATAGCAAAGGTATTAGATTTAACGATTATCTGTAAAATTAATATTCAATTTTTTTGTAAAACAATTATAAAGCCAAATAAATTTAATTTTGGTTCAAGAAACTAGCGGTATAATGTCGAGGCTGTTTGGATATACATCATCCGTGGCGGGACGAGACGCCGCAGCCATTGAAGCTTTAGAAAATAGACGCATCGAAGCCAGAACCGCTTATGGGTTAGTTTTGATTTTTGCTTTAAGTCTTAAGTCAAATTAATTAGGTACCTTAATAGCTGTGTTTTATAAAATTTTGATTTACGTACTAATAGATTAAACATTTTCTAGAGAATTTGTAAGCAAGTCGTTGGAAAACTACAAAACATTCGAACGACAGAAAGACGAGGATCTGATGAAAATTCTCAAAGACTACGTAGCTTTTCAAACCAAATATGCCCAAAAGGTTCGTATGAAAAATTAGTTCAACGATCATAACACTATTGTAACTATGGTTGTTTTGATCGTCAGTAATATGGTTCTAACAAGTCTATAATTTTTCAGGGCTTACAGACCTGGAAAAATATTCTACACAGCATACAGAGCATAGATTAGTGCATCATTATCAACTATCACATTCACATAATAATAATAATATCATTGTTTGAGTCAATTAATTCTAAGTTAAGCATTTGTACCATTATCATTGTTGTTGTTTAATTATTTTTTAAAAGTATTACTGTTATGGCTATAAACTGCCTTGAGCCAAAAACATTACTTTGATAGATTCTAAAAAAAATTACCATAATTATAGCGCTGTTATTTGTTTATTTAGTATAAATAGTCGTTTAAATTATTTGCTGTGCAACCTAATTATTACAAATAATATCATTGGTGGTTTTATCATATAACTTTTATCACCAGCAAAAATTGTATGATTTTAGGTTAACATACAATAACAAACTTTACAGTAAGTCGGTAAATAAGTTTAGTTATTGTTAATGTTCCTCTTTGGTAAAGCGTTTTTTGTCAAGTACACTTTCTTTTCACATTTGTTGGCTGATGGCAATTACACGTTATATGACTTAAGTTTTGTAAAAAAAACCAGACAGGTTTTTTGTTTTGGGATTTTACTATAAAAATAATTTCTTGAAATTACTAAACAAAACCAAAAATTGGTCTTGAGAAAAATAGATTTTTCTACCGAATTTTGCTTTAGGATTTCTTTGTAATAAATATAGAAAAAAAATGTTAAGACATTTAAAAATTAGTGGAAGTAAATCTAGAACATTTTGGATCTTTATGTTCAAAATAATTATTTGTTGACTTCCCAAAATAGAATTTTTCACTAACAAACCAATTCTTGGTATAATTTAATTCTTCCAACATTTTATTGTAAATAGAATTTTGGCCATTAAAAATATCAGTTATACAATAATTAAGAAAACTCCTCGAGCAAGTTGGAATTATGATATTGGTTATTTTATACATTAATTATGTATTAATCCATATTCTATGAATAGCCTTATTTATGGCCTAATAAGTTTACTCCGAAGTTAGACGTGAAAAACAATTTTTTATTTACCTAAAGGTATTTTAGGGATAAGAGTACCTTGTTGGAAATAAATTTACAAAATACCTTTCCCTACATAAATTATCAATTTTTATGACTTTTTAGTATAAAATAAAAACAAAGTGTACCTAAACATTAAGAGGGCGTCGCACCGGTGATTTTTAGTGGTAAAAACATGTTTACGCCAACTGAAAATAACTCGCATAATTTCGGTTTTAGAGTAAAAGCTTCCATTATAAAATTAAAAAGAGAACAATATTCTGGAGGGCCAGACGGTGCGTTTTTTCAAAACACTTCATTTTTTGAAAAGTTAGTCAATTAAAAATGTCAAAATAGAAGTTATTTCTTAACTATGTATTGAGCGTTATACTTGGAATAATGAAAAAAACGCACCGTCTTGCCCTACGGAATATTGTTCTCTTTTAATTTTATAATGGGCGCTTTTAATCTAAAACCAAAATTAAGCGAGTTATTTTCTGTCAGCTTTAACATGTAGAGATGAAAAAACATTTTTAAATCGCTTTCAAGGATGCTGTGATAGTCCAAAAAATAAATTGACTATCAAAATAGAGTCCTAGTTATTGAACTAATACTTACACATCACATTTCCTTTAAATTAAGATTTTGTAAAAAATTGCCTATACTTTACTCCTTAAAAATAGGCGATGCGACGCCCTCATAAGTCATAAAATATTTCACACATTCCTCTTGCGAGGAGTAGGGTTCACGCCCATAATCCCCGTCGGGGCAAAACGATATTGCAATTTAACGACTTATTAATTTTAGGCGTAGGTTTTGATTGAAATGCAACTTTCCAGGACACGACTTCAGAACCGCCATGATATCCGTTTTTGTAAAGCAAGTACCTACCCATCAATATAAAGCATTGTTTCGTGACGGTCGTCGTTATGCGTAGGTAGGTATTATTATCTATCAAGGCGGGTTGAAACTTTTATAATGAAAACTTAAATCCCCAGTAGATATATTTTTTTAAAACCCCGTTGGATAACGACCCTTTTTGAATGACCGCCCCCCCTCCTCCCAATCGAGTCGGAAGTTATACTTAATATTTCATTAGATACATGACGTGGATTCCAACGAAAATTTAATAAAAGAAACCCTTAGGTATACGGGTAGGTTGTATAGGTACTTGACCGCTATAGTTCAGACGTCAGACGTATGACGTCAGACCGTATAAATGGCCAATAGGTAAAGTGACAGCGTGGTCACTAGGGCGATGCTTGTATGTATGTGCGTTTTTCCTCATAAATGATGTACGACCGCATATTATTATGTATGTGTACGTTATCGATCCACAGTTCAATTAAGTCCACCTTTGTGCGTCCACCTATAGATTCCATACCGGCGTAGACCAGTAGCTGTCTACGCCACCGAGACTGAATGACGTCGTCGGTCGGCGTTCGGAAAAACTGTCCACCGGCCACCAGGCGTCTGTGCTCGTCGTCGTCGTCGTCCGCCGTGGAAAAGGTGCACGGAGGCGTCACCGTATGGGGAATCACCGTCGGCTCCAACTGTCAGATCGCTTTGCCGGTTTTCGGCACACTGTTCTTGGCCGTAGGAGCTGTTCTCACAGGTACACGACAATCCAACATCCCCGTCGTTACAGCCATTATGTATTAGGTATTGAAAATTTGGGACGAAGGAGGCCGGTGGAGGCATTTTAGATGTGCAAACTGAAGCAGGCTAATTTTTTTCCCATCGACTGACCGTTTTAACTTTTATCTTAATCACAATAATCTGAAAACGAAATCCAAAACACGATAGTCGTTTTTTAAACTTTAAACGACATATTATTATGATGATTGAATTTTATAATTTGTATTTTTTTATAATTAAGAAATTATCAATTCGATCGTGTTTGGGAAAAACGTGCTCAGTCTGAAATTTCAGTATTCAATATTAAAAATTCAAAAATGTGTATTGTATGTGTAACGTAAAAATAAAAAATCAACAAACATATAACAACTGATAAAATCGTTGTATGACTTAGATTTTACCCAAAAACTCGTATAACAATTTCTCAAACTAGGTATGTCATAAATTATTTTTCGCAAATTTTAGACACCACGGTTTTCCCGAGCGCCATCGAATTATTTTGTCTACAAGAAGTCAGAGAATTAGTTTAATTAGTTACCCCTTATCATAACTTATTACTGTAAGAATAAGTCTAATCACCACTTAGGTTAAGGTCTTGTTAAAAAGGTTAGGCGACGATGCAATCGTCATAGTTAAAAAATGTAATATGGTCGAAGTCACAATTTGGTGTCCAAAGCGGAGAAACGTTTAAAGACAGTTTGAACGAATGAAAAGAAACCACACTCAAGTACGAACAAAACGATGATGAATATTTTGAAACCGTGTCCAAATCACAGCAAAAAATAAATTGTAACTATTTGAGATTCAGAAAACCAAATTAAAGTACCATAGCTGTGCTATTGAACTTAATGTTAACCTTGGTAATCTCTTACTAATATATTTTATAACTGCCATTGTAACTTTATTTAACGTTTTATTATATCCCGGTTATATTCTGTTTCGTTTATTATTCTCTGTGGTTCCAGTCTATACAAATAACTATTTAATATTTTTTAATGACCAAGTAGACGCAAGACGTTTAAGGTCATCAGCCTTTCTATTACCATTCATGACTCAATTTTATTCACTTTGACACAATATTTATAACTATATATGTGTTATGTGTATGTGAAAAGTATGGTCATAAGTTATAGTAATTTATATTTTATGCGTTTGTCGTTTGCAGTCATATCTTACGGTTGGGTGGGCAACGACGATGATCAAAAGCGGAAACCGTATTCGACTTCGGGAAACGGACGTCTATTGGGTCCAATATGTTTGGTTATGTCGGTCGTTATGTTCACGGCGACCGCAGTGCTTCGAGTGATCAGCACCAAAGCCCGTTTGCGTCAAACCCGCGTTGGGTTCCATTGTCCCGTTCACGGCGATTTCTTCCCCTTGAGTCCCGTGCTGGACCCCAGGAATTTCTCTTGTAAGTCGCACATGGTTAAACTTTCAGATCCGACACTCACACTTCTCCTCTCGTCATACACACGTTGTAATCAACTTTCTAGCCGGACTTTAGGCTAGCTTTCAAATTGCTGGTATTATAAGTGTGGTGCCCGATACGGGATATCTGTTGTCTAGTTTCTGCTGGTGCCATATCGCGGTATCCTTGTATATGCGACTGTTTCAAACAACCCAAGAGGGATTCGCAAGAAACGCTGGCCGTCGACGATCTGTCGCCACAGTGTCCGCACCACGGCGCTCACGGCAGCACTCGATGTCCGAGTCCCACATCGTCTTGCCCGACTCCAAAACCGTTCTTGATATTCACCGACTCCGAACACGGGTAACGCGTTCACCATAAGACACCTGCACCTTGGCTGGCCCCAGTGCTTACTACATATTTCGATGGAATTTTCGCAGAGGCAGCAGAGAACTTTTTGCCGGCAACACGCTGTTCCCGGACGAACCGTTTGGATCCATCCGATCTCTTTCGGTGCCCAACGACACTTTGGCCGTGGCTTGTTTTCCAGTGGCGCACAAAGACGACTCTCACCTGTTGTGCGTTCCCGAGGAAGGATGGTCACACAAAAGGTAACCCGATCGACTTTGCCTCGACGATTTGCACAACCATAGTGTTGACAATTAAAGATTGAATTGATTCAATCGATTGACACTATTACTATGAAGGCTATGCCATGGATACAGAACTCATGTAGTCCGACACTGATATAGGGAATTTTGTTTTGGAATAACGCTAGGATGAGTTGTCCGAGTCTGCCTTCGACCGGCGACGAGTTTCCACAGCCCGAACCGACCAAACCACTGACTCCACAGGTCGTCAAAGTGGTCCGTGAGATCCGTTTCGTCACGCCCATCGAAAAGAATTAACTAGAAATCTAATGGTCGCTTCATCAATTTATGGTCATGCGACTGCCACCATACATGGGAATCTTGTTGTGTACATACATTTCTTAATAAAGTATTGTCTACTGTCTAGGTAGGTAAAGAGTTAGTTTTACAATTTTACTTTTATACCTTATGTTGAATGAACGTTCGCAGTAGGCATCGTTGACAATGGAGTACTATGCTTATCCTAGCGTTTCTTAACACCATTCCTGGTTCCTCCATGCATAATACATGCACCTACAAGTTTTCTACTTTATTACTTTTTATAGTAATAATAGTTATTAAACAATAATATTAATATGTATCGAATATTTCATAAATTATACAAAATGTTTGTAATACAATTTACCAACGTGTTTTGATTGCGATAAATAATAGTTATTGCAAAATACCTACTGTACAATCCCAGATTATATAAATTAAACTGTTCAAAAAGAGTTGCAGGATACAGATAAGGTAAAGATATTACGGCTAATGACTGTCATTTCTCAATGTTTCACCTACGCACGATATACGGCTGTACCGTGAGAACTACTTTCAAATAAACGAATTCGTCAACAAAGATAATTTTTATTCGCCTATATTACATTGTGTCATAAGACATGAGTCATCCATGAATATACATTAGTTACTTCTGAGTTATAAAAATCGTATTGAGGAGTCTAACCGAATCTATACGACTTCCAGGGAAGTTTTAAAAAATGCGATACTCAATGAAGATAAAATAATTATTTTAATTTAATATTTGTTCATAAAAAATAAAATAAATCTAGATCCAAAGATGCGATTGTCAAAGAAAAACTAAGTTCCTAATGTACCCACCAGCCACCTACATATGTTGTTCTCTAAGCAGTTAGCACTTAAATTAAAAATGTAATGTGTGAAAAAATATACGTATATTAATAAATTATAATAATATCGATTAAATATATTAATTATTACTTACCCCCAGGGGACATTCGGTGTTACGGGTCTAGTGAACCCGGGGCCCCGAGCTGTGGCGTAGGGGAAGTGGCGCTCCCATCGCCCAATGCACCCAGTAGTGCATTGCAGTAGCCCTACCCTTACTTTAATTGGTTGGGGCAGCCTGGTCCTCCAGATTGGGGGTTGGGCGCGGAGTTAACAACCCCGCCTTGTAAAAACTCAATTGTTATGATACCATCAAAGATGGCGGCCAAAACTCTTAGAGAGTATTAAGTACCAGAGGAAGAAGAAGAAGAATTATTAATTCGCTAATTAAAATGTAATAGTTTTTTATCTTAGTTGATTATTTTTCTTTCGCTTATTATAAAAACACGCAACGAAGCTTACATCATTTTCGTTTAAATAATTATTTTACACTGAGCAAGCTACCTCTTTGTGCATTTTATCACAATTCACAAAAACTGTATTTTCCTTAATTATACAAAATGTTTGGAATAGTTTATATTGATATAATATATATATATTATAATACAAAAAATATGAATTTTGCATACCTACTAGTAAAAAAATAAAATAAAGGACAGATTGAGTAATTGTGATTAAATGGGTCAAACGTAAAAACAGTTTTTTTTAATATAAAAATAATTGTATGTTTTTAAAAATTATTTAATGCATTGGCATCTCGTGATAAATGTGTATAATTAAAATCGAAAATCGTTGATTATATATTTTTTAAAAAACCACATTGCCGTTTTCTCAATTTATTTACAATGGCTGAAGGTATTTTTTTTTTTTTTTAAGGTCGGTTGTCAGTTTTACCATTGATTTAAAAATCAATAGTTTTGCCGTGTACGTATAGCATAGTATTAAAATATAGTTAATACGGAAAATAGATTTTATCATTGTTTTTACCGAGAACTTCTAACTAAACAAACGGGAGACCTAACTCCTGGGTTTTTTATTGATTGGACAAAATACGGTAAATGTATATTATATATTATATATACAGAATTTCTTTATTTATTTCTTTGTTTAGAATTTCTTGTAACATCTGATTTTTTGATGATATACTAAAACGAAAAAATGAGTTCTGTGAGATATTTTTAATTTTTACCAAACAATAATAATTTAACGTTACTGTATTTTTAGGGGCTAGATTTAGGGGGAGGGGTTATTTTTGAAACATAAATGGTAATGTATACATTTAATTATTTTTTTAGATTAAGAATAATTTGCTGAACATTTTTATTGGTGAGTAGCCAGTTTTAAAATGCATTACTAAAAACCCAAAATCAAAAATTTCTTCAAAGCTAAAAATATTTTATTTCTGGCACACCACACCGCGCTAAGATGAATATCTTACAATCGAACGTGATTCAACCTTTTTTTTGGATTTTTTACAACTACAAAACAAAATGTGAAATAGCTGATTTTTTAATGAGTACCTAAAGTAGATAGGTATTCCTTCATTAAGAACCATGACCCAGCTAAATGTTGATGAACTGTATCATGTTATACTGTAAAATAGATGACACTATATATATATATGATGCGTGTTTACGTAGAGGTCTTTTGAAATGTATATACTGTGTACTGAATTATATATTCCGTTTGTAAAATATCAACATTAACTCTAATACATATAAGTAAATAAAATTGCGTGTTTGTAATACTATATAAGCAAAACAGGAAACTAGTTAAATGTATACGCATAACTATATAGCAAACATACCATGACATGATACAAAATGTATGTGATTATATACATATATACACTATTAGTTATTACATACATTTTCCCCTTAAATTGCACAGAATAAATGGACTATTGATTTGATTTAAAAATAGTAATTTAAATGCTGAACGGCCTAAAAATAGCTTGAAGTTGAATTTATTTGTGTTGTTAAAATATTATTTATTATTGTTTACTTACAACTTTACTATTCATTTTATGTACATATTAACATAACAAATTAGGTATTTCAGAAAACAGAATGCGTTATTTCTTTGTTGAAAAATACGGATAATATTATATTGTTATTACTTACCTATTTGTTATTAATAACATGTTACTACTGTATAATAAATTAAATCAGAATGAACAATGATATATATATGACATGGACAATGGATAACTGATTATCTGATATTGCGATCGGCCATTTTTTTTGGAGGAATGTATCATATTTCCCATATTGATACGGGACACCACCTATTGATTATGGTAAGCGAAGATATAATACATTTGCAAGGCAAACAAACCGGATTTCCTGTCTAAATACACAAAATCTTAAATGAGTTTTCTTGCACAAAAACTTACACGTCATATACCTCAATATTATTTAAAAATAAATAAGTTGTAAGTTATTACAAGTCGTAATAACGATTTGCAGAATAAACGATAGTAAAATGGTCACAAGAAACAATAACATGGTAAGTACCTTAATATAAATAATCTATTAACTTAAAAAAAATTGGCGGTTTGATTTTATTTACACCTTCAAGTGGCCATTCTGAAATAATTAGCCTAGAACCACGCATATGAAATAAATAGATGAGAAAAAATTTTTTAGTCTAACGATACTATAAATGTATATTTCTTTTTATGACACTAAAATATTTTATTTACACATAAAAAATAAACAACCGAATAACGCATTATAATATAACTATATAATATATATCAAATAATCGGCCGACCTTGAAGATCTCGCCGTCAACAAATTAAACGATGGCCAATGTATTTTCGTGCATACCAGGGAATCCTAACTGAGCCTCTTGCATAATCCTCAACCTGGGACCCATGGGTACTCCGAGCTTGTGCATCCTTTCCTCGCTCATGTAAGGCAACTCGACCAGACCAATCTTTTCCTTTTCGAACGCGGAGGCGTATTTCTGTAAAATGAAAAACAAACATTAATAGTACATTTTTATTGATAAAGTCAGCAATGATGTATGCAAGTGAGTGTTGGGCAGTGGATAAGATGAATGAAAGGAAGTGGCCGTGATAATGTTGAAGTGGCTGTGTGGAGTTTCTAGGTTAGATAGAATAAGGATATAAATTTGGGAATTGCGCCAAGAGCCGGGAAAATGAGCGAGAACAAATTTAAATGGTTTGGGCACATCGAAAGACTGGAAGAAAACAGTAAATTTGAAGGAAATTCTCTTTTTGAAACATTGGTGTTGTAGCTTCGGATATAAATTCTCGTGGGACTCCCTGTGTATTGCGGTAGACTTTAAGTCTTCAAATTTTCGTTTTGTCACTATTATTTAAACGACGTATATCAATTACCTCGTAACCCAACTTCTTCAGGAACAGTCTTAAAAGCGGTGGCTCATCGCCAAAAAATTTTGTGAGTTTCTTGACTTTGGTCGGACTTGAGTTGGTCTGTTCGGCGCCGATCGATTGAAGCGCCCGAGGCCCTGATTGCGAACGGATCGACAACATATTTGTCTGCGTCCTCAGGGCTGAAAGTTCGTTTCTGATTACTTCCATTTCCTGGATCATAAGGTGTTGAGTTCTCATCTCGGACGATAGGTGCGCTACGCTCCTAGCTAGAGTGACCACGTGAGATTCTAACCTCTGAAATCGTTTGTTGATACCCTGTGGGAAAACAGCGTAAGTTAGGAACGAGAACCAAAAACTATTATTGATGCATAAATAAAATAAAACTACTTACTTTGATGTCTTTGACGGTCTTCTTACGGTCGTCCGTAGATCTGCGATGTCTCTCCCGGTAAGGCCTACTGCTGGCCGATGACGGTATAGATGACATGCTGCCATACATGCGTCTCCTGTGAATTCTCGGATCGGACGGTTGATATTTGGGACCTCCGGATTTGCGCACTCCTAGCAGTTTTAACACCTGTAAATAAAATTAATATCATTGTTACATAGATAGCCGACTGCGTGTAGTTCTCAACGGTTGTTTATACGAACCTCCGAGTACATGGTCTCCAACCCTTCAAGCTGCTTTCTTATAGTTCGCACATCACTGTTGACGGTTTCGTCGTCGCTACTAGCTTCCTCGTCAAACATAGAATCCATGTCACCGACGCTACTCGCTGTGTGCATATTATCATTGTAAGATTATTTTTTTCGGGGAGGGGGAGAGATTGATATTGTTCTTTAAAAACATGTAATATGTTTTCTTACATTGGAGAATTCTTCTTAGATCCGGCCGTTTAGAAGAACTCGTAGTAGGCCTGTCTCTGTGCGACTTCTCTTTTGGCGCTCTAGAAGACCACGGATTTCGTTGATTGGAAGTTTGACCTCTGGATTTCACCACGTATTCCGTTCTACTAATAGACAAAATCCAATTAAGACCCACGAATCTATATGGTTTTTGTTTGTTTCTAATAACACTTACTGTTTGTGCACGGGCGTTTGCATGCCGTCAGATGATCCATCGGGAGACAATGGCGGTAAGGGAGGAGTGACCGATGATACGCTGTCACTTAACGTCGACGGCACGCTGACCTTTGATGGATCGAGGATTTGCCGTAGCTCAGTGTCTACGTAATCCATCCATTCGCTTTGGCCTTTCTTCCCTGCGAAAGCCGATGGTAATTTATATTTTAGACAAACAGAATATCGTTGTATAGAGTTGATGTTATGTAACTACAGTTTACCTTGGTTTCTTTGTTGCATCTCCGACGACGATTCGGGGCTGGTGGCAGAGTTTTGAGCTTTACCGCTACTGTAAACGGTACTACCACGCCCAGAATCTGATTGGCCGCCACTACCTAACCTTCCATCCGAACTGGCTCCGCTTATTGGACCGCTGGCAGCTCGTTGCTCCTCTAACTTGTCGACGTCGTCTAGCGAACTGGGTTGAGATTTGAAATCATCTCTCTTGCAGATTTTCCGTCCCAAATACCTATCGCTAGAGTACTGCACAATAGTCTGTTGTGTATTATTGCTCGATTCGACTAGATTGTCGTTAGACTTGGATCTAGGAAAGGGAGCGGGAACATCTTTGGTCTTTGCCAGAGGCATTGGCGTCTTAAAACACTCTTGCGGCTGTTGAGCCGGTAGACTCTTCTTAACGTACAACGGACTCTGGTTGATATGTCCGTAATTATTGGCCTGGACTCTAACTTCATAGTTGGTGGGCCGGTGAACTTCACTACTGTAGCTCTGGACGTTCGGCCTTCTCTGGTCGATTACCCTGTTAGTCTGTACAGTATGAGGCCTCTCGTAAGTTCTCGACGGACCAGCCACATTAGCTCTGCACTGATCCGGTGTTTGATACACGTTTTGATTTGGCATTTGAATGGTCATGTTTTGCATTTGATTATTAACGGCCAAGTAGACCCCGTGTTGGATCAGTTGACTGTGAGGGCTCATTGCCGGGTCGTCTAGTTTGATCGGTGTTGGCAAAGGAGTCTCGGCGTTATTCAAATTCAGTTCCGCTACCGGTTCGGTTTTTGATTTTGAAAACCTCGTGGTAATCATGTCTTTGATGCGAGACGAAAACTTTTTCGAATTGTTAGGGTCTTCGGGGGTAGAATGTGAAATACCCGTTCCTCCGTTATACGTTTCTAAACGCCTTCAAATAAAAGATTAAAAATAAATTGTAAAATATTAAGAGGAATACAATTTTTTTATTGAAATCGCATGTAGATCTTACGGGGCAAATCCGTTAGAATCGTCTCTGAATATAGGAGATAACTCAGTTGGAGGATCCAAAGTCTTTAACGGTTCGGCTTTGTAAACATGCTGTTGTTCATTGTTAACCATGGCGTAATGATGCGGCGTATGGTATTGGTGTGTATTTTGAGGTACATTATACTGAAATGTGACAACAAAATCAATAATAATAATACAGCTGTACAGTTATGAGTGGAATTCATGATGTCTGACGTACTGCGCTCGTAGACTGATCCGACCATGCGATTTGTACGTTTGGCGTGTCAGGTCCGACGGCTTTGGGCCTTTTCTTGTAGTCATTCAATATCGGTATTTTTAAATTTTTATCGGTACTGCTAAGAACCACTTCCCTTTCAATCTGGAAATAAAAACAATTTTATTACTTTCATCCTGCGGTTTAATGACGTTTATAATAATTATAGTGTAGTTAAACGAGTTTCAGATTTTTTTTTTTTATACACTCTTCGAGACGATTCGTGATAGACTCGATTGCTACGGCCACGCGTTTTAATTGGTTAAAAAAAAAACCAAACAGTATAGATGCGCTGGGATTTTATTCACGTTGACTATATCTGCCGACTGCGACGATCCGTTTGCTTCTCCTCTACATACCTTGACATATTGCTCATACATCAAACGTTGCGCTCACAAATTAACACAACTCTTAATATGTCACTTGAACTCTGCTAGAGGTTACCCTTTTTTTTCTTTTGACCCTTTTAATACGAAACTTTAAGGTTTCCATCGCACGATATCACACAAATCGCGGTCACGTCAACGTACCCGTGTTCTAATCTTTAGGCGGCTATCTCGAGCCGATGAGATTGTTTACGCCGTCGACTTTCGCTGTGCCGCTTCCCAGCGGTTTGGGAACTATTCTCACGGGCCGCGTTTCTCATAGCCAAAACGAGCAACTGCGGGCGTTTGTAGGTGTAGTTCCCGGCCGTGGAAATCGCACAGAATAATAATTATTATAGTTATTGTGGAGTTGACTCACCGGGAATTTACTAGAATGAGTGTGGATTTTGTTGCTGGAACCGGGCAACGGCGAAGGTTCGTTGTACAGCGGATAGGGTGGCATCCTGTATGGTGGCGGTCCTGACGTTTGATGCTGCTGTTGGCCTCCCTGTTGCTGCGGCGGACCGGCGGTGGGTTTTGGCGGAGGCGCCGGCTTGGTTAGCCCTACGACCCCTGAAACAAAAATAAAACATTCAATGAAAACCCGTCAAAAAAATAAATCATTCTAGTGTATCTGTTCGTTATACAGGATGAAGGTGGACAGAGCAGCGTCTCGATCACGGGATCCGAGGTGGACTTTCGGTCCCGGCTGAGACGTTTCACTTGCCTCACTGTGGTACGACCGGGCGGGCTCGGCCGAACGGCGGCTGAAGAATTGGCACAAGTGCACATGGTCCGGAGAACGAGCGCGCTGGCCGACTATTCGGCGCATTGTGTTTCCGTATGTGTGCCTATTGTTTTTCCACATACGTTTGAATATGTATATCTCAACTCTTATGTCACGGGCCACGAAATGCAACGGAGTAAGTAGCCCGTGCCCGGTTGTAAAAAAAAAAAACATTTAATTGCGTTTCGTCTTGTTATCACTGTTGCGCGACTGATTTAATTATTAAGTGCCCGCTTGTATCCTTCGTGAATAATTTACACGCGAATCGTCGCCACAACGGTCGACAATATCATTATATTTTTCTTGCCGCTATTTGTATCACATACCTATGTCCCGTATTCATCATGTATATATTTTGACATGACATTAGACTTGAAAAATAGCTACAGGTATAATTCCGTCAGCAAGGTGCAAGGATACGTTAATTCGAGAAAAAAACCCTACCCCAACAAATTGACGACCGTCAGATGTGACCGTTGGTAATTGGTAAAGAGAGTGCGGAACACCTGCCTCGGGTTGTCGTTAAAAAAATAAAGCTATTTACGTTCAAGCACTCTTTTTATCGGACTGTTAAATAACCGTTGACTCGGCTACTACCAACTCGGAGGGTGGGAGGAAGAGGGGGGGGGGTAGAGAAAAAAAAATCGCAATAGACAAATACACGGGCGGTTATTAAAAAAATATATATATTATACCGAAAACCTCAAAACGCTTTGGCGTGTATAATAATATGTAAACCGGTGAGTACACGTACCGGTGCATAACGGATTTGTTTCGGGTAAAACTATATAATATTATTATATTATGCTCTTTAGGATTCCATAGGGAGCGGAAGTTCATTAGTTCCACACGGTACCATGGGAAAGCAAGCGACCAGAAATCCGGAACAGGGTGTAGGGCCGCGCAGAGCTTTCTTGTCCCGCACTACCGCGCACACCTGTTGGATTCGGTACCGAGTATATATGTTATGTATATAGTTTACAAGTATACGTTAACCGTCGTTCGTCCATATCTAGTGTAAATCATTGTTATTCAATTTTTAGCCTGATTACCCCCATTGAGCGCGCCGGATTCAAAAAGGGGTTTCTAAGGCGAACCCGAAAGAATGGGCTAGTCCGGTGTTTTCGAGCGTGTCCATCAGATGTATGAGTCACAATATAGTTGCCCGTATTCGTGTTGGGAATATATTTGAACGTGTACAATAATAGCTTTTTGGTCAGGTGGACGCAGCGGATAGTTTTCCAATAATATTGTGAATTACCATAGTGCGGCGTTCGACAGGATTCTTTCGGCAAAAAAATAATAATAATAATAACAAGAAAAAACACTATCACTAAAACGGTTTAATACGGCAATCGGCTGATATCGCATCACGTATATTGTCTGTGTATACATTGCTACGTGTATACACAATATGGACTATTGTGCACCGAAGAATTAGATACGGCTCATCGGTCAAACGAAATAAAATAATAGAGTATTATTATTTTTGAATCGTCAGACGACGTTGCTCCAATACGGACTAGCATGACCTAAACACCGAAGACGTTCCATATTTTATGTGTGTTCGCTTTTGGTATATAACCCGTCTTTATGGTATTCATCCGGCTGTCCGTACCGATTGTGTTTGTCTTGTAAGGGGAATAGAAATTGGATTTTCGGGAGCTTATGGATGATGTTCTCTATTTGATACGCGTACAGAGAAAAACGGCCGTGTCACGTCGATAACAATAATAACAACAACAAAAAACATCTTAATAACGTGAGTGTGTGTGTGTGTGTGTGTTTGGTGTCCATGAGAAAAATAATAAGAACGTTTTATCCGCCATTATAGTTTTTCCTCTTTATTATATCATGTGTGTAGAAATATGACGGGCACTTCGTACCGACTACCGAGTAGGTACTAGGTACACGGCTGCAGTTGCTACAATATTTCTCGACGGTTAACAATGTTTGTTTCTGCGCAAAAAATATAGACAAATAAAATATTATTACACCTGTCGTGTAACACTTGGATTAAAAAAAAAACACCATATTTCAGACGTAGGTGAGGCTATTACGGATTCCCAACGGCTCGGCAAAACAGCCGACAGACGTCTAATCGTCTATTGTGAGCGCGTGTAACCCCTCGCCACTTCCGGAATAACGTGCACATCATATCTTAAAAAAAAAACGAAGAAGAAGAATGGTAAAAAAATAATACTCTACTACTATTAATTCGTATTGCAGGTGCGCCAACCGTCCGGTTAAGTAGCCACCTGCAACGGAAGGTATCCAGTATAATAATATTAGTATAGGCAGTATCGCAGCGTAGGTACATAGTATACTATTATAATAATACATAGTAGCAGTGCTTACGTATGTATATATATATTTATATAAACGTACATTTATTGACCAAACAAGGTCGGTTTAACTGTTATTTAACGACGATAACGCGTTGTATGTGCACGCACTTGAAGTAAAAAAAAGAGGAAGGTGTGGAGGTAAAGAGTTGAGTGTATACACATATTATTATAATGTTATTATCTGCGTTTGGCGGTTTCAAGGTGAACGAATACCTGAACAGTCGCTCCTAAAAATCGCTCGAGGCGCAGATACCTAGGTACCCTTCAGAATTTGTATTATTATTAATATTTTTTCGTCCTGTCTCTACATCACTATATGTGTATCGTGATTTGATTACACGCAACCACGTATACATAGGTACATATTATATATAATATGTGTATAATATGATAATACAAGATAATTATCTATTGTACGCTCGGCACAATGTTGTGATTGGCGGCCGAGTGAAATTCGTCAAGACGGATCAACCTTTCTCCACTGCGGTGCCGTATGGTGGAATAAATATTTGGTATTATTGGGTATCTGAAATCACAATACCTACGACCCTCCGGTTTACTATACACTCTTTTTACAGTACCTACAACGGTACTGGGTTAAAAGCTAGAATTTACAATGCTAAACAACCAACGTGCGCCAAGACTGTCAAGGTTTTTTTTTAATGAACAATAGATCCGTAGTACACCTCTCTTCTCGATTAGTAGCCATTCACCATAATACTCAATTGTAATTTCAAAATATGTTGTATTTACATTCCGGCATAAGATACCTCTTTGGTCTACTGCTTATATCCAAATATTTATTACATATGCTCACGCGGTCTTGGAAGATAACTTGTTTAGCTAATTTATACTCGGAATTAGATAGTAAGCTACAAGGACTTCAAGTTAGGATTATAAAAATACAAAGAGACGGAGCGGAAAGTAAGTTCAGAATGGGAAATCACGCACTTCATCCGACTGATAAAAAATATTTTTTTAACTAGATTAAAAACAAAAACTATCTAGTTAATTGAAAAACGGCAAAAATCAAAAATAATATATCGTCGTTGCCACAAAGAAACCTCTCATGTGCCAATTTTACGATTTTGAGGTTTTGGTATTCCCGGATACAGAAAAAAATAAGCTATCATATGATAAAATCTCCAACGTGCTATTCCATTGTAGAATGAAAAATAAAATATCCTACGTATTACCTACTATAAATCGTTTTACACGTTTTAGTGTCCCCTAAACAATTAGGTTTTAGCAGATGGGAGTTTTTTTCGCGGCAACGACGATTTTATATATTTTAAACGATTTATAGTGAACGTTCTACTTGTTATGTTTTCTTACTTTTTCAGTGCCGTGTATTTTAAATGCACAAGTTTGTTTTGGTACATTATTTTTTAATAGTCTTAAGAAATTAAACTTTAATGAAATGCATTAAAAGCTAATTTAAAAAAAAAAAACATAAAGGAAATTGTGATTTCTGTGATGATAGATCGTTCACGAAAATGGCATGCTTAAAAATGCACAAGCAACGATTTGGCTAAGCCACCAGGCATTATAAATGATTCAGGCCAGCTGGAAAATTCCCATTTTTCGACTGGTCTCTAGTGAGTAGTGATAATTAGCAAATAGCAAAATAGCATGGCGAATAAAGTCGGACTCGGAGCCCTCAACGGACTAAAAACTGACTCGTGATAACGCCGGACCGGTTCATTGGCCGGACCTCGCTGTTGATTTACGGTGTTACTTTCTCGACGATAAAATATTTACAAAAAAAAATAACACTCAACGTTTGGTATCTGTTGTAATCTGTTCTCCTGAGCAAAATCGTTGCCCGCCGGCCGGTCGACAGAAAAGAAACCAAAAATACAATAAATAATAATAATATATACTCACACGCATAAACGACGTCAAACTGGAAATTTAAATTCAAGACATTATTGCTTTATGTAATATCACAATTTAAAAGCATGCGTGAACCGCGGGTTAGTGATTAGTTGGTGTTATACAGCGGTATAACGACTTTGGACACGAGAAAGGAATAACAACAGAATCTCATGGATAAGTTTAAATTTCGCACAATCGTGACCGCGTCTCGACGATAATAATATGTAGTGTAAACAGCCTGAGGCTGATTGTTGCCAAGGATTATGTTTTTTTAGCTGAATTCCTGCCTAATTCTCTCGTGATCGACCACGTCGACAACCATAATAATCGGCCGAAGATAAGCTGATAATAATTTATCATAGAGGAAAAAACGCCCCAGAGAAGACAAGAAACTAACACTGATGTAACGTTACTAACATTGTTTTGTTTTATTTTCAAGACCATTCAATACTTTATAAGCAGTTTCTTGAAAAAAAAAATGTCCAACTTTTCCACTTTTCATTTGGTAAAAAAAAACCGTCTTCTTAGTTTTGTTCCCCCGAATCTTAACCTAACCCAACACGGGATTATCAAGTATTTCATGTTTTTTTTTTAATGTTTACAATATACTAGTATGTACAGCAAAAAGAAAGGTTTCGAAATATGGTGCTGGAGATTTCACAGACTGTAAGAGATTTTATGAACAAGCGGTAGTCACTTCATACACACTTCATACCGGTTATGTTAGGCTTGTCTTATATCAAGGAAATCTACAAAGCTTTTGGACATCGTCCGATTTGGTTGACAATTTTATCGCTGCTAATTTCTTCCCGTTTGAATTGTCTAGTTTCGAGTAGTTAGTGTATAAAATATAATTATTATGAATGTGCTTAATTTGGTGAGTTGAAATCGTTAGGTTCGGTCGGTTATGTGTATACGTGTATAGTTCATCGGTTTCGCTTTGGACCAGACGTTTGCATTAAGACTAGTAGTCACGCAACGAAATGTGTGTAGTTTTTTCTTTCTCTCTCAGAAAAAATAAATACAAAACATGTTAATCGTCGATCTATCGAGATAGAAGGAAGCGCACGACATCTGCTCGGCATCTCGATACACGTTTGGATAATGGTTAATAATAATAATAAATATAATATCTGTAATTATACACGGAACCCCCTGGAAAACCTGCTCTAGTTATTATGTGCAACAGTTTGTTGGGTAGCAACACCGATGGAATGCAGAGATGTTCCGGACAACAAGACAATGGAATGGACGGAAACGCAATTACATATTTTCAGTATAATATTGGAAAGCTACCTGGCAGGTTGCAATATTGTAGGCGGGTGCATTATTATTGTCAAGCCAAATTCAAATATAAATCAACAATTTATTTTTTTAACATTACATTATTATAACAGAGTGAAAGTTATTCGGCAACGGTGTACAACCTGTGGGTGCTGCTATGCGAACGCGGGTCGCATGTGTTGAAGTTTTTTTTTATTTTGCGGGGTCTCTATACTTACTACTACCGTACCTCGTTTGTCCTGGCCATTAAGCAATTATAAATAATAGACGTGACAGTTAAAAAACTCCCTAATTATTATTTATTTCACACGCGAGAATTCGTGTGAAAATATGAGATTTATCTTATAAAATAAAATTATACGTTTTAGATGTATGTGATTACATTTTGTTGTATGTGTAGTTTTGTAAACAATAGATTTAAATGACGTGTGATGTGGTCAACCTGGTTAAACATTTAAATCTAAATGCAAAATATAGTTTCTAACGTGTGCCTAGGATGGACAGAGTTTGCCGCGGTAACGAACCCCGAGCAAAAGTCGAGGAAGTAATTTTGAAAATCTTATGCCTAGTAAATTTTCACTAAATCGTGTAATCCAATCATAACAAATCCGTGGTTGTTTGTTTACGTATGTTATGTGAAAAATAAAACGATATTAGACGAGTGTCCGTTCAAAAGCCGTCTCAAGTACATAACGAGACGGCTTCGGGCGCTTTCATAATATTATAGAATAGTATATTGAATTTTTATACCGAATGGTCGATTTTAAACAAAACAAGCATACAGAGAAAATAATTTCAACGATATTAGTCGGCGGGGTCGAAGACCAACGACGGGTTCTAATCTTCGGATGAAGTACCTAGCGGGATTCATTATTTTACATCAGGTGTATGCATATTATTATGTTTTCTATCTAGTTCCCATTGTCTTCGCGTTTGTGTGTGAAATAAAAAAAAACATTCTCGAGACGTTAATACAATTAATTAAATTTTCTCGCCAAGGTCTCCCGCAATTACTGTAATTTTACACGGCCATAACGACGGATGGGTCGTCGTACATAAACCTTATTTCTGTTATAAGGCACCTTATTTTGTTAACACGGTAACGGTCTGTCTCTCCACGCCTTTCGGAGTCCAACAAAAGCCATATAATTGGTAACACGACAATGCACGGCATCGACACAACACCTTTACACGGTGTTTGTGTTCGACGCGATATTGTCACCGCCACCGACCTCTACAATCATAAAAAAAAAACGATTTTTTAGGTACACACATATTGTAGGTACCTTGAACGTGGCTCAATAGTACATAAGACCGTCGGAAACTCAAGAAGAAAAAAAAGGATTTATAAACCCCAGACACGCGTACACACATACATAATAATATTTATACAAGTTGCGTCGTCAGTCGGCGTGTATACTAATAATATTAATATATAACAACATGATCTACACCGAGGACGCGTTCATCAATATTCAACTTGACCGACGAATACATGACACGGACCAGAATACCAAAACGACCAGAGTGGCATTGGTGCGGTTTACCGGTGTGGGCCAACACAAAAGGTCATTGTCCATCCATTGTGCAGAGAAGGAAAAAACAAACCACCGAATCGGATATTGAAAACAAAAAATATTTTGAAAAAAAAAGTTATGATGGATATCCGTCGTTGAAGCACGTTTACCGTTTCAGTCGTTGGAATTTGGTAACATAATTTTTTAGGCGGCACACACGTGACGTTATTTTTAAAGCGTTCTTTGGGCGACTAAACGAAAAGACTAACCTAACGCATGCGTTTTTTATTTTTTAATTAAAATTTTAAAAACTGTCCCAACTCAAAATTCCGTCCAAAATACGATTTATAATTACGAATTGAGACATTGTTTGTGTTTTGGCACAACTATTTGGTTAACTATTGATAAATGGCGAGGTTCGACGGCAAATCGAATAAGCTCGACCAGAAGAATGTGCAAAAGGATCCAAAAAAAAACTCAGCTGGTATTTTTGTTTAAGTCCAAACGTCGTTTGGTTACAAAACTCAAAAATATGGATCTATTGGCTTTTGTGCATACCCGAAAGAACTCATCCGGGTCTAGTTTTTTAATAAAATATAAAATCGGGAAATCGCTACTTTGCGTGATTTTTAAGTCAAACTCGACTATAACAATTATTAATACTAATAACTCACCTCTATCCGTGTTGCGGTTACCCTCCAGTTTTAAAAATAATTATCCCGGCGAAGATCAACATAACTCCATCAAGTGGTTCACGATAACTTTTTTTGTTTCCCACGGACTCGACGAAAATTAAGTGAAAAAAAAAACAGCACTCGCACTTTGGGTAAAAAAAAAATAATACAAATTTTTTAGAAACAAATAGTGATTATATTTCAGTTCTTTTTATCATCAACTAATATACCGTCGAAGCGATTGCGGACTACTGGACCGTTGTAATGGTGTATGTACGTCCACACCTGTTACACACGACAGAGCACGGTGCGGCCGTCGTCTCCACTACACGTCACGGTGGCCAGACCAACGCGGCACTCACAAGTCACACACACAGTGGACGCCGGACGGATATTGTGGGGGGATCGAACCGGTGTCTTGTACTCCTCACCGACGACGAAACGACGATACTCGCAACCGCCTCCGGTTCACTCGTGTCGGCGGACACACTCAACGATATTGCCCAGAAGATAATAATATTATCCCACATGTGGGTACCATGTGTGTATCCCGGTCTATATTATAATATTTATTATTATTATATAATATATTATTTTGTATAATATGTAACCCTTTACCACGGACGGGTTTGTTTTATACACCCTGATGATATTTATTATATAGGTATATACCTAAACACACGAGTAAAATACAGTATTATAGCAATCTGGAGTCTGGTATAACATACGAAATAATTAATATTTTATAAGTACATATAAACCCATTATTTATATTTGTATCTAGAGTATCCATAAAAAAAAAGTAATTTATATTCTTTGTAACAACACCAATAAACGGACCAGTATAAAACCGAGTTCTTTATAGGTATCGCTTTTATAATATTATGTAGGTATGCTGCAGATAGTTAATTATTTATACGTTTTGGAATAAAGTTGATGCGTTTAGTTTTTTTTTTAAAGCGATGAAGATGAGCGTTGTAGATAAATGGATCGAGAATAAGTGAGAGATCAAATTTAGTGGCTAGGAGGTTATAGAAAGCGTTTGAGAACCGCGGTAATGTTTGAAAAGTAAATTGTAATTAATCGAATCTGTAAGTTTAAGTGTTTGTCGGTTGTGTTAGCAAGGGATTGGTGGACGAAGATGAAGTGGAAATAGGTATTGTGGGTAGTGGAGTCAGCAATGAAGCATAGGGCACTGAATAAGGCCTAACATTTCGGTAGCGTTTCGGGCCTCTCGATTATCTAGACCTTTTTGTTTACTTAAAAAAAGTAGTCAATATTCTGGTGACTTCTTGTCGGGAAAACTAACTGAACGTCGGATGTCTGTTATAACTATTTAAAACCGCAAGAATAATAATTGAGAATAATTATTGTTAAACAACGAAGGTTTAGAATCAAATTATAAACAAAATCGGAAAACGTTTAGCCGTGATCGATCGATTTAATCATAATACTAAAAATTGCCTATACAAAACCCCTTTAAAAGAAATACTATTTTTCAATTCGTGTGAGCATCAGTCGAGAGAGGTCACAGCGAATATAGCACAGTCACTTTTGCGAGTTAATGATCATTGATGAATAATTATACACCATAACCATTATTAAAAATAATAAAAATAATAATAATAGATAGATATAAAATAAAGTATTTTAGTCATTACGACATATTTTTTATTATACTTATACAAACCAAAAAATTAATCTGGCAACATTAGATTTTCGGCAAAATTATTTTGTAACAAAGAAACAAGTATAACGCAAGTCAAAATAATGGCAATAACGTTTTTATTACAGCAGCGCACAAGAGGAGGTTAAGGGTCATAACTGATAAACCTATTTTAAACCCTCGTCCTAAGGCATTATTTTCTGTAAGAGTTTAAAAAAACTCGGTCTTATCTTTATATGTACACGGAGCAATACATAATTATTATAAAATAATATTTTTGCCATAAATATTCAATATGGTGTTGGTACATTTAGACAATGCCACGTTATGCCCATATTATAATAAGTGAGTAGTAGGTAAGCCAGTAAAAATGAATTTATAGAAAAGTGCAAAGTTATAAATTATAATCATTAATCAGGGTTTTAACAATTGAATATTGTTTTCCAATTCGTGTAGTTTGATTAACAGCTTTTACTCATAGTATACAAGTAATAGATAATATACATCCATTATTATATTATAATGGATAAATATCGTACACAAACCTCAATTTAAACGACTATCGCTAATAGTATTTGTAAAAATATTATATTTGAGATTTTTCCATTTAAAATTTCGGGCAAATTAATTTGTAAAAAATACCAAGGAAAACCTCCGCTTTTGTCTTTTTGCTCATAACAAGCAAAAACAACAAATTATGAGTACTAATTTTGTATATATTTAGGCCAGGTGTACGTGTACCTAATGTTTTTCTAAATATGCCGAAATAAATACTCCAATAATATAGTCTACTTATTCGTTTAAGTATAATAGATTAAAAACAACCTAAATTATCACGTTATGCGTAACAGGTGTATGCGTTTTTTTAATAGCCATTTTAAGTGCTAAAATTAAAGAAAATTTAGAGCTTTAGAGTTTTAACAGTTTTTTGTGTTATTTTGTACCTTATTATTTATTATTATTATTATTATTACTATTATACGTATAAATAAGTTATAACTTATAACTCATAAGGTAGGTACTAATGAGTAATAAAACTACTATATGTATATGTAGTAATGTCTAAATTTATATTAACGGGAAAGAGATACAAAGGTAGAATTTGCTTTTTAATTTAATACCTACGTATTTGCTGTAAAACTCAATACTATATATTGTATAATATATTATTATATTAAGTTAATAGAAATATCAACAAAAACCAACGATATACCTACGGTGTACACTGTACCTATAATATTATTTTCTACTAATTTTCAAAATTTAGTTAGTTTTACATCAAAATCCCTTCGAATTTTCGAATAATAGGGTGGTTAATAAAACTCTTACTCTAAAACTTGGCTTGCAAATTCCCCCCCCCCCGTTTTTTTATATCATAGAAAAAAATGGGTGGAGGGGGGTGCAGCAAACAAAATTCTAAAGAAAGGTTTGTTTAACTAGCCTATTATTCGAAAATTCGGAGGGTAGCCTACACGTCTGTAATTTTGATGTAAAACTAACTAAATTTTGGAAACTCATAGAAAACAATATTATAGCTATACCGTAGGTATATCGTCGGTTTTTGTTGATACCTTTAATAGCTTAATTTTTTATGAATTGTTTAGAGTAAAAATTCATTTAATTACTGAGTAAAGGAACTGACGATGTACGTCGTATAATGTTGTTGTTTAAGAGTCATACAAATTTCAAAACATTATGTTGGTGCTCTTACAACAATTTCGAGATACTTTGGTGTCATTACGAATAACGTTATTTTGGTGTGTACTGTGTACATAATAATATGCTTCATACGAGCTCTTAATATAAGGTTAGGTATAGTTTTTTGCGTTTTACCAGTAAAATATAGGAAATAATATAATGATTTTTTGGTTTTTTAATAGGTATATTTACTGTATAATGGATCTCAATTATTACTATTTATTGATAATAAAAAACTGTTTGATAAAAATAAAAATTAAATTTCCCGCGTTATATTTTAACCTCAAATATTTAGGCGAAAACATGGTTGCTTTCGGCTATAAATGAGGTCATGTGATACATAATTTTTTTATGGCAATCATTTTTCAAAACTATTGCCATCGGTTTTTTAAGTTTTAAATAAATTAAAAGACAGTTGTTTAGTTTTTATTTTATCTAAGTTTTTTTTATACTAACAAAGTGCTTAGTTAAAAACATTAGTGTAATGTAATAAAATCCATTCCTCGCCATTTTCAATATAAATTTGATAACGCTTATCGAATGATTGAAACGGCTTTTCCTCGTTTCTGCAAGTTTTTGGCTTGAAAATACAATTATTATTAAAAAAATCTAAATTATACTTCATAGTGTGTCTTTATATTCGCCTGGTAAGTTAGTTTTTATTTAATAATGTTTGTTATAACCATAATTTTAAATAGGAATAAAACATCAAATATCACTATTTCCCAACCATAGTTAATGCTTACACACCATTAATAATCAGGTAACAGGATATTCTTTAAGTTTTTTTTAAATATTCTGGTAATAATTAATGTCTAGATTTATTTTATATTGGAGTTTACAACAGGAATTTGTAATATGATTCGAGTGTGACTATAGATTAGTACGTAACCTTAGAAACTAAGTATTAGTCATGAGTCCGACAAATAGTGGTTTTGCAATCTATTTAATATAATTATTTTTTAACTCTAGTATTTTGTGTTTGCTTTATGCAATTGATGCACAACTAAGGTCCAAGTCGCTACTAACATTTGAAGAATTTCTAATAGTAAACTGTACTCCCAAGACCTTGAAAATGTGAGTTTAAGTATTTCAACTGATGTTTAAATATTTCATTCATTTGTGTTATTTTTTTGTTCTAACTCTAAATTATTATTGATAAATTATTAAATTTCAAAGAATTGGGTTGTAGCAATTTAGGACACTGTTCTATAAGTATATTAATTATAATGTGTATCGCTTATTATCATATGCGCTCGTGTTAATAACGTGTTACACAACTCGGTTAATTTTTTGAAAGTCTAGTAATTTTAACTTTTGTTTTTTTTTGTAAAGTTAATTACAAGTTATTTACAATAATTTGTAAATAAATTTTCTTCCTTATAAACTCATTTCATTGCCGTACATTGCTTTATTAATATACAATTAAAATAAAAGTTTGGTTGATAACTATTTTCAAATAGTTATTTAATCAATTAAATAAATATATTCTAAAGTTATGGCAAAAAGTGTTGTGAGTTCGTACATAGATACCAAAAATGTTATACATCACCATTCTGTCTAAACTTCAACCATTCTGTTTAACTTAAAAAATATTAAAACTAGTAATTTTAAAGTCATTATTTTTAGTATATTATATGGATGTATTAGTTAAATAATTTAATTTAAGTAGTAAGGATTTAGGTTGAAATTTGAAAAACATTTGTTGATCGCAATATAATCAGTCTGAGAGAGAGCAGACATTATTTTATACTTACAAATTATTGGAAATTTAAATGAATGTAAAGAGAGTTTGTGAATCATTCGGTACAATGTATTATTATTATACTTCATAATTTATAACTAACAGACATATTTTACTATTTTAAATAATTAAAAATAGTATTATTACATAAAAAATGTACAGTTTTGCTTGTCTGCAAAACTGTTGGGATTAATTAACACTAAAATTGAAGTTAAACAGACTAGTAAAATATTAGTACTAATATGTATTAATTTAGGTTAATATTTTGTGATTAAGTTTATAAATTACAATAATATTATTAAACGTTATTAATTAATATTATTATGTTTAACTGAATGAGGTTAGCTATTTTCAATTATTATCTTTTAAAGTTTTATTATAATATATTGTGTTGGTAAATTACTTTTTTCACATTTTTAATTGTAATAATATGCAATTTTTTTTTTAAGATTCCGCCTCGCTGACAAAAATCATAACAAAATAATATTCATAATGAGTGACGAAGAAGTGGTCCAAATAACTAATCTGTTAGAACGTACAATTTCTACAGACAAAGAAGAGCTAAACCAAATACAAAAGTTTTTGGAACATGCAGCTCAAACGAATCTACCTGGTTTTCTCAAAACCTTGTCAAATGTTCTATTATATTCCGTTAACAATCCAGTTGCACGCATTGCGGCAGGACTACAAATTAAAAATCACATCACTTCAAAAGATGAAGCTGTCAAAATACAAATGAAACAGCGGTGGTTGTCGTTCACTGAACAAGACCGCATGTTCATTAAGGAAAATATATTCAAGGCACTAGGCACTGAAAGTCGACCAAGCTCAGCTGCGCAATGTGTTGCTAATGTCGCTATTATTGAGTTGCCATTAAACCTCTGGCCAGGTCTTATCGCTTCGCTAGCCGCTAATGTTACTGACCCTAATTCTACGGATGTCCTAAAGGAATCATCTTTGGAGACCATTGGTTACATTTGTGCGGAAACCGATAGAGAAATTTTGAAAGCAGAGTCAAACACAGTATTGACAGCTATTGTACATGGTATGACCCAAATGAATAATCACGTGTGTTTAGCAGCTACAACAGCCCTCTACAATTCATTGGAGTTCACTAAAGGAAATTTCGAGAAGAAAATTGAACGCGATTATATCATGGAAGTCGTTTGTAAAGCAACACAATCATCAGATACTCAAATCAAAGTCGGTGCTCTTCAATGTCTCGTTAAAATTGTCTCTCTTTACTATGAACACATGGAGCTCTACATGACTACCCTGTTTCCGATCACCTTACAAGCTATCAAATCAGATTTAGATGAAGTAGCTCTTCAAGGTATTGAATTTTGGTCAAGTGTTGCCGAAGAAGAAGCTGAGATTATTTATGAAAGGCAATGTCAAGAATCGGCCGGTGACAAAAAACTTATGATGTACGCAGAAGGAGCATTGGAGTTTATCACTCCTGTTCTTATGGAGAAACTGACAAAACAGGAAGAAGGAGATGACGATGACGATTGGAATCCATGTAAATCCGCAGGCGTCTGTATTATGTTATTAGCTACTTGCTGTCAGAACAATATTGTAGCTCACGTACTTCCGTTCATCAATGCAAATATCAGTAGTCCGGATTGGCGTTTCAGAGATGCTTCAGTCATGACACTTGGATCTATTCTTGGCGGTCTGGATCCTAACGCTTTAAAAACCCTTCTCGAACCTAATATTCCGGTTCTTATACACCTCATGTACGATTCAAGTATTGCTGTGCAAGATACATCAGCGTGGACATTTGGTCGTATATTTGAGTTTGTACCCGAACTGATTATAAACTCGCCATGTTTGAGTGACGTACTCGGAGTATTCATTAAAGGTCTTAAGTCGGAACCTCGTGTAGCCACAAATATCTGTTGGGCTTTTAGTAGCCTGGCTCAAGCTGCCGGAGAAGACATGAATGTGTTAACGCCATATTTCGATTACATTGTACAAGGTTTGCTGGAAACAACAGAAAGAGGAGATGGAATGCGATCGAATTTACGATCTGCCGCCTACGAAGCACTCATGGACATGATTAAATGCGCTCCTGCTGATTGTTATGAAACTGTTAAACGTACAACATTAATTGTACTCGGCCGTTTGAACCAAATTATTACCTTGCAATCAATGAACGAAGATTGTTTGGATATGCAAGGGTTGTTATGTGCAACATTACAAAGTGTTATACGGAAAATGAGTGGTGAAGATGTAGAAAAAATTGCCGATGCCATTATGAACGCTCTTTTAGTCATGTTGAACACGAGCAAAGATAGCGGTCTACAAGAAGACGCTTTGATGGCCATCAGTCCATTGGTAGAAAATCTTGGAAAAGGGTTCAACAAGTACATGGAGTATTTCAAGTCATATCTATTTGTTGGACTTCAAAACAACATGGAATTCCAAGTATGTTTAGCCGCTATAGGTTTAGTGGGGGACTTGTCTCGAGCTCTCCGTGAAGACTTGGCGCCATACTGTGATCAAATATTTGCTCTACTTTTCGATACCCTTCGCAACAATACCGTTAATCGGAATTTAAAGCCACAAATTCTTTCTGCATTCGGAGACATTGCTCTCGGCATTGGTTCGGAATTCAAAAAGTACTTGGACCACGTTGTTACTGCATTGGTTCAAGTTGCACAACTTCAACTAGATCCTAACGATGCAGATATTGTAGATTACTTGAATGAACTAAGAGAAGGTGTTTTAGCTGCCTACGTTGGTATCGTACAAGGCCTGAAAGGCGAAGGCTTTACGCCCAATCAAGATGTTTACATGCTTGAAGCTCATTTGCCATTCATGGTGCAGTATATGGTATCTATTTGTGCTGATCCCAACGCACACATAGGGATATTAAAGAGTTGTTGCGGTCTCGTCGGAGATTTATGCACTGCATTCGGAGCAAAAGCATGCCAGATTTTAGATAACCAAGGAGTACACGAGCTGCTGTACAAAGGACGACAGTCCACGGACGTGACTGCTAAGAGTTTAGCACGGTGGTCAGCAAAAGAGCTACAAAAGATCAAGACTCTTCCAATGTAAAATTAATTATCTGATTTTAAACGCGAGACTCTATCGATCGTTTGTCTTCTCGTATGATTGTCTTTAAAAGTGCCTATGTAATTTTTCTAGTATAAATGGAACCAAAACGTATCTGTGATTTTGTATATCTGTATGAGTAAATGTGCTACTCTATTTAGTATTACTACTAGTGTACGGATTTTAAACTTAAGTGAGAAAGTTTTTTTTTTTAAAATTAGTTTACAATGATTGAGCTCATTTACTCGGCTCGTATGTCTGACTGATTATTGAATAATATTTGTTAAATATTTAAATGTATATACATATATATATATATATAAAAAAACTGTTTATATAATGTTGAAAACAATGTTTCCGAATGTCTGATTTGTTCCGAATGTGTATTTTTGTATGAATGCAGAATTTATTTATTTACTAGGCCCCCTATATTCATTTACATTGCCTGTTTGCCTGTCTATGCATAATATTTAAATTTTAAATGATGAATAATATATAAACATAATTGTATGAAACGTAAGAAAATAGAAATTATTACAGATTATTACACTATATCAAACTTTTATCATTATACTGATATAATACATTTTTTGTAACACATTTGTATTTTAATTAATGTATAATTTAATTAAATTTTAACATTTTTATTCGAATTGAATGCTGAGGACAAAATTTTTTCCGATAATCTCTGGTCTCGAGCAATGAATATGTCTGACATATAATTTGACTTAAGTATTGTTATTATGTATACAAAATATGTAACCATTATTTTGATTATAACGAATAATATAACAAAATATTTTTATTTTTATTTCATTAATAGCAAATAGGTTCTTTACTTTACTTATTAAATAAATTGTAATGCTTTTCTATTACTATAACACGTCAATATATGAGAAAAAGTACATTTGTTATTATTCTCCTATTGACTATAACATGTATTCCTAATTTTAAATTAGGTAAAGACCTTTAAAAATGTTATTTTGTAATATGTTAACTAAATTAAAAAATATATATATCTGAAAATAATATTTACCAATCGGACGTAATGAGCAATATTGTAAAACTAAATCATGTTACATTTAATAACACTAGTGTAAAAAGAAAACATTAAAAATTGTTAGTTTTTATATAGCAAATCAATTGAATCATTGAATAAGTATGTATTTAAAATATAATTTTGTCAAATAATTATCCATTTGTTATTCAAATAAAGCTGCTCAGGTTAGTCGTTAAACCATAAAGTGTCACAAATAAGAGTTAATCAAATAGGAGTAATCGCAAGGCGTGTAAATAGTGTAGGTATAAACATTTTTTTTCTATGACCATTTCGCTTTGCCATAAACAGGTTTTTACGATTATTTTTAAAGGGTATTTTCGGTCAAAAGGTATTAATTTCAGAAAAAATATATTATTTACGTTGAATTGATCCATAGCAATTTGAGCAGCTCATTTTTTTTTGGAATCTAATAATTTTTTATTGAATTTATATTTTATTTAAACAATATTCGAACAAAATATCGATTATAATTTATAATATGAATAATAAATAATATTATTCCGCCAATTTGTACATTTTATTCCATGGAATTTGTCGTTTCTTCCATGTTCGAGGGGCATGCGCACTGATAGCAAAAACGGGCATTATTGCTGACATTCCTGTTTATACAGTTATGACATCAATACTTTTCCTATTAACACAACTGATTACTGAACACTGACCAAAAGTTATTCCGACATAACCTTTTGGCTTTTACCTCACTCCGATTTCTATGATATATTCGAACTGCGATAAGTTCCTTACTACCTTTTTCTTTTTTAAATAAAAGACGTTTTGGAACTATCTTTTTCCCGTTTTGTTTTATCTGTGCACAGTGAGTTGTGTGATTAAATTGATACAAGTCAGTTGATATTTAATATCGAACTTTGTGGCTAGTCTTGTTAATCGGAATTTATATTATGCATTATTCACTTTTTCTATGATCTAAATAATATAACATTAATAAAAAAATGTTAAACAAATAAAATAGAAAACGGTTATATTAAATTGTTCAAAAACATCTCATAAATCGAAGTTGAGCATCCAGTGTAGAATATTCTTCTATAATGCTAATGAACGGCGAATAACCTATTTCTACTAAATTATTGTAAGGTAGGCGGGTATTATATCATTTGTTATTATTATGATTGTCGTATTCAAAATACCATTTATTATGCTTTATCCAGGTGTTGGGGTTTACAGTTTCATAAAAATGGCAGACATCGACAGCCGATTCATCGCCTTTGAGAACGATCATACTTACTTGAAAACTCCAAGTAAAGAATGCAAAAATCTACAATCTTTAGAAAATAGATCTATAAAAATGTAAGAAAATATTTTGTTTATTTATTGATTACTGACTGATATGTGCTACAATTAAACATATTTTCACGTTAGAACTGAAGTTCGGGCGACGGCACCTACAGATTCATTGTGTGATAAGACGAAAAAGAAAACAAACGTAATCGACATGAATCAATATTCTCTTTCACAAGCAATTGACATTTTAAGTGGGCCTAATTCGAAAGTATTTTTTCTTCCACCAGCGGCTCCTTCAACTATTCCGGTTGCACCAAAAGTTGTATCGTAAGTAAAAAATAGTTATTAGTCTTATTATATTTATATTATTTATTTATTTATTACAAATTAATTTAGATTAAAAAATCGTGTGCCGGTATACAAAGAAAAAAAGCGCGTTGAAAAATGTATATTACCTAAAACATCAACTCCTATTAAAGTTATGCCTGCAACAAATCCAAATAATTTATTGTATTTCATTCCACCAACTACTCCGTTAAATGTAGGTTTTCAAAATTCTAGGTAAGTCGTACATTTAATTTATTACAATTTATTAACGGTAAAAATTGTTGTCATGAAAAATGTAATCAGGTGACCGCCTATGCTCAACATGGGAATTGGTGCTACTTTTTTTTTGGTGGGAAATTTGGTATCGCTTTCTAAAATTCCTAAAAAATACTTTGTTTATTAATTCATTACTTAAATAAAAAATGTTTGATTAATTAATTTATCCATATGTACAGAACAAATCCAAGTATGTAACTTAAAATTTACAATCAACAAACGATAGTTAAATAAATTATAACAAAATAAAACATAATATTAAAAATACCAACAGTTTTAATTTAGTATGAATTAAACATAAAACTGAGATCACTTTAGATTTGTGTATTATTAATAACTTAATATATTGTACTATATAATTCTATTAAAGAATTTGATTAAGAGTGTTTGAACTGATTATTTGATTTTAGCAGTATACACCTCTTGTGACAATTATATGGATGATAATAATAATATTATGCAATAAAATAGCATTATAACATTTCTGCGGGCTTCGGCTTTAATGATAGCAAATTGGTAGTGCAGATTAATAAAGCTTTGGTTTAAATTTGGCTCAAATAACATGTTATAAAAACCTATTTTTTTTTTATAGGAAATCATCCCCGGGGAAACCGGTATCAGCTGTACCAAGAATAGAAAAAGTAGTTGTTCGACCTGCACAAGGACGCAAAGTAATGAATGATAACAATAGCGGTGTTTGCAAAATCAAACTCACTAACAAACTGATGAAGCGAATACAAAACGGGGAAAAGTTGTTCATGTGTTTGGAATGTGACAAAATCTATCTGGAACACTGGAGATTGCTAGAACATCAAAAAACTCATACCAAATGTGAGAAAAACGACTTAAAAGAACGAATGTAAGTACATTCAAAAATATTGTAATTTATTCGTTAGTTTTGTTTGTCACGTTGATTTTTTGTTTGTTTAGTGTATTTGTAGAAAGAAAAAAAAATCCCGACGAGCAAGAAGAAGAAAATAGTTATGACTATAGGCGTGATGAAGATTTTTTTGATAATCATTCGACCAATCTTTCGTCAATACCTAAAAAACCAAAAATGTTCAAAGGTGAATGCATAATATGTCACTCAGTATTTCTAGATTTGGGTAAACATCTAGAAACTTTTCATCAAAACGACTTGATCAAAAACAGCTCGCATCAATGTTTTAAGTGTGATTTACAATTTGATGCCGAGGAAGATTTACAAATGCACAAGTTAACTGTACACAGGAATGGTAATGTGTACAGTTGTGAAAGTTGTTTTAAAGAATTTTCGTCTGAAAAAGATTTGGAAGCACACATGTTAACACACAATACCGATAATATGAAGTATTTGTGTCCGTATTGTGATGCTGGTTTCTCACTGTCGGTTGGATTACGAGCGCATCTTACCAAACACATTGGAAACAGTGCCGAGAAACCGACATTTGAAAGTTCTCCTCATCATCAAGTAGAAAACAGTCTTGGACGACCTCCTGAGCAGCTAGATCAGCTGTTTGCCGACTTGGATAATATATCTGATAATGTTAATGGAGTGTATGTGGAGCAAGTAGCCAACGATAATTATCGAGTGAGAATTGTCAAAAACCATTCTGACAACAAGCAGTCACCAAATGAATTTGTTGACTCGGATCCATTAAATGACAATTCAATTACCAACAACGTGTAAGTGTTTAACCCGTTTCACACATGTGCATTTTTATACACGGCTTCACAGCCAAGCAAATGGTTTGCCTTTTACTTTATTAAAATACACATTTGTTTAGATGCTTACGAGCATTTCATCGATTCCAAATTCATACACGGCGTATGAGTAAAGTGTACGGTGTGAAACGGTCCTTATATTTGTTAAGTCTACCTGATTTGTAAACTTAATTAATGTATTATGTTGTTAATAGTATGCCTTTGGAAACAATTGAAAATAATATGGAACTTCAGCCACAACTAACGTCAAACGGTCGTAAAAAGCGTGTGAGTTACACTGTATGTCGAATATGTTTGATGATCGTAAGCTACTCCAGAATTGGCCGGCATATGAGAAAAAAGCACAACAGTGCTGCTCCTTATCAATGCGAAATATGTCACGCCGATTTCAATCGCAAGCATCTTATGGACGATCACAGACGGAAACACACTAATAACAAGCCACACAAGTAACTAAAAGTCTTAGCGCAATTTACGTTGGGTTTTCTAAATTAAAACAAACTGCTATTATTTTTTTCAGATGTTCCGAATGTAACAAATGCTTTGCTTACAAACACCATCGCAATCGTCATATGATGTTAGTCCACAACAGCGATACTTTGGATAAGCCGTTTCAGTGTACCATGTGTGACAAGTCATTTTCTTTTAAAGAATACCTAACGTTGCATGTCAAGTACGAACCTATTTGATACTTACTGTTACAATTTTTTTTAAACATGTTTTTTATATTTTTTTATTTTTACAACTTTTTAGTAGCCGCCATACCGGCAAACGATATATGTGCCAGATTTGTGGCAAAAGTTTTCCAACCAACGCGGGATTGAATAAACATCAATTGTGTCATACCGACGAAAGGCCGTTCATGTGTGAACAGTGTGGTCGTACGTTCAAGTGCAAAACCCACTGCGATACACACAAAAAGAACATTCATCCCGGTGATGTCGACCTGTCTGTAGAACAGGAAAAATTTGAATGTAATTTATGTAACAAGACGTTTACCACAAAAGTGTATCGTGATATGCATTTTAAGCGTCACAACGGCCAAGGCCATCAGTGTAGCATTTGCTTTAAGCTGTTTGTTTCCAAAGCACATATGCAAAGACACATCAAAATAATGCATTGAAATGCATTATCGTATTGTCTAGATTAATCATTAATATAAAAAACATATTTATAAATATATGTATATAAATTAACAATAGTTATGTTAAAGATGGTTTTTTTTCGTATTGTTTGATATTTTATTTAAAAAAAATTTGTTTATGGCTATTGTTATTGTGATAATAAAAAAATAGTATAAATTAATGTATGTTTTTCTTACTAATCACACTGCTATGTAATGAAAATTAAAACGGTTACATAATATATTTTAGCTTCGATGTAAATTTAGGAAAGTGTCAGTGTTTTCTTTTTTTTCTATGTTTCCTAAAGTGCTGATTTAAGTAAATTGAAAATTTTAATTATTAATATTAATAATAAAATGAGTTGGTTGTAATGTGTAAAATTAATACAATAATTGTATGGCACAAGAGAATAGGACCTCTTGATACGAGAATCCAAATCGCAAGAAAGGTCAAACTATCGATTAGGGTTGAAAATATATTTAAAATAAACAATTATGTTATCTGCTTAAGGGCACTTTATTTTAATTTTTGGTTAAGTTGCATTCCTTTAGAATGTAAAATAAAAAGTTGGCAACATTTCAAAACTAAAGCGTTTTTTCTCAGAATACCAATTTTCATAAAAAAGTCAAACAAATAAAATTCGTCTAATTTTCAAGATGTTCAGAATTTGTAATAAGTAATAACCGATATCTCAAAATTTGATTTTTGCAACAATATGTCCTTTTTCGCCTCACTATTACTGAATTTTATTTGAGAGGGAGAATGGATTGAGGAAATTAATTAACACAGGGAATGGGAGAGGGATTTAGGAGAATGTTAAAATTTTGAGATCTTAACATCTTAATTAAGATATATATATATATATTAAAAATATAAAACAAAGAAAAAAACAATTAATTTTTAACACACTTTTATTTAAATAATCAATTGACAATGCTTAGTATGGATTTTTATTGCCAACTCAATACCTAAGTACTATTTATACGTGTTATGTTCTACACGGAAAATACTTACTAATGTTAATATGATTATAATTTTAATATCTATATTAGGTATTTAAAATGTTAAGTTAATTTCATACTATATTATAATATGCACAATCATACGTTTATCTATTATTCTCTACACATTTGTTTTATGTATGCTAACAGGAAATACACATAGGCTTTTCAGCTTTAAAAAAACATATACTGTGGCGTACTAGTGCAGGAATTTATGTTATCACATTTCACAAAAATAAATAAGCGTTAAACGCAATTCATTTAATATTAAGTAGATACCTACCAAAATGTATGTACACGAATGAAGGATGCCGCTAAAAACATAAAATATAAACTTTGTTAACAATTGAAATAAATTGGTATAATATTTAATCTATACCCGATATCACAAAATCGACATCATAACAAGTAGCCTTATAAGAAATAGAATAACATTCAGCTAACACAATAATAATATGCATATTTTTATACAAATAGTTAAACTTAAATAAATCAACTTAGTTAGCACAAAGTTATGGTTTATAATAATGTGCGAATTCTATAAGTTAAAACATAAATTATAACAATACTCACACAGTAAAAATATAATATTTAAAAAAAACTTGCGATACTTAATTAATGTTGTGAAATATTTTAAACCATATTTTGGCAGGAAATAAAATATTTAAAACGCAAATGTTTTAAAAAAATTATCCTTTTAGCAAAATAAAACAATTTAAACGGTAATCAATTATTATTGAAACATCTGAGTTATTGGTTTTTGCTGATTGGTATTTGATTTACTGCCAAATTATGATTTTAAACTATGTTTATAACAATAAAAAATATTTGAACAATTATTATGAAATAATATATTTTTTAAATCATTTTTGCTGATTGGGTTGATCATAAGCCCCATTATGGTTATTTGCACGATTAAATTGCAAGGAAACTCCATTTATTTGCTAAGCCCAGTCATAAACATCACAACTCTGATTATTATTAGATGATTTAACAATGAATTTAACAAAATTAAGGGTTTAAAATTGTCATACATATTTTTATATTTTAGCTTTTAAAGGCCGGCACCCTCCAATAGGGTATTATACACTACATTCTGTAATTTGGGCTTTTCGCCCGTTTAATTATTATTAAAATAAAATATAGTGTAGGTAATATTTTAGATTCAACAACGTTTTTTTCCTATATTTTCAATTTTCTAAAAAAAAACCTTTTAACTCTTAACTGATGGTCGTAAGTAATGATTATCTCAATGATAATAACCGTTTTCCGCATGCTCTTCATTGTCTATTATCGGTTTTCGGTCATCGTCGGTTTTTGTCTTCTTCCTGGATTTATTGATAGCGCCCCAACGCGTCTTGCCTGCTTCCGATGTCGACAGCAACACAGAATACGAAGTAACGTCGTTTTCCTTGCTGTGATGAATTCCGTACAAGAAGTAAATCAACAAACCTAAGAAAACACTAGGGTTAATAAGTGCGCTTACAATGCACAGGTTCAGTTAAAGCCGACCAAGGATTTACATAACTGTTGATCGAACTAATGGAAGAAAGGACAGAGACACATCTAATTATTGTAGTCAAATAGAAGCTAAAACTATATGCGGTGAAATATAATGACTGAGCTGACTGTTAACCATACGATGGATTAGACCTTGATGTGTCAGAAATGGAGATACTTCGCATAACGCTAGAGGATAAACCAACACTAGTAATTAATGTAAAAGTATCTAAAAATCCCTATCCATCTCTAGTAGTTTTAAGTTAAAGTTAGAAATTTTTGGTACACATCTTGTAGCAATGATTTACGCTCTGCTTTATAACGCCCGTGGAGATTATTATAAAACCCAATATGAAACTCATACTTTTATACTTGATTAATTTTGCCGTGGTTTATTTACCCGATTGTCTTTAGATAAACCATTATTTTTTATTAATACTCACCTATAACCATCCATATCAAGAATCGTATCCACGTTAACAAATTGAGATTGGTCATCAATACCACGTTGCACATAATGCTCATTGACGGTATGAGAGGCACATGTGGCACCATGAATGGCAATTCTATGGAGTTTTGTTCGTGCGCCTCGATAAACACAATGCCTGCAACGTCGTAGACATTATGTTGTATTATACAAATATCGGAGCTATCGCTCTTGAACTATTTCGGTTATAAGTGTTAATAAGTATTATTATTATTATTGCTACTCACACGTGAGCAAATTGACGGTCAACACGGTCAGTACTACTGCGTCCATCCAGTTAATGCGTTGTACGTCGAACCAGTATTGAAAGTAAACGCAAAGCACGACGGTAGAAAAGGTAAACCAAGCTATGGACACGGATACAGCGTAGCCGGGTTCGAAGTGACCGAGTACTGGCTCCAAAAACTTATACGACGGTTTTAGTTGTCCTCCCATGTCCATCTCGAACGACTGTGCAAGACATAATATAAATTTACAAAAACATAGCTGTAATTTTACGTTGAAGACTCACGTCTGCTTGCGACGTGGGTAGTTCCAAGAGGCTGCTAGAGTCGCGCACCAGCCCACGATTGCTGGGTCGGTATCGCAATATGACCACGGATGCGCTGACAATAGTGTACGCGAGCAATGTTCCAATAGACATGAACTCGACCAATTTTTCCAAGTCGAAAAACAGAGCGATTAGAGCGCACAAGAATGCAGATATGGCCAAATTGACGATGGGAACCTGTGTGAAAAACAACGCATTTAAAACCATTCAATTCACATGACAGAGGTGGACTAGGTGTACCTGAGTTTTTTTATTGACTTTGGCCAAGAATTTAAAAATTAACCCGTCGTCGGCCATTGCGTAAATACACCTGGGCAACGAGTACAGCGAGCCGAACAAGGTAGTGGTCATGCCACACAGCGCACCCACCGATACTAAGTACTTGATCCATTGCAGGTCCAACATCGCAAAGGCAGCGGGAAAAGCGGCATCTGGCTTGATGGCCCAGTAAGGTACCAAAAAAGTCAATGCCCCGCTGACCAATACGTAACCTTTAAGTACACAGAAACCATACAAATTAAAACTCAAGCCAGTTTCGAGACTGAAGCTTAAAAGAAAGCGAAATTGTGGCTCTCCTTAACCTTTTGTTTCTTTAGGCTAAAACCATAAGATTAAAAGAGTTTCTTCAGTCCTCGTGACTGGAACTTAGTAAGAACCGTTCAATGCTAAAAAGATAATTTAAGATCACCCTCAGGATAGTTGATAGGGAATAAGGATGCTGATTTCTTCACAATGTGTGCATCGTCCAGTGTGTACTATCGTTTTACTATAATTACCCGTGCAAACGACGCTCATGGCGATGATGGTAGCTACAGGTATAGAATAGGCCGGGTCTTTAGCTTCTTCGCCGGACGTGGCTATACTGTCGAAACCTACATAGGCATAGAAACAAGTGGCTGCACCAGCTATCACTCCGGTAGTACCGTACGGCATGAATCCGCCTTCGCCCAGCCAGTTGTAACTGTTACCATAATAATAACCAGCGCCCACGATGACGGTCATAACTCCCAGATTGATGAGGGTCAGGAAACTGTTCATGTACGAAGACATTTTGACTCCGACTCCTGTAACACAGTAAACCAAATATGACCATTTAAATCTGTAACTTGACAGTGGTGCAATTCTCTTCAAATTTTTAAGACCTATATTATAGAACTAATGAGCATTTTTTTAGAGTATAATTGGTATAATGATGAGGCTTCAGATGACTCATGAGAAGCTTAGCTTCCTTAGCCTCCCCTTAATTGCACCACTGGACTTGAATAAAGAACAGCCTGTAGCCATGTCAATTTTCCAACAAAATGAGTTTTGTATCTAGTTTAATCAAATATTATTACTATGCTTATCACAAAAAAAAAAAAATACTGTGTATATTTTTTCAGTACTCGACTTCCAAAAGTGGCATAGGCCCCTCTCGATCCAATGTTAAACATTATATTCTCCATTAACCATATTATATATGTAATCTTGGTATCTGTGCACCTCTCGTGTTCAAAGCTAGTTGTATAGTTACCCAAGATGCATGCGTGAAGCAGACACACGAAGAAAGCAAACACATCCGGATATTTTCCCAGCAAAGTTTCGTGTAGTTCACCAAGCACGGATACCGTTGTGTTGCGGATCACGTTGTCGAACATTGAATCGAAAAATCCGCTCCAGGCACGTGCGACCGAAGCAGCCCCTATAAAACAATATAAAATAAGCCTGCGCTGTACGATCAACCATCATAGCTGTTAATCAGCTGTCACGTGTTATGGTAAGTAGTATATAGATAATATCTCGTGTTGGTAGAATTAACTTTGTTTAATATTCTTTCATAAACGTTGTACGGAACAAAATGATTGACCCCATTTTTTAGTCCAAGGATTAATCAATATTTCTTTGTAAATAATTCCATAGGTGGCTTAGAAATATACCAGAAAAATAGACCATAAACAAAATTACGATAAATTATTAAAATAGAAACTATAAGGTAACACGAAACGTCTCTGAAATAGACACAACGAATAAACTAGATTACACAAATCATTTTTGTATTATAATAATACGTTGTGCATACCAAAAACCTAAGTCCTGACACCTAACCTACTAGTTAGGTACGCGTAAAAATACGCAGATGGAATAATTAGACCAATTGCTTTGTTTAATCGTTTTTAAGCACACATAAAATAAATGTTGTTGTTACAACAATTTTTGTATTGTAATTGTTGTATACACTATAGTCGCCTTAATAAAAAAATGTAATTTATCAGAATAATGTTATTTTTGTATTTTTTACTCCAATGCGAATTATGTTTACAGAAGAATGTATAAAAACAACTAAAGCTACTAAAACTAATCAAGTTATTTTCATTTTTCTATCCAGCATTAAAATACAAATTTATTTTAAAATAAAATTTATCGAAAAGAGGTGACTATTTAAATTTAATATTAGTAAAAAGTATAGAATAAGATAAAAAAATAAAAAATTGCATGATATCTAGGCAATTATTATTTCATATATAAAACATTTTTGTGAAAATTATTTGTGTAAAGCTTAAATGTTGTAAACGGAATACTTGAAAACATGAATCCGGTATGGTCTAGTGGCTAGGATACCTGGCTTTCACCCAGGAGGCTCGGGTTCGATTCCCGGTACCGGAAAAATTTTTTTCCATCTATCTTTTTTTAAAAATATTTTTGTTTTGCGTTTACGGTTAAGTTGGACGTTATTCGATTACAACGCCAGCTTGTACATGTTAGTATTAACCTTTAAATACTTAAGTAACTGTATATCGTTGATATTCTGTTTTTCTGGTAAGAAGGGAAGTTAATAATACGTTTACATTGAATATGTTTTGTTAGGGTCATGGAAGTATTTCTAGTCATTGTTGCGGTCGTGATCAAATATCGTCATGAAATAGGGAGGTAAAAAATATGGGTACACGAGAATCTGTAGAAATACATCCCGAAACACATTATGAATAAAAACGTTTAACCGACAGAAATTAATAATTTTTTTAAAAATAATATGTATGAAGCTTTTTTCAAAAATGCCAAAATTAGCAAAATGTTTGATAGCGATAAGAGTAGTCCGGTTATGTGTGTATTCATATCTAGAAAAGTAAAAGTTTTTTGCTTTTATTCTTTGTACAATAATGTATAACCTCTAAACGTAAGGCGAATTACCCTTAATTCCATAGGTCGTTTTCAGATTTGCACCCGAAAACGTGCCAAAGGTAAAATTGATCCCGATAAAAACTTCGAATATTTAAGCAAAGCTGTTGACGCTGGTTGCGGCAATCTTTCATAACATTAATTTTATAAAACTACAGAAGGTAAATAAAATATGCATTGTCATATTACATGGTCGTAGGTACGAGAAAAATTAAGGTAGGTACATTATTATTAAATATAGTAGTAAAGTAGGTATCGTATTTTATTTTTTTATCACATTTACTAACAATGACCAACGACTATGTTAAAACCACGACAATCACGGCACTCTTTAAAATAATTAGACTTTTATTGGTAAATATATTTACCAATCATGTGTTCAAGTATGATGTTCCATCCTATGACGAAAGCCCAAAATTCGCCAACGCTAACGTAAGTGTATACATAAGCTGAACCTGCTTTGGGAATACGAGTACCAAACTCAGCGTAGCACAAAGCCGCCAGCATGGACGCTGCGCCTGCCAACATGAACGACAGGATGATGGCAGGTCCTGCCATTTCCTTCGCAACAGTACCGATGAGTACATAAATGCCAGCTCCTACCATATGGCCGATACCTGGAGGCAAGAAAAAATAATAGCAATTCAATTAAAAAAAAAATTGTTTATAAAAATATTATTCTGTGGTTACCACCCAAAAAATGGCTTTTAATCAGAGTGAATCGAACGAACACCCGAGTTGGGAACAAGTTGATAAAACAATAAATACAAATTAGAACAAATCGACTAACGTGTTAATTGAAATACAAAGATAGAAAATACTTGACGACGGATAACAAGTAAATGTATTAGGTATTATTCAGATATAAATGTGTTTGTTTTATTCGGGTACAAAAGCATTATAGTAGGAAATTATTAGTATAGTTAGTAGGAAAAATCAGAATCGTGTACTTCATAACTTGGTTTACAGGTAATGTCGGAGTGCATAATTGGTGGTAGGAACTGATCATATAGATAATCTAAATGTTACAATAATAGTCTCTAAGAAAAAAAGAATTAACGATTCCTTATCGAGTGAAAATTTTCTTTTAACTCGCGGAATATTTTCCGCTATAATTTAATTAGGATACCATGGCGGTTTTAATTTTCTTTTATTGGAGTTTCGCAGAATATCAAGGGAAAATATGCGTTTATTAATAAATAACCTATTACCCAACAGGGTTATGTCGAATGTGGTCAGGCATCGTTTCAGCGGCGTTTCGATGGCTTGAGTTCCGATATCCAGTACTTTTGTCCGAGACATTTTTTCGGAGAACCCGCTGAAAACATGACTCAAAATTTTGTGTCTCGAACCAGGCATTTTGACGAGCTAAAGAGACGACCTGCAAAGAGAAAATCAAATGAAGTTTTTAAATTATTGATTTGAAACTTATACTACAATATTGTAAAGGTAGTTGTTATCATTTATTATACTACTACTATAATAATATCATATTACTATAACATAAAACGCCAACCTTAATATGTTATCACCCTAGGAGAACGCACCACCGGCAATTGTAAATAAAGTTATATAAATTAGCATAACAATTGTATAGTAGTAAATACATTTCGATGGGGTCTAATGTGAATATTGTTATTGGGCCCCCACCCAGAGAGGGTGTGTTAGTTAATAAATGGCATCGGAAAACCGGTAAGAAGTAATTCTCACCATTGCCGCCCCCCCCCCCCCCGATATTCTACGGATTCAGGTGAAAAAATAAATAAAGGACGTAATACTACATCTCGGTTGCATTTGTTATTCGAGCAATAGACTTAATGTATTTGCAATTCATTTTTGTTTCATTTAAACCGCAAATGAATTTAGTGCTGTCGAAATCTGTCTTACATATTTTCTACTACTTACGAGTAATGAGCATATTACATACCTACTGTGAATACGCCCCTGATTTAAATTCTTACAAATCAAATCACGTTCTTTGAGCAATTAAACGTTATATACAGCATAATAAACGAATAAATACATTTATTAACAAGAAAAACAAACACGGTTATGTTCAGATTAATTTTACTCGATCGAGTGTTTAGAATTAATTCCGGGGTCAACCAGTACATAGTGGGCGCAATTTAATTATTTTTGAAAGGTTAAAATAATTATACAGTTTTACTGAAAGCTAGCATTCACTCGGTTGATTAAAACACAATAATATTCATAATCTCGTTCGACAGTTAATTATAAGTCTTAGTGTAACCTGGAACATGTAAAGAACGATTAAATCAGGCATTATCATGTATTTGATGCCATGGTATACATTTAGATAGACTAATCAAATATGAAAAACGTATAATTAAATTTTACATACTAGGTTCTCAAGTATTATTATTATTATTATATTTTTACGTGGAGTTATTGTCGTTAGGCAATTTAAGTTGGTATAAGCCTAATTTTTCGATTATAACCTAACCTATGTATAACAACAAGATAAAATGTACATAATTTGCATAAATGAATAATAAACACTAATTTACTTCACAAGATTCCACTATTTAATACCAAAAACGTATTGCACAAACAACAAACGTGGCTATACAATTATGTATATGTTTTATTTAAATTCTGTATGATTTTTTTTGAACATAAAAATTGTGTTTTTATTTTTGTTTTTTTTTTTACTTCCTTTGCACTTAAAAAAAAAAGTTCGATTCATATGATTGTTGATAATTTTAGTAACATTTATATATTAAAATAAAATATTACATGCCTTTTCAAAAAATCATTTTCGATTTGAATGTATTGAAAACGTCCAATAAAGTTTTAAAAGTAAATAATAATGTCACTGTTCTTTATAAAATGCATTCATATGAAACTTCTTAAAACATAAGTTTAAGAGTAGTACAACTTTGATTAATTAATAGCAAAATGGAAACACGTTCGAAACTGGTATCTATTATAAAACAAGTTTTTATTCTGTAACAAAGAGATATTTAAGTGTAGATACGGCCTAGCCATCCGTCCCGTCTTCGGGTCCACTAATTTAACCCTATCGACTGTCGTTTCAGCCTAGCCTAGCCAACTAACCACGCAGACACGTTACAATTCATTCAAATATTAACAACTATTATAAACAAATCAGTCATCACTTTGAGCACATTTGAGATTACGTTTCCGTTGTCTAATCAGTTATAGCTTACTAAAACAATGACATTTTGTATGTAGAGCTTCTTATGTATATTATCTAAAAATAAGAAAATAAAATAAAACGTTTTTCAAGTTTAAAATCTGAAAAGTTATTTATTTCATAAGGTAACATGATCGCTTGTAGTAGTTTTATTTACTTAACAAGAGTGGAATAAAAATCATAATTTAAATATATTCGTATGGGCAATGTTCAATAGTTTTTTCAATATCTCTTTCAAAAATTGATGATATATTAAAAAACAATTGCAGATAAAAAAGGACTTATTGTCAATATTGTGTAACCGAAAACTTTTTTAAAATAAAAAACCTTTGTTTCTCATGACTCAAACTTGAGTGAATGGCGATGAAGTTACTAGAAATTATTTTGAATCAATTATATTGACGTAACAGTACTCAGTAGTCCTGTATTTTTGCGTGCTCAATTGGAAGGTTCTGCCTGTCGGCGTTGAACAAAATAAAGTTTTAAAAAACTTACCATATTGTAACATACACGGAAAAATGTATAGCTGGGATAACCATTAATTATGGTTGTCCTAACCATAATTTATGGTTAATATAGGGACACAATACATTTTTAGTTGGGAGTACTAAACCAAAATAGTTAACTATGAATAGTTGGATCAACTATATATTATGGTTGGATTGACTAGATATTTTAGTTGCATCTACCTAATGCCAACTACATAATAAGGTTGGATTGTAAAAATAATCAAAGCCAAATGAAAAAATTCAAAAAAATATCGTAGGTGGTCAAGATTTGCACCAGAGTCTCGAACCCTCGCCTACTATAACGCCTATATTCTAGTTCCCAAGCCTTAACCTACCTCACCACCGCCTAAATGCTATTGCGGAACGGGGTTTGGGGTATTTAAGAGGTAGTGTAAAACATATTATTTTGTCAAATGTATGAAACGGCGGCAGGCGGCAGCGGATGCGGTCGCAGCCACCAGCCGCCGCCTCCCGCCACAGCCGCCTGTATCTAAATATATATATTTAACAAATAAAAATATAGTTAACCCAACTAAATATTTTGTTAATCCAACTATTCAAAAACAAGTAAACTATTTTGGTATTTCCAACCATTTACTATAACCGAATTATTATTTCCCGTGTAGGTAGGCCGTATGCATATGTTCTAGTGTGCTGCATTAACGCGGACACGAGAGAAAACGTTTGTTAGAAAATGTATTAAAAAATTGCAAGCACGTAAATGTTTATCGGTATTCCTAGTATTTACTATAACTATTTTGTAGTTTAAAAGTGCAGTCTACTCACTGAATATACTTTGTGTACCGACGAGACAACAATAACGTTACAGAAGACGGGCAAACGTATTGACGGCGAAACGCATTTTAATTTTATTCCAACTCTGTTGGGTCGATCTAAGTATCGCACTTTTGGCGATAATTTTTATTATACTGGCCGGCTATGTTTGTTATGCGACACTTTTGTCGTTGCAAAGAAGCGTACGAAACGGCGGCACAAATACACAAGTCTGTATAATATGGGAAAAGTGAAAAATCGATTAGGCAACGCCAACCCGGGGCCGAGGCTCGTGTCGTCTATGCGCCGCCGCACAAATACGGTTGTTTTATCAATTATTATATTTCTATTTGGCGGAACTATCAGCTGATATAGAAGACCGCAACCCCTTTTTTTACTCCATGTAAAATAGGTTAGGTCAAGATCTAAACATGTTAAAAACGCGGCACACTGCACGGTAAAGTATCCCAATGATTAATGATAATTATATTGACTCAGGACGTGGCTCTTTTACGAGTGATCCTCCTCGAACTCAACAACCAAAAAAAAAAATACTTGTAAAACGATTTACATATTTTTGAGCAGCCCGTTAATGACATTGACCCGATGCGTAGATTAAGTTAATATTCTCACATTTAATGATGTTTGATGATACGGATGTTTATTTTTAAAGTATTTTACATAAGTTTAATGTGTAAAATCAAATAAATTAACTAAGTACCTCCTCGACGTGTCGTTGAGACCCAATTTATTCGATCGCTAAATGGTTAATGACGAATGTTATTAAGTGTTATAAATAAATAAACAGTTTAAAACATCTTAGTGGAGTGATAGATGATCTCGGCGGTTAAGCTCAAAATTTAAGTATAGTTTAAAAAAAAATACTAGAATAATTATAATTCTATAATATACTGTAGACTCTATTTTTTATTTTATAAATTAACGTCAATCGGCTTTTTTTAAGAGTAAACACAGATATATATAATATATATTTATATACAAATACAAATTACAATAAACTAAAACAAATACAGCAACAAAACCAGAATGTTATTTATAAATAACAATTGACTATTGTCCTTTTATGGAACTACACGAGCACATTGGGAATATTTTGGCTTAGAAATTGATTAGCAGTTACATTAAGATAGTCAAAAATAAGCCCAAGTTCTATAGCACATCAGAGCTTGTATTTTAGTTATCCGTCTATATCAGCTCTAGAGTCTATTTTTATTATTTTATTACTTACTATAATTTTCTAATGACATGAATATTGATAGTAAATTTACTCGTTAAAAATTTTAACTAATTTACCATTGTTTAATTTTAACTATTAACGATTCAATAAAACAACAAAAATATGTTCATGTATTTAAAAACAATTAAAAAACAACTTGTTGTTTCGCCTATATTAGGAAAGTTAAGAGTAAACTTGTAATTACTATTTGGCTTTGTGTGACATTTCCAAGTATTTGTAAACGATATAATACATTTTAATTAACTTCCACGAAAAAAAACCTTAAGTATTTTCTTGTGTTGAAGCTTTAAAAGGTGTAAAGTTTGTTAGATATTCTCTTTTGAACTTTATTTGAGTTACACCATATTCTTATAAAAACTTATTTATACTTATTATACAAATAATAATAATAATACATTTAAAAGTAATAAATCAAATTTAGTTAAAATATTTGTATAAATATTGTATATAAATTTTGAGTTTAAGGTGTTAAAAATGTGTTTTGAGTTTAAGAATTTAAATATTTATTTTGAGTTAAATTCATTTTTATATACCTTCTTTGTAAGAAATATCAATGGAAATATTTTACTATGTTTTTTATGCTATAATTTAATGAGTAAAAACTTTAAATAAGAAAAGCCAGTTTTTTTAGAAAACTACATGCAAAAGCAATAATTACGTGTTTCGAACCTACACGAACCTACCTAACCAAACCAACAAATCAAAATCAATCAACATCCGAGGCAATGAAAAAAAAAAGTACATATAAATATTATAATATTCTGACGTCACATTGATATATAGACTAAATTATTCATTATAAAAAATAGATAAAAATAACAAGTTTATTTTTAAAATTTATTTTAACTTCTTATTACTTTAAATTTGAAACGTCTACCTACTTAATTATTTATTTGAACAGTAAAACAAATGTTTAATTGGAAGTAGGACTTCCTTACATTATATATTTATGAAAATATTTAAAAAAAAAAGTTTTTTTGAAGATAAAAACCGTTTTAGGTGAGATCTGTTCTTTGACGCATTGACTGACTTTGTATATTTTTGAATCCTTGAAGACACGTCGTAGAAACGTAAATAACCATTCAAGTTTTTCATTGCGTTTTTTATTTGATTTATCATGCAAATTGTTTAGCTTAATTGTCATGTTAATTAATTTAATAACAATTACTTGTACTTCGTATTCTCAACCTAACCACCATACCATACCATTTCTTGCTAACTACTAACTAGCGACGATACACCGTCCATCATCCCATTTTACCGCCTAAAAAAACAGGTACAGAGATATTTTCAACAAAGTAACTAAAATTGCTTAATTATAAACCTGACAATTAAAATTAAATAATATTAAATTTTCAAATGTTGTATTACATTTTGTGTTCACTGAATGTACCGAAGTTAATTGCCGGTTTCGACTACTAATTGCACAGTGCATTTATCTATCGTAAAAACGAAACTGTTTAATGAAGTCTTTTTATTAATACTTAATAGCATTTTTAGATTAAACTAGTTTGCCCACATTTTAAATAAAATTTGGTTGCAATACGTCAACTCGTTAGTGTGTATAAATTGTTTTTATCTATTTTGGGGTTATCTTACATAACGAGTTTGATCGTTTGCACTGTACTCTCTAGTAGAGAAAAGCGGGATTTTACATATATAAATATAATAAATTATTATAATATTCAACAATAATAAACGGACACGGTTTATTTTTTATGTTCTTAAACGCGATTGGTAGCTACATTTTTAATGAACGAGTTGGGACAAAACACACTATTATACATCATATGATGCGATATTGAGTAACATGACATATCGTGAATATCCAATAAGATATTTTTGTTTAGTTACTAGATAGTTACTAGATAGTCGAAGCACATACTAATAACAAAATTGACGTATAATCATACGGAATGCTAATGCACAAAACTCTAAGGTGAAAAAATTAACTACAGTGTATGATGAAATGACGTCGCCGCTAGTTAAAACTAAAAAATTATAGAAATATCCACGTTATATTTAAAGCAACTAACAGCTATAATTTATAAAGTAGAGAAAACGAAAAGGTAGTTTCGAATTCAACGTGGAAAAGACTTAGTATTAATAATATGACGGCTAAAATATTTTCCATAAGTGAAATTAATTTGAAGTTAATTTATATTCACGTTCAGAGATGTTACACATATTTATAAATTTTCTTTGTCTGTGTATTTATCGTATAATGCCAACAGCTCAAAATAATGACAAGTTAAGTTAACAAGTACTGTCAAAAATTACTACTTTTATCGAATGGTTTTTTGTAATAATTTGTTTAATATATATTTTTGTGTTGATAACGGATCATTTTAAACGATGAATATAGTAAATAAGATTGCTATTGTAAACTACTTGGTATTTTTACAAACTAAGAGTATTACTAGGAAGGTACAATCTAGTTTTGATAGATGACACGGACATTGAACGTTCGTTGTATACATAATAATCTCATAATTTCGATCAGAAATATCCAATCTTTAAATTAAAAAAAATACATGTATACTATGCCGTAGTGTACGTGACTGTTGTATAGTTATAGATACACTAAATCATCCATTTCAACACCGATAAAATATAATAATTAAGGTGACCTAATGTTGTTAATTGTACTGATTGCGGCGCTTTTCATTACGATTTTTATAATCGAGAATACACGTCGTTTTCTTTGGTGTTATCATTTCAATAATGCATTTGTACAAAAACACTTATCATTAATTGTACGAGTTATACAATTGTAGTAATTTCCATTTATTTGTATGTAAGTTTTTTTAGTTTGAATTCAACAACGGATGTGTAATTCTAAATAGCTATGAACAGGCGATATATGTTAGATGGGTCAGATTAGAAGAAAATCAAGATTTTGTTTGACCAAAAAATAAAATATGAGATGTTACCAAGAAATGAACGGATGTGGAGTGTTTATACCTTTGGAAAACAGAAAAGTAAAGAATCTAAGCCGCAACTTGTTTGGAAAAATAAAAGTTTGTTAGCAACGCAAATTAAAAATGTATTCAGTCTTATGTAACATGAATAGCGATATCTATACATTTAGAAAAACATGTCCTCTTAATTTTTTCTAAACATTGCTGTAATGGTCCAGGAAGGATAAAATTTGTATGTTTTTATTTTGATTGAGAGGGGAATAACATGTTTTTTCAAAGTTTAAAACGGTTTTGAATGACAAAAACATGTAAATGTTTGTTTTTGAATAATGATATGTTTTAAATATTAAGCCACCTTTTGGGCCGTAGATTTATGCTCAAAAATTGGAAACGAATATCAACTAAATTAGTCTACTAATTATTCTGGTACCGAATGCAATGTACTATTATAAGTTCGTTTTACAATTATTTTAAAACTAACAAAGCTTTTCTTTATAGTAATTTATTTTATATTATATTATAGTATAAAATACAATAGTATAATGTTATAATATAATATAAAATATATTTTTGTTGTAATTAACAATGATTTTTGTAGTTAATCATTAAATGTATAAATGAACATAATATGTATATGTTCGAATTCGGCTTGCAATTATCTTTTTTAAGATAGGCAACAATTCAAATAAGTAAGAACTATTATACTATATTATCCGTTTTCAATATAACTGATAAACGATTGACAACAGTTAATAATTTCTACGACACGCTAAATAAATTGTCGAAATAAGATATACAAATTTTTAGTTATTTTTATATTCATTAAAAACATTTTGCAACTAACAATAATGTGTCAATATTTAAACATTTAATTTCATTAAGATGAATGTTGAAAACTAGTTGGCAACTTTTAGCAAAAAACTTAATTTAAATCTAAATTATATTGTAGAACTTTTTTGTCTGAATTTTCTTGTAAAGTATTAAGTCCTACAAAAAAAACTACATGACATGTATTAAAAAATGTAGGGCTCTTAAATTATTAAAGTTTTGGTTTATTTATTCTATTGCAAAAGTTGTCTTTTTTATACATTATAATTATTAGTGTATATATTTACTATAGTAAATAAAGCGAAAATATTTTATTTTCTTACATCGTTAAACGTAATGTTTATTATTATTAACACCATGATGCTATTAGACATATTAGGGCTTAGGCATTTCGTGTGTACATATTTACATTTTAAAACTATAATCGTTTATTATTATTGTTGGTGTACTGTCGTAAACCAGTTAACCTAACCTAACTGGTAAATTATTTTATAGTTATTTTACTCGTTAGGGCGGAAACGTGCTTATCAAAAAATAATCCTTATTTTCTAAAACATTTTGTTATTTTATTGGTGTATTATGGCGATTGAAAAACTGATATTCTCCATTTCGTCATATCGTAGTACTAAAAGTATTAATATGACTCTTAAGTCATATTAATATCTATTATCCTAAGCACACCCCAATTCTATCATGTTATTACTAGCTAATTGCAATAGTTAATACATATTATTTACAAATAATATTAAAAATTAGGTATTCACACATTTTTAATATGGTTAGAATGGCTTAAATGGCTGGGGTAACTTTTTTTTAACCGCCTTATTATGGTTTTATTCCTTTGAAATAAATATGGCACACATGCAACAATTTTGAAAAACAAACAAAATTAAAATAGCTGTTGGAATTACAAAATCAATGCTTATTTGCTTAAACAAACTTTGAAAATACTGAATTGGTAAAATTTTTACAAACAAAAAATAACTTACCAAGGTCGAAAAATCCAATCGAAAATTGAAAAAAAGTATTAAGTAAATATTTTTCGTTCTTGAATTTCGTTTAAATTTGTGGTTAATAGTGTAGTTATTCTATTTATAGCTTTATTCTTTACGATCAATATTACACAAAATATTTTCTAATCTACCGTCTCTACAAAACTCGAGGGATGTTAAACGGGCGACATAGGTTCTGCCATGTGACATGACAGCTGAATCAAAATAAATAATTCTCGTAAAATAAAACAAGTCATTTCAGGCCTGTTTTAATTTAAAAGGCGAATGAATATATAGCCCATCTTTTTTACCAATGATTATTAAATACTATTTGAATTATGAATAAAAACAAAGTAAATTTCATATCCAGCAATGCATGAAAATAAATAAGAACGTGCTGCAGAGGAAATAAAAAACTAATGATAGAAGTGAGCAGGGATAAGTTATGCATAGGCGCAATTTCAATTTTTAACTTGGGAGGCTGGACATTTTTTTTAAATATATATATAAGTAAATATATTTTTGTATTTCAAAATTGTATGCATAACCTAATTTCTTTGGGGGGCTAAGCCCACCCTAGCCCCCCCGTATTTGCGCCTATGAAATTATGACCAAAGCGGAGCCGAAAGAAGCAGACAATGTTGTCGACCAAAATTTAGTCTACAACAACGAATCCGCTCTTTTAAGTTTTAACTCCATTTTATAGCTTAGAAAGTATTAGTTTTACGAGTTTTTTCTGTATTATTTTATCCTAGAATTTTTGCCAGTAAAAGCTATAGATGGATAATATTTAAAATGACGGAGAGCGTCAACTATAGACCATATCAGCGTGTAGTCTGCGCCGTTCTCACACACAAGGAAAAGGCAAACCGGTCTAATTATTTTAGTGTGACGTCACACTGATATTAGACCCATCGCTTCTGCACGGTGGCGATCACGCAGTACGACTCCATCGCAAGCCGGTCAGTTGTTTGCCGACACGTGCCGGGTGTTTTATGTTTGTAAATGTGCCCATAACGGAGTGTTTTGTATTTATTTATTTCTAGTATTGTTAAGTTTGTTTTTTCTCTTCGAGTTTTCCTTCTAAAAGCGTTTTCCGCGTGTTCGAAACGTCCGACAAAAAACATTATTTAATATTTCCAATAGTTTAAAATCAACATTTTTTTTCGTTATAATACAAAAATTACTTTATCAACTACCTATTTGCTCGGTTAACCGTCGTTAATACTACAATTTTTATTTTTAACTTTCGCATGTGCAATTAGACGTTTTTCAGTATAGCATACCGTAATCGAAAACCTCTGAATGTCGACCTCGACGGGTTAAGCACCGTCACGTGTGTTGAGTTTTATAAAGGATTTGGACGTCAACTATCACCACAGAGAATATCAAACTTATTATGTGTGAGTTACACACCAACCACGATGACTCTGTGTTTGACGACATAGATCTGGGACTGAAGTCTATACTTGACGAACCGTTTCATCCGTTTTTCGGTGAGTACATAATATGTAATGTAATCACAGATTGATTTTCACCACATTTTAAAGACCAAGCCCTAACGAACAACTAAAAAACAGCGCTCCTGTTCTCTATACCAGTCAAAGCCCCTTAAAATGTAGGCCCTAAATCACTCATACATTTTTTATCAAAACAATAGAACTTGATTAAACCTAATCCCTAGCCTTTGGTCTGATCAATGGTCAGAAAGAGGAAAATATTATAAACTTTTTCTCACAACAGTTATACTAAAAATGTAAAACGGTTCTGAAACAAAGATCATAGATTATTGTTATTCATTTTATCAATTTTTATCAACACATGACAGTTTGTCTAACACGCGATCGCTTATTTTAATCAGGCGGCTTCGGCTACATGGTAAAGTATATAAATGTGTAATCGATATTACACTAATCACAAGTATGTATACCGTGTCGCAGAATTAAGGCTTCATCGGTATTCCTATCGTTATATTCCGGCCTCTTTTTATTTCAAACGTTTTTGTCTTTATATCGCACATTTGAACATGCATCAAATTGTTAAACTTAAGTAATGCTCATGAGCATTATTCGATATTAGTGCGACATAATAATGTAATTGTAATGTAAACGTGTAATTATCTTGGAAAAGTAGTACAACAATATTATAAATTACAACTTACATAGGGTATTATTATTGTTATATGTATGAATAAGTACAAAATAAATCCTTCTTTTTCTTAGCAAGCATTTAAAATGTTATGGTGCTTTTATTTAAACGCTATTTATAGAAAAACTGCACTAAAATACAATTCATCTAAGCGTATCGATATAATATAAATAATATGACAAAAGGTAGGCTTCTAAATTATTCATATCTACCGTGCATTCTTATTTTAATAACAACTTAAAAATCTGAAAAAAACATTATTTATTATAGTGAGTATGGTTTTTTACAGGGTGATAATTTTATCGTGAACCACTGAACCAATATTCCATTGAGTTTAATTTATAATTTTTTTTTTTTTTCATAATGTTTTTTAAATAATGTGATCTCAATTTTCCATACATTTTTAAGTTCCTACCCCCTCTAAAACGAATTATTCTTATATCAACTTTTGAATCTTAAACCAACACCAGCAGTGATAATTTATAAACATTATCGAATTAAATGTTTTAAATGGACATAAGTACTTGTTAATTTTATTTTAAGAGGACGTTTACCTATTTATTATCTCCAAAATATTGTCATCTTTTGTTTTAGTTATAAGTATTTTTGCTCTAAAATTTTTATGGAGCAGTAAAACTCATTCTGCGTAGGTAGATTTGTCGAACGCTAGAAAACTGAATGTATAACGTCCTCTTCGTTTTTATACTTATACAAGTAGTACGGTGTTCCTAAATTATATTACTACTTGTGATATTTTTATTTTCATTTTGAGACCGATACCAAATATTTGAAGGTGGTCACCGTTTGTGTTAAGAAACTTGAAATCAAAAACCAAGAATAAATAAAAGTAATAGTCAAGGCCCAAGGGAGTGAATGATGGAAAAATGGGATGGTTCAACGGTTTGACATGAGTGTATCACAAACCGGTTAGCTTGTGACCTTGTCGGGCCACCACCCCTGGGTTGTACCAACTATTGAAATCGGATCGTCCGTGGCGCGGGTAAATTATATTATATCTTATTGAGATATTATATATACTTTTTAAATACTGATGTTATAAAAACATTAAATAATACGTTATTTTTGTAAAACGATAACGGCTAGCAGCTTTGAAAACGAATCCTAACATTATACCGTACGTAATATACATATTTTGTTAGTGACGAAAAACGCCTAAATTTCTAGTTTATGATAATGTTTATAAATAGTGACACGGGACCTCGTCAATTAATGAGTTGTTGTTGTAGTAAACATTATAATAATATATTTTACTGATCACTATACCAGTCATACCATGTGACATCACTTGAATCTTGTGTGTAAAAATATTAATTTATAGTTTTAAAAAGTATTGAAGATAATCGATATTTGTTGAAATCGTTTCAAGAACAACAAAAAACACCCATAATAAAGAGTAAAAAAAATATAATTTTTTTTGTATACTCAACGTCGTTTAAATAGAATTTAGATATTATGTTAACGAATATTTGCATTGAATTTGCTGGCAAAACAATTTAATCTTTAATAGTATTCTGTATTACCTCATGAACAGTGTTGTACCCTAACATTGTGCAATGGTTTCCTATCGCTTAGTCGTTATTATGTTATTTATATGATTACATTTTCTATGTATACAAAAATAATGTATGCGAACAAAACCAGTTTGATCGGACGGATGAAATGTGTATATATATATATATATAAACAATCTAAAATCACGGACAACCGGACTACGACTGAAAAAAAAATTGTTTTATAATATGTATTTTTATAAATATTTATATTAAGGGTACTACGTTTTTTTTTACTTCAGAATTTTTACTTTGTATTAAATACTTAATTTAAATTATTTGTCTAAATAATCGCGTGTATTGTAACATAGCAACTAATCTTGACCTCGGATTTTGGAAACAGAATTTCCCTCGAAAACACATTAAAAATCGCTTATATCCATCATCGTGTATTGTGTGTATCTATTATTTGTTTATGCTCGGCATCGACGTTAATTGCTACACCTGCTACTTTACAATGTGTAAATAGAGTAATTTCATAGGCGTCCAATGCCAACGGCTTGTGTGCCCGTGGTAGGTGGGTAATGGATGTACGGTAGGATTAGTATTTAAATACCTTTTATAGTTATTCATTATAATATTTAGTTTATTCGGCAAGTTTTCCAATATAACGTCTGTATTAGGGCTAAAGGTAGACGAAATGTCTGTCTCTTAAAATAAGCCATCGTCAGACAGCTCTTATGATAAACGTCAATAGGAACAGAGGGGACAATTTTTGCTTCCTTCCTGTATCATTTTGAAGTTCGGTCTTAAGATTTGCTGTACAAAAAAAAAATATTATTTTTCTCGAGTTCCCGAGTGTCGTCTTAGGCTCCTATGTTGTTAGCGTTACCACGCATTGTTCGGCCATGCTTGTAATCGGACGATTTACTTATATATATGTATACATGCTTTTTTTCGTTCTCGTATTATACAAACTGGAATTTGTTGCACGATGTTGCGCATATCGCCGAAATCGCGACGGCAGGGGCCATAGGCTAATTATAACATACTATAATGTATTTGACTCATGATTATATTCATTACTATATTACTATACCATAATGAAAAACATTAAACAACTTGTAATAATTTGAGTACCTAAATTATCCGTCTTTCATTTACCGCTAATTAAACCTTGTACAATATAATATGATGGGTAAAGATGTGTGTGTGTTTTTGTTTTGAGGTTATCATTGATACCGACGACGGACAATACAATAGCCGGGCTGTTGCCTGTTTCCGTTTAATCGGGTCAAAGGCGAAGAAATGCGTATAGTCGGTCCCGGCAATGTTATCGTTATCTCATATTGTACATCATCTCCGTTTATCCGTGCAGCGGCTTGTCGTTCCAGACACCCTGTCCAGTGAGACCTAAGTAGAAAAATAAAAAATCTAACCTAACCGGTGACCTTTAGAGTATCGCATGCTCACATAATATTACCCATCGGTTACTCGTGTATGGTCAGCGGTGTACAAAACAAAACAAAATCATCTCATCTGCCGCGTTCATTCTGAAATAATTTAAGAGCCGTCCGACTAGAACTGCAATGTAAATATCTGTTTTTAAGTGCAAAAACGCAGTGTCACATTTCTTCGAAACCTATAACAATTAATACTAATTAAACCTGTTCCAATCAATAATACGTAGGTAACATTAATAGAGTAGTTAGGCCGGCCTTGTAACATTGACGTAGACTTAATATAAAAATAATATTTAGGGGTAACCGTTAACAAATGTAAACTTTACAAAATGTAAGTAACATAAAGTTAAAAAAAGTCAATAAGTATGTTAATCTGTAGTCATTATTTAACATTTATAATGTACCTACTCATCATTTGGGTAACATGTCAAATGCCAATACAATATGTGAAGCGGAAATGGACCTCTTGTCGTGAGAATCCAAATCGCAATGAACCCATTTCTCAATAATACCATTTTCCGAAAATAAATTCAAACAAATATAACTTTGCCAATTTTCAAGATAGGAGAACAATTCTGTACTTGAAATGTTCAGAATTTAGTGCAGAATTTGGAATAACCAACGACACGATACGCTTACGTTAGAACCTATTTATAAAGACAATAAAATCAATAGTAATAACAATTAACATAGGCAACTGACGTGAATGGTCCTTCGATTGTGAGTAGTTTTATCATTTGTGTGTCGCGTTTAGCGTTTCGATTATTGAAACGTTTAACCCGAGTTACTGTCCTGTGTTAAATATTAATATTATGAGTGCACAGCCATAGGTATTTCTTTTATAGTTTCGATAGGGTAAAAGCGATTAACCGATTGTCTTTGAAACGGTTCCTCATTAGTTTTATGTTTATAATGGGCCACTGGCGCGGTGGGGGGCGGTTATAACGTTATAACGATGCCCCCTCCTTGAACCTAGTATTTTTTTTTAACCTAACTGCGTCGTATTTATTAAAAAGAACATGACTAAGTTAAAAAATTACTTGAAAAATATAGTTTAAAATAATAATTATTGTTCCACTCTTGTCTTGTTAAGTAACTAATTAAAGTTTTTAAAGATTCGCCTCCCTCCCCCCCACATTATTTTGTGGTCATCACCCAACGGGTAAGCTACTATTATGGCCTATAGTGACCGAAGTTTTACATAAATATTTAAGACAATTTGTGTGGTAGAACAAATTATTATTGGTTAGATTAATTGTAAGAATCTTTCTGCTAGTAATTATGTATTGTCAAATGGAAGTTAAAGCATAATACCTGGCCGGTAGTCGACCGGTATACGGCTAGCTGCAATGAAAATAACGATTGCTTAAAAAA